TCCTATTATACTCTATCTACTTAAGCTAATTAGAATATATCTAATCTAACTAGCTTAATCTATTATTAGTAAGAATAGAAAGCCTCTTAAGAAAGTAATATAGATACTCTTTTCTAAGCTAAGAGTTTAGTTATTCTTTATAATAAATAGCTATCTTAATAGGGTTCTTTAGCCTGATTACCTAATTAGAATCTATAATCTAAAAGATTCTCTTTAGTAATAAGAGTAGGTAGATTTTAAAGATCTTATCTTAAAACTACTCTTTATAATAATAGACTAATAAGCATTCTACTAGGTAGTTACCACCCTAGTCTAGCTAATTAGCCTATAATATAAGTTTAAGTATAAACTAAATCTAGAATACTTTTTTAACTTTAATTTAAAAGCCTATACTAATAGGTCTTTTTATATTCTTTCTCTTTTTATTAATAATAACTATTAGTATATAGCTTTAGTTAATATAGAGGATAAATACCTCTACCTCTATAACTCTCTATACTATAATAAGTATTATAAGAATTATTATATTATTATAGAGGAAATTATTATACTCTACTAGAATATAGAGCTCTTATAGAAAATAAAAAGGCTGGTCTCTTACTATTAAAATATTACTTAATAAGCTAGAAGTTAGTAGTACTAGCTTATAATTCTTAAGATTATTTAGATTACTATATATAAAATCTATAGTTATTATAATAACTAGATTAAAAGTAAAATCCTAAAAAATACTGACTACCTATCTACTATAGAAAAGACTAAAGTGATTATAAAGATATAATTAAAAGCACTCTATTAAGAACTAGATTAAGCTAGAGATATTAGTAGAAAGAAGCTATAAGAACCAGTAAATCCTATAGTCTCTATATTATAATAGAGTATATACTATAATATATCTAATATAGAAGTAAAGATTGCTTAAGAGAAGACTAGAAGCCTAAAAGAACTATTACTAGTAGATCCTCTAGTTCTAGTAGATAAGCCTCTCTAATTTATTAAGAATAATTTAAATATTACTAAAGTAGAGATTAGATCTAAAATAATAGATATTAGCTTAAATAGACTAGTAATACTCTTTATAATATAGACTAAAGAGAATTACTAGCTCTATAATAATATTATTAAGTATCTTATACTAATATCTAAGAACTAGTATATTATTATTAAAATAATTAATAGTAAGATGATTTAAAACTATAAGAATATTACTATAGATATAATTAGCTATTAGAAAGATAGAAAAATAATCTTAAAGACTAAGACTATATTTAATTAGATCTTAGATACTAGACCTATAGCCTAGCTTATATTAATATAAACTAGAATAAAGAAAGCTATTACTTTATATCTTAGCCTTAATAAATTTCTAGTTAATACTATTATAGATATAATTAGATATAGAATTAATATTAAAGAAGTCTCCTATAATAATATAATCTAGTAGATTAATAGAAGGAAGATATAAGATAAATCTTCTATTCTTAACTATAGACCTACTTATTTTTAATATAAGACTGATATATCTATTTTAAAGAAACTACCTATAAAATCATCTATTAAAGATATCTTACTAATACCTACTATAATTAAAATAATAATAAAGAGACTAGTAATAGACTTTAAGGATATCTACTACCTTCTTTTTAATAGTAAGATTAAGACTCTTAAGATAGTATAATAAGATTAATTAATAAATAAGTAGGAGTCTTTTACTCTTATAGAGATATCTTAAGTTCTAATTAATCTAAATAGGACTAAGAAGCTAGTTTATAAGTAGATAAATAGTTATCTTATTAAAAATAGAACTATATACTACTATTAAAGAAATCCTAAGAATCTAATAGCTATATTAGACTCTAATTAGATACTATTATAATCTAAGTCTTATTTAAATAATTATATTATTAAAGCTAAAGAGCCTATAATAGATTTTAATAAGAATTTAAGATATCTAGAAGCTAGCTAGAAAGAATGACTTAATTAGTATATAGATCTTCTTAAGTTTATAGAAATAGATTATTAAGTAGCTATTAAGATATATATATATAGGCTAGAAGTTTAATATATTATATATTAATCTATAGACTAGTAATAGAAAATAATTCTCTTTAAGAAGGAAGATAAGATAGTTAGAATAAACTATAACTAGTTTAATAATAGAGCTTATATAATAAGTAAAGATAAGACTAAGATAATTAATCTCTATTACCTCTCTAGCTATCTTAATCTAAAAGATCTTAAAGACCCTAACTAATAGGATGACTATACTAAAGTCTTTAATAATATTATTAATAAACTAATTTAAATAATATTATAATATATTAAAAGCTAGTTAATTCCTACCTATAATTACTTAAATTTACTAGAATAGAGTATATTACCTATATATCTATCTAAATAGATTAGATAGACTAGATATAATATACTCTATTAAGTATAGAGCCTAACTAAAAAGAAGGTTACTTTATAATAGGTAACTAAGAGAGAGGCCTGTCTTTATAGGTAATAGGCCTTAATCTTAAAGTAATAGTAGAGTAAAGAGCTTAATTAATTATAGATTAGATTTAGTATAGGAATAGAGATTGCTTTTATAATAGTACTACTAGTTAGTTATAGTTATTTAATTAAAGAGTTATAGATATAAAAGCAATAATATTAGGCTTTTATAGAGAGAGGAGTAGAATAGGTTTACTTAGATCAACCTTCTAGATATATATATAGGCTCTTTAGCTTGAAAAATTTATTGAAATACTATACTTATTAGTCTAATAATAAGATTTAGTAGAGAAAAACAATAACACTCTTTTTATAAAGAAGTATATTTAATTAAAATAAGCTATAATATCTTAAACTCTAATTAAAGTTTAATCTTTATAATATAACTACTTCTAGAACCCTAGGACAATCTAGGTAGTGTTATAGTTATTAATAGTCTATTTAGGTTCACTCTTTTTAATATAGGCACTTCTAATTTATCTAGTCTTACTAGATCTCTAATTAGCTAGTAATAGCTTTACTAATAACTTCTTAATCACTTTAATTAAGTTTTAATATTACTTCTATAGCTAATCTATCTTTATAATCTTTTATAGTACTCTCTCTAGCTTTCTTTATAAGAAGGATAGTATATAGACTGGCTTCTTCTCTAGATAAAGAATCTAATATTAGTTCTTATTATACTTTATTCTATAAGAGTAGATAGATCTCTTACTATTAGAAGTCTTATCTTAAAGTATTAATTACTCTATTAATCTTTAAATAGGCTTTATTATTATATTAAATAATTCTTTAGCTAATCTCTTAATTATTATTATTATTATAAGCTATTATTAAAGCTAGTAAGTAAGTATATAGTTATTTAGAATTAACTCTTCTTAATTAAGAGTATTTATATAGATCTAGATAAAGATATTACTAACTTTATTAATACTATTAATAATAATAAGAAAATTCTCTATAGGCTAGTTATCTTAAATATTATTAATATTAATATTCTTAATATATTATAAGGCCTATTTCTATTATTTAATCTATATTAATAGATTAATAGATCTAAATAATTATCTAGCTTATTAATATTAAGCTTAAGCTTATATTCTTATTTTAAAGCCTAATAACTTAAGATATTTCTTTAAGATTATTAATCTTATCTATACTAATCTAATTCTTAGTAATTATCTAATTACTTCTATCTTATTAAAGATCTATATAATTATTTATTATTATTCTTCTAATAACTTATTAAATAGAATTATATACTACTTAATTATTTAATAAATAAGCTTATTTATTTTAATTAGCTTTTTATTCTTCTTCTTATATATTATATTTAGAATCTTCTATTTATTTAACTTTATATTAAAGAAGTTCTTTCTTATTCTAAACTCTAGATATATTATTATTAGTTATTTCTTTTAAAGTATTATTAAGAGAATAGAAGAAGATCTTAAATAATCTCTAGAAGACTTTAAAGTTTAATCTCTATCTAGATTAATATATTTCTAGATTTTATTATCTATAACTTTAAGATAGATATATAAATATTATATATTCTAATCTACTTTATTAATAAGAATTATTATTTAATTATTATTTAGATTCTTTTTAACTATAATATTATAATTAAATAATTAAGAGGATTAATTAAGTAATACTCTAACTTAAATAGAAGATTAATTAGATTATTATTATATTCTAAAGGGTTTTAATTACTTCTTATTAAATTTAACTATAGAAATCTATAACTCTATAGTCTAAATCTTATAATAATTATTCTAGATAGATAGACCTACTCTAATCTACTTAATTAAATATTAATTAGACTTATAACTATTAACTAAGGATTAAATTAATTAAATTCTATTTATTAAGATATCTAATTCTAAGAGAGAAAAGGGGAAGGCCGCTAGGGGGCCGCCGGCCCTTAGGGGTGGCCCTAAAGGGCGGTGTAGTTAGGCAGAGACAGCTCCACATACTAAATTTACCCTGGGGTTGTCCTTAGTGGACCAGCCCCTTCTGACACTCGGGCACCTGCGTTTACCTAGGCGCCCAGTGGTGATCAGATTGCTCACTCAGCTGGTAACGCAAGTACCTCCACAACTTGAGGATAACCCGTGGTAACAGAGATACTTCACTGTCTATTAAACCCATTGACTTTAGGCGGGAGGTAAACCCGTTTCGTGGTACCTCTTGATCATCCCGTCAACTATTCTGAGCCCCCCTGTGTGGCGCTTAGCTGGGCCCACCGCCAATTGTACAAGTAGGGAGGATCTTGCAGGGGGGCATGTTTGGAGGCTGATGCACGACAGAATCATGAGGGTCGTTGCGCCCGTCTCTCTTACGTAGTGAAGTTAACTCTTCGCATGGCCTGTTGGCCTGCTCTTTCTTTCTTTCTTTATTTTGTCCTTGGCTCTTGGTTGTACATTTCTGAACATTTCACTGTTGCTATTGCTACTGTTGCTACTGTTACTACTAGTCTCTATTGTGCTCTCAACCTTGTCATGGGTCCTGCCCGCAATGAAGACCCGATCAATATCCTGTCCCTTGGTAAGCGAACACGCAAGAAATTGATGGTTTAGTGTACACCAAAACTGATATTCCTTGCTCAGATGGGGGAGGAATCAGGGGCGTTTCCGAGCTTGTCATACTCCATGATATCATGCTAGCCATCAAGGAGCGAGACAAGTTGGAGTATCTACCCAAGCCATGCGATTATTTCGATCTCATTGCCGGAACAAGTACTGGCGGGTAAGGCTCGACCTAAGAAGATATTAAAGTCCCAGGCAATGTCCGCTGACGTTACAACTTGTCTAGTCTCGTAGCAATCATGTTGGGAAGGCTCAAAATGACCACTACAGAAGCCCTCGACGAGTACGACAACTTTGCGAAGAATATATTTTCATTCAGAAACAGGAGAGTCGATGTCAAGATCAAATTTGGCGACAAGGCGCTCCAACGGGCCGTGGAGAGCATCGTATCAAAGAGAGGCAGCGATGACATTATGCTGGATCCTCATGGTTCCTCGGAGCGCTGCAAGACTTTTGTCTGCGCCATGCCTACTCTCAACCAGGGTGATCCGATCCTCTTTCGCTCCTACGATATTGAGGGCTACCCGTTCCGGACATGCAAAATCTGGGAAGCCGCTCGAGCCACAAGCGCAGCCCCTCACTACTTCAAGCAGATGAGCATCAAGTCGGATCTAGACACTGTCGAGTATTTCATTGACGCAGCGATCGGCTGCAACAACCCGGCGGCTGTAGCCCTCAAGGAGGCCAGTGAGATCTTCAACAAGTCGCGCCGCATCGGTTGTATTGTGAGCCTTGGAACTGGTACCAAGAGCAAGAATTTGGAGCAGTCGTCGATGTTGATCAAGTATGGAATCCGACTTTTCAACTTGCTCAAGGAGTCAACCTGTGACACAGAGACAGTCCACAGGAGGTTCAAGTCAGACTTTACGGACTTCCCACACACTTACTTCCGCTTCAACGTACCCGGAGGTGCAGAGGATATCAGCCTGGGAGAATGGAGGAAGATTCCCATGCTTAAGGCAATGACAACACGATATCTCGAGGTCGCTGCGAAAGAGGAGGTGCTCAAGGCCGCAGATGTTCTGCGAAAACACGACAGCGAGGGAATTACCTTGGGTCAAGCATGCGACTTCGACAAGGGACAACTCATCCTATCGGACAGGGTTGCGTGCCCAAGGGGCGTCTCCAGTCGGCTTTTCACTGGACGCCGAGAAGTGCTAGAGAGACTTGGAGAAGTCTTCCACAGCCGGCCTGCTGGATCAGGCCCACGTCGAGAGTTCTTGATGTATGGAATGGGCGGTGTTGGCAAGACGCAGATCGCCCTCAAGTTTGGTGAGACCCATGCAGACAACTTCAAACACATGTTCTGGGTCGATGCAACAGACTCTATCACTCTGGACCAAAGTTTTGCATCTATCGGTTTGGAGGTCATGGGACCTCAGGCGGGGTCAGGAGGTCGAGGAACGACGAAACAAGTCCTCAATTGGCTCAGCAAGTCAAAAGATGAATGGTTCATCGTCTTTGACAGCTGCGACGACCTGTCAGTCCTTGACGACTATGTCCCGAACGCCGACCGGGGCAATATTCTCTACACGAGTAGGGACAATAGTCTCCGGCAACGCCTACCCAGAGGCGCAGAGATGGAGATCAGCGAGCTTAAGGAGGACGAAGCCATCACGTTGTTCCTAAAAGCCGCAAGGCAGCCGCCCGAAGCCAGGGAGAACAGGAAACTGGCAAAGCCTATTGTGACGGAGCTCGGCTGCTTACCACTCGCAATCGACCAGGCCGGCTCGTACTGCTTCATGACCAATACGGCATTGGACAAGTACGAGGTCATGTTCAGGGAACAGAAACGCGAGATTCTGCGAGAAACCCGTTTTGAGGGTGCAAATTCCCGAAACAGCACGGTGTATGCATCTTTCGATGTTTCTTACAATGCCATCAGGGCCCTGGCACGGGGCCAGAAGCACTCGTTGCTGGGGCGGGATGCATCCAGTGCAATCCGCATATTGAACTTGATCTGCTTTTACCACTATCAAGGAATCATGGGCGAGATCTTTCAACGGGCCGCCGTGGCGAGACACCGGAGGAACAGGGGGCGACGAACCTGGGCGATACCGTTAGGATCGGGAGAGGTGAGCATCGAGCCCCTTGTACAGGTCAAGGACAATGGGAAATGGGACAACAGCCGGTGGAAAGCGGGAATGCAGCTCCTTGAACGGTTGTCTTTGGTGAAGAAAGACGATATGGGCAATTTCACTATGCACGTCCTGGCCCATGGTTGGGCCAGAGATCGCATGGACAAAACCGACGCCCGTCAACAGGCTCTAGACGCACGCACCCTTCTCTATGACTCTTTGCCAAGCAGCAAATATCCCGACGATCTCATCTACAACCGAAAAGTGATGCCTCACCTCATGGCTTGTCAAGAGATCGAAGAGAGAAACCCACGCGATGACATCGAGAGCTTTTTCAACTACAAGGCAGCAACACCGCTAATACAGGCGGGTCAATTCAACGAGGCAGAGGTGGTGTTGAAGAGAGCTCTGGCGTTGAATGCAGACGAGATGGACGGCGACGGCTATCCCAGCAACTCTGTTCAGACCATGGAGTTCCTGGCCGAGTTGTACGAGGAACAGGCACGTTTCGGAGAAGCAGAACCACTGCGCCTTCAGGTACTGGAGAGGACACAGGCGCAGTACAGTGACCTTGCAGAGAGCACCATAGAGGCCAAAAAGGCGCTAGCAGAGCTGTATCAACTTCTCGACCCAGACAAAGCCGAGGCGTACTATGAACAGGTGGTCGACGCACTGGAGCAGAAGTACGCACATAACCTGGGCCATATAGATGTGGTGCGGGCTAGAAAACGGCTCGCCTACTGGAAAGCCAGCGAAGCAGGGGAGGAGATCCCTCTGCAGGAGTGGGAGGAACTTTACCATATGGCCGTCGAAGAATATGGCGCCTACAGCCGATTAGCGATGGGGTACAAAGGCAATATCGCGAGAAGCCTCATGAACGACGGTAGGTTTGCCGAAGCCGAAGATCTGCTCGTGGAGCTGTACAAGTACAACCGCAATTCCTACGGGCAGGACCACCCCGAAACCGCCCAATCGATGTGCGATAGCGCCGAGATACTGGTATATCAAGGATTGTACGTGTTAGCTGAATGGTTTGCCGGTGTGGCATTCATCATATTCAAGCGGGTTCTCGGTGAGACGCATCCCAAGGCGGTGAGAGCACTCAGTCTCTCAGGAATGGCGATAGCCGGTGCGGGCCACTACGAGGAGGCTGCGCGCAGGTTACGACAGTGCCTCGAGCTGGCGCGAAACAGTGCCTGTCCACTCGAGAAGAAGATCAAGGAATACGAGGAACACCTCCAACAAGCGGAGGAACAGGAGCAGGAAACGGCGGTGATGCAGTCTCAATTCCGGTGGAACGTCTTGCTCACCAGGAAGAAAAGGGGGGCCCAATTTGACGATATTCTCGAAACATTCAGAGAAAGATGGGGGTTCAGTTCTGTTGAAGAGAACGATTTTCTCGGCAGACTTCCGATGGATCACGACATGGAAGCACTTTTTGACGGCAGCCTCCCGATGGATCACGACACGGAAGTAATTCTTGACGGCAGTGCGAATGAGCTTCCACGTGAAGTACTTGACGCATAGGACAGCGAATGCTTACTACCAAATAATCACTACCACCCTCGCCTCTTCTTTCATGATTTATCTCGCTCATCATCGTATTGACATGGGTAAAATGTGCATATGAACCTATATGAAGGCTGCAATTACAGTGCGCTGCTGACCCGAATTACATGTTGGGGAGGAAGACAGAATGTAAAAGACCCCAGAGATAAAGCAAGGAAGTTGAAGGGCTTCTCGTCATTTGAAGACCAAAAAATGTTGAATTACATAGCAGCCCTAAGCTGTCTGTCAACTCGGGTTGCTAGGACTCCGTAAGAGAAGTCATGGTATGTATATGGTATGTATGTTGATCATGAAGAGCAGGACCTGCTCTATTTAGTTCATTCATTCATCATGCCTAGCCCGGATCCCACCTCACCCAATGCAACGCAGCAAAGAAAACGCCGAGTGAAAATGGATGGTAGTCAGCTGGATCCTGCGCCCTCAGGCATCGTCCAGATACCAAGTCGAGTCGAAGCCCTCGTCCAGCTCCTTGGTCGACATGCCGTTCCCCAGGTACCAGAACCTATTCCTCCTCCCCTTGTCGCCGCCGCTCGGCGGCGCGTCGTACACGTACTCGTAGTCCTCGCCGCGGAACGCCTCGAGCATGTGGAAGAAGTGGATGCGGCTGCCCGGGTGCAGCGCCGTGACGGGGCCCTCGGCGCGGCCGCCCTTGAACCACGACCGGCAGCCCGGGGCGGCCCAGGTCGTGCGCGGCATGAACGACGTGATGTGCTCAAAGTAGTCGTCGACGGCGGCCTGGCTCGGCGCCAGGGCCTTGATGCCCTCCGTCTGGCACTTCTTGATGGCGCCCGCCACGTAGGTGGCGATGTGCTCCGACAGCGTGAAGACGCTGCCGTGCCCTATCGGTGCGTTGGGCCCGAGGAAAGCTGTTGTGCGTGTGACGCAAACCGGTTAGCAAACGGTTCGATGTGGCGCAGAGTGTCTGTCTTGTCAAACATGCAGGTCGCAGTAGGGGGTGTGTGACTTACTAAAGTAGTTAGGCAGGCCTGCAATGGCGCACGACATGTACGCCTTGGGCGTCTCCTTGCTCCAGATGTCCTGCAGATTACCGTTGCGGCCTATCAGAGGGAAGCGAGGCGAGAAGGATAGGTCGAATCCGGTAGCGCAGACGATCACGTCGACTTTGACGACCTCTCCTGACTCCATCTCTATACCTTCGGGAACGAACTTCTTCATGCCGCCGGTGAGTACATCCACGTTCGGTTTTGACAGCGCTGTGAGGTATTGTGGCGCGGGCGTCATTCTCCTGCACCCTAGGGGATAGTTGGGGATGAGGGCTTTGCACAATTTTTCATCGCCGCCGAGCATCTTCGTCATGTACTGCTTAACATGTTGCGTGGCAAAAGCCTGCATGGGGCTATCTTTAAGGACCTGTCCAGAGAGCAGTGAGCGGAAGTTCTGCATGCATCTTCAACGAGAGAGAGACTATGACTTACGATGGGGAAGGAGCTGTTCACTTGCTTCTCGATTCCCTTGACAAAGGTGCGGTAGAATTCCGGATCAGACTTGAACTTCTCGATCTGTTCTGAAGTGAAATTCTCGTCTTCGTCGATCTTGATTTGACTCAATAGCTCCGCGGCCCCAGTCATAGCAAATGTCGGAATTCTCGGCGGAATAACCCATGTGGGCGAGCGAATAATATGGACAAGTTTCTGGACATCTGCACTCGGTGTTAGAAGATACGACACCTACCCTTGTGCGTAGTGAGCCTCACCTGGCTGCAGGGCAGGTACTATTTGGATACCAGACGAGCCATTCCCGATAACTGCCACAACCTTATTCTTGTAGTCGAAGTCCTTGGGCCAGTTTGCGGTGTGTATTAGGTCCCCCTTAAAGTTGTGAAGTCCCTCAACATCAGGCCATCTCCACTTGCTACACAGCTTCGTGTTAGCTCACTGCACGCGGAACAATCAAGGGGCTGGCCCTTGGATTTGCTTCATCAGGGTGACAAAAATATAGAGTCTTACTTGAGGATACCGGACGCATCGACAACGAAATTGGCCTGGTCGACAAATTCCTCTCCGGTTTCTAGGTTGACGATGTTGAGCCTCCAAAGGCCTTGGCCCTCGTCCCACTGTGCCGAAGCTACCTGGTGCTTGGTTTTGATGGCGTCGAGCATGTTCTCGTCCTTGCATATCTGACAAAGGTAGGCGCCGATCTCCTCGGCCGGGGAAAAGAAGTTGGTCCATTCCTTGTTCTGCCGCCAGGAGAACTGGTAGCTGTGGCTCGGAACGTCGCAGCGGCAACCGGGGTACCGGTTTTCAAGCCATGTGCCGCCGACGTCGTCGTTCTTCTCGTAGATGATGTGTTCGTAGTTTTGAAGTGTACGGCGGAGAGTGCGAATCATGTTGATACCGCTGGCGCCGGCTCCAATGCCGACGATCCGGACATGTTTGGACGTGCCGAGCGGTTCCTCTCTTACTGAGTAGTCACCCATGTCTGCAGGACTTGGCGGAGTAGGAGGGAGTTCGGGGTTGGAATAGGGAGGAAGTCTGCCTTTCTCCATGGTGACCTACGCTACTTTATGTACTAAAGAAGGTGGACCGGTAGAAGAGGGGGGGAAAGGGTAGGGAGGTGCAGGATGGCAAGATGGGATGAACGCAACCGAGGAAGCTTCCTAACAGTCACTAGCTTCTGGGACAGGAAGACAGTGGAGTGGACCGATGTGGATGTGAATGTGAATGTGAATGTGAAAGTGAAGGAGGAGCGTCACAAGCTATTTATCAAAGAAAGGACGACAATGGCTGCTGGCATCAGGATATACGGAGCTCTGAGTGAGTTGATGCGGGTCATGGAGACGCAACTGTGGTTCCACGCCGAGGCCTGATAGATGAAAAGAGACCAAAAGCAAAAGGACACAGCTGAAGAGATGAGGTCGGCAGCCAATGATAGAAAGCTTCCTATTGAGAGATACGGCAGGATTCAAGCAGGCTTGAAAGAGAAACCAACCCCGACTCACCTCGGGCTGCGATAGACAGGAAACGACGGACCTACCAACTTGAGTAATGTATACGGATGCGAGGCCGAGTCGGACCCGGATCTGCGATTCGCGATCTGCTCTCCCCACCACCAGCGACTCCCTGGACCCTCCAGAGAGAGCTCTGTTGGCTGGTTTACGGAGCCAGGTAGGGGCCAAAGGCGGAGATCTTGACTCCGACATACGGTGGTGTAGAGGAATTGCCATGTGGCTAGGCGTCTGGGGGGAGGGGCATGCGAGCTCCGGTCGGGCCCAAGCTCTTTTACTAGTGGAAACGACCGTTGGATAAGCATGGCAGACAAGAGGAAACAGGATAAAGGGCCAATTGCTAGTGTTGGAGTGAATAAGAGGCGTCCAGTCGGCCAGAGTGGGAAGTCGTAAACCGTCCAACCACAGGAGCAGGATCCGGGGACGGGATATAAGAGCTTCGTGCAGATGCGGGTTTAGTGGCAAATGGGACAGAGGCCTGGGAACAGGGGGGATGCCGTTCTTCTTGCTGGCCCTGCACGAGGGAGACGAGACTTGCTTGCTGCACTGGCCTTGTGGGCTACGGTTTAGGTAGGTAGGTAAGCAGAGCCGATCTTGTGGGTGATTTCCTTGCTTGAGTCTGTCGCATGTCCAAGTTTCCTACATGGCCCGGGCTCGCCTTGTCGTCGCTTTGCCTCTGTCTCTCTTCTCCTCTCCCTCTCTGGCAACCAACCGACTGGCCGGAGCGGCAAATAAAAGCTTAAAGCGGACGGACGATCCTTGACAGCCTGCAGTGCAGTTGCAGGATGCCAATCCTGGTGTCGACACCAGCAGATGTTGCATGCACATCAAGGTTGGATTGGTTTGCTTGATTGGCTGCTCAACGGTCACCAAGCCGGCAATGCCACAAAGACAGTGCGTGGGCCTGACTGACAGTGCGTACTTGGGCCAAGTGGATACTGGACTTTGGACTGCGACCCTGGACCTGCTCAGCTCGAAAGGGCTGCCGTTGTGGCTGCGTCAGCCCAGCCCCACAGGCCTCTTGTCCACTGACAGCGCCCGCCCTGCCTTCAGCAAACCCACTGATAAGATATCCATGGATGGATACCTCACACTGCTCACACTGGTGGCTCGCGGCAAGGACGAGAGCACGGGCACCGCTGCCGAGCGCGGCAAGTTTTTAGGTAGTGTGGGGATGCAGCAATGTTGATCCTGGAGGAATCTTCCAAACAGATCCTAACGTTACCTTACCTCTTCTCGTTCTTTCTTCTTGCGCGAAACTTGCTTCTCAGCCAGACAGGAAGACAGTCGGCCCGCCAAAACGAGAAAGAGGGAAGGTCGTCCTCGTCTCGGTAGGACACGACCAGGGTCAAGGCCGCGCCGTCATGGCCTCCTCCTTCTCCTTCTCCTTTGGCGGAGATGACATAGACGAGGACTCTCAGCTGGTGGCGAGCGGCGATGCTGGGCGTACTCAGATTGCGCAACCACCAGCGCCACCGCCAAGTGCATTCCCTGTTCAGGGGAAACCGATGCTTCCGCCGACAGAGCATCAACTGGCTGACATGCTCTCGAGGCTGCCCTCCAAGATTGCATACAGTACGTTGGCTGTCGAGCTCGGCGGGCGCGAGATGATCCACCTACCGCGCCGCGAGCTGTGGGACGTCCGTGTGCAGCTCATGGCCGAGGACGAGGGGCACGGCGCCGAGAAGGGCGCCGAGGAGCTGGAGCCAGGCCTGGGCGAGCACGACGTCAAGACGGGGATTTACGAGGGCGGCTTCAAGAGCTGGGAGAGCAGCGTCGACCTCGTCAAGGTATTGGCCGAGGAACGCCTCTCCCCAGTCGCCGCCCTTGCCAATTCCCCAGTGAGGGTCATAGAGGTGAGCCACATAGTCCCATCTCGCGATCGCCAATGGTCGGCGCGTTCATGGATGCCTCGAGTAGCGCTGACTGAGATGTGATCGTCTGCAGCTGGGTTGCGGCACGGGACTTCCCTCCATTGCTCTCTTCCAATGGGCATCTGCAGAGCTTGCTGCTCAGAAGAGACATCCGCTGTCCCTCGTGCTTGCTGACTACAACCCGTCCGTTCTATACCTCGTGACCCTGCCCAACATTCTATTGGCATGGGCTCTGCAGCAGCAAGAACACCACCCTGTTCTCAAAGAGGCACTCGCGTCCGAGGGTGAGCTCGATCTCACAGAGGATGTGAAGAGCGCTTTTCAAGCATTCCTGGTTGAACGGCAGATATCTCTCTCCTTCCTCTCGGGCGGATGGTCGGAAGATTTTGTCAACCTACTTTACAGCCCCAATGTCCTACCCCAAGCATTTGCCGAGTCCAACGCAGTGATCATAGGCGCGGAGACGATCTACTCACCGTTCGCCCAGAACCTATTTTCCGAGATCATTCTGTCGATTCTTCGAAAGGAGCATGTTGAAAGACCCAACAACAATGCTACGGCGATCGTTGCGGCCAAGAGGCTGTACTTTGGTGTAGGGGGCTCACTGGATGACTTCGTTGACAAAATGAGGACGTCTGGGGCAACGATCAACGAGCTGCGAGAGGAGACAGAGGGCGTTCGTCGCGGCGTTGTACAGTGCCTCCTCCCGTAGCCGACTCCCTGAGCTGAGCCTACTTTCATGACGCATCGACATTCATCACGGCACTCAAGCCCAACCTACGACCAGAGCCACGAGGCCTCGGCAACCACTGCCAGACCTATCCAGCTCTTTGTCGTCGCGTAGAAGGGTATCTCAGCTCCCTGACCAGCCAGCATCGCAGCTAAGCTCAAGGCGGGCATCTTTTCGCAAACGCGGTCCACTTCTGCCACCCTCTACACTCACACTAGATCATCAGATCTCTTTTCTTTTGGTCAGTGGTTACGTCTGGAGGGTTTGACTCAGTCTATGCTCCAAGCCTTATGCGATCTGCCAAACCTCTCTCCAAGACAGAGCCTGCCGTATCAAGCCAAGGATATTGGCACCTCGTATGTCATCAGCCCACCCTAGATACCCAGCAGCTGGCAAGCAGCGTCTCTGGCCTTCCCTCAAAAGACTTGGTAGAGATATTGCAATGAAAGGGATCCATCATCAGCAACGTACGATGACCACACCCCAGCCGTATATGCAGAACAAGCATGAATGCGCACACCCAAGTCCGTGGCACTTTTGAGTCTTTGGCAAGCTTGACGAGCATCTACAGTGGCTATCGGAGCCGGGACTCGAATGAAGATAACATACTCTACCAAGACCTTGTCCACTGAATCGAGGCAGCGGATGAATCATTCGTGAGATTGTTTTACCTGGTACTCTGCTTGGGCTCGGGTCAGGACAAATCAAAGTACTCCCAGTACTCCCCACGATGGACGTGGAGATAGTTTTCTGGGTCTGTTGCGGGTTGAGGAAGCTTGATCACTCAGGGCGCTGATCATAACGGCATCGGGAAAGAAATCCAACGTGCCAGAACGTCATACCTCCAGCACGCTCTTCTGGGCCTCCAGACAGGCGCTGGCTTGCCGCTTTATTCGATGCACTCTGTCGCGTTTCACAAAGCAAACGAGGGGCTCTGCCTGCGGCAGCCGTGCCTCAGCTGGTTTGGGGTTGAGAGCATCGGTGCTGCCGCCCGGAGGTCCTCGGCCAGCACGAATCGCACAGGTCTGCGACAGAGGCAGGGGACGGAGATTGCCAAGACTTGTCGCTGGTGGAGAAAGCGAGATCTTTCTTCAGTGGAACCATCTCCTCCTCTCTCAGCCCAGTCTGTGTGACGCAGCGCGTGTGTTTGCTGCAAGGAGCAAGTGATGGTCAGATTAGTTGACGGACTGCTAACAGAAGTACTTGACTATCTATCAAGCCCATCAGATTTAGGTAGTGGGATAGCCCTTCCGAGTTCCAGGGCAAGGATGTGACAAGGATACTGATTGTTAAGATTGAGGTAGCTCCTGATGAACTTCCGTCAACTATTCAGACGCCCACTTGAAGGAGAAAGAAGCTGTCGATCTGCCGCCGTAAGGAGCAGGACCCCGTGGGCTCGACGATTGTTGAAGACCTTCCAAGAATGGTTGTTCATTCGCTCCGTTCGCGGTAGAGGTGGTGCGCATGCTGTGCAAGCTTCTTGGGTATCATTTGCATGGAGCAACGGGCAAGAGACACTGGGTTCATTGACGAGATACAGATGCTGGGGAACAATCATGCACTCATCGATCTTGTACTGCCAGAAAGATTGTACGGTTTTACGGTGCATTGTAGGTAGGCAGCCACGAAAGCGGACACGACGCCCATTGCAGTGACAGCGGGCCCAGCGGGCCCTGTGGTGCCCCGGTGCAGATGCAGGTACACGGCCCACAAGGGTCGCATTAGGCCCATAGCAATTTTGCATCGGTGGAATGAACGTCTTGTGCCCAGAGTCTTTGCATTTCCGCCATGTGAAATGGTTCCTTGGCCTGCTTTCAACGTGATAGTCCATGGTAGACACATGGACGGAGTAGGTAGTCAATGGCGGGTATCTGTGTCTGTCGTGGTGGGTTGCTCGTATCAGACAGTTCTACGGGATGCGGCAAGGAGAAAAAGGGGCGAATGGGCGGGATAGCCAATGTGTGCCGAGAGGTGTCATGCAAAGGTGTACGAATGAGACAGGGCTTTTCCGGAGCAGCCGCCTTGATGTTTGCAGTTGCAGTTACATTGAGTACCAAGAGTACCAACACCATCACATCATCGCCACGGGGCCAGCGATGGCTGTGGGCGCACGGCGGCTTGATCTCAAGACAGCATTGCTATTGGACTTTTGTTGACTTGTGCGCGTCCATGAGTGAAATGGATCTTCAGCTTGGAGGCCATGGTATGACGATGCTTGCCCAGCCGGTCTGGAATGTAGGGTCGCGTTGAAACAGCCAGACTGTTGAGCCAGGCCCGTGGCTTAGACGAGGCCACGCAACGGCTGGCGTCTGTCGGTACTTTATTGCAGCATCTCCATGCCACAGCCAGCATGGACGACACCACCCAAAACTAGAAAACCTCGTAAAAGGTGGCTCGCAGCTGTCGAACGAAGCAGCCACTCCAGGCACCATCTTCCCGGGAGAGGCCTTCTAGCTCCGTAGTGGTGGTGGTTCGGGCCTCCTGGACGCTAGCACGGCTAGCAGTGGAAGAGTTGGCGCCGTCTCCAGGCGTCCCCTGCGTCGCCCCCCATTATTAGCGTAAATTATCACAAGGCCCCAGTGGCGCACTAGGCCCGAAAGGCATCACCTTGGGATCGGCTCGCGTCGAATCTGGGCGTGTGTTGCTGGGTTCTCCAAATTGCTATGCAACGGGGGCCACGGGAGAAGCTTGCAGCAAATCTCACCTTCACCCAGTTTCCCTTTTTCCTCTCCTCACCACCCTCGTTCACCAATCTTCCTGGTTCCCTGCCTAGCCAAAGTCAACCTCTTTTTCAATTCTTCATCACGCTCGCTCTGTCTCTTCGACACCTTCTTGTCTTTCTATCAACCTCTTGTAATCTGTGCATCACAATCACTTCGTGTAAGTCTCGCCCCCTTTAAGTCTACCTGAGAGAGACGCGCACGCCAGCTCTGCCTTCGCCAGAGAATCGTGGTCACCCTTCAGCTTTCGAGAACCGCCTGGAATTTGACTGTGACGTGGATATCCTCCCGCTTGCACCTACATTCCAGCTCCTCGCGGTTTCGATATCATCTTCCACCTCTTCCCACTTTCACTTCTGCCCTCCACCTCAAATCGCAGTTCCAAACTCGCGCATATCCTCTCGCCTACCAAAACAACGCATCTGACATCCTCAAACAGCTTTCAGACAAAACCAATAATCCGTCAAAATGAAGTTCCCTACCGCCGCCGTCTTCGCAGTCCTCGCTGCCATCGCCGAGGCCAAGGTCCAGTTCACCAACTCCAACTATGACATTACCGAGGGTGATCCCTTCACCCTGAAGTGGTCCGGCGCCGAGGGCCCCGTCACCATCACGGTCAAGTCTGGCCCCGAGACCAACCTGAAGGACGTCATGGTCATCGACTGTGAGTTGTCAATGCCCTTGGTCCCGCCAACGCGCGACGCGCCAGGCGGATTATCCTGCTCCGATTTACTGACATGATCTCTTGCGCGTCCTAGCCGCCGACTCTGGCACCTCCTTCACCTGGACCCCCAAGGGTCTGCCCTCGGGCACCTACGCCTTTGAGATCAAGGACAGCACCGGCGTCCCCAACTACTCGCCCCAGTTCACCTACCAGGGCACCGGCACTCTGTCCTCCACCGCCGGCAGCTCGTCTGCCAGCAAGACCTCGACCTCTGCCAGCAGCTCCTCCAGCGTTAGCAGCACCATCACCAGCTCCAGCTCCAGCTCCTCCGCCTCGAGCACCAGCTCCTCCTCCTCTTCCAGCCGCAGCAGCAGCAGCTCTAGCAGCAGCAGCAAGAGTAAGTTCCTGATCATCTAACCCGCTTTGCCATTCTGCTTCCTGGGGCAGACGTGGGGGGCTTGGAAAAAGAATCCCTGTACTGACTCAACCTGTGTAGCTTCTTCGAGCACCTCTTCCACCTCCACCCCCACCAACACCAGCCGCCCCAGCAACACCAACGACAGCCAGAACCTCAAGTCTCCCCTGGCCCTGCTCCTCCTCACCGTTGGCGCCCTCGTCTTCTTCCACTAAGAAGCGCGGCAATTCGGCCTGCTCGGTGTGTGAGTGTTTGGCATGTGTACAGTACGTACTCTGGATGGCACGGATCAACATCCCTCCCTCGAACGAATTCTTGTTACACGCAAAGATCTCCTTTATTCTTTGGTGGCATAGCTAGCTAGCATCCTCTCCTTTGTTGTCCTGGAGGTGGTTTTCCCCCCTCTACTTCTTTTTTTTCTTTCTACCTCGAAGCAACGTACATATCTTCGTCGTTCTAGGGAGCCTCAAAAAATCTTCTTGGTGGCTGTAGGTGTTGGTCCTTAATGTCTGATCATGTGGGAGGAGTTTGCCGAACTCCTCGAGGAGGATAGTTGTGTGTGGATAGGGATTGAATTTCAAAAAAAAGACACTCTGCAAAAAGACTTGTTTGCCTCTGCCCAACTTGCGGTGATACCTGGGCCGTTTGTGCCGGTCGTGTGTCCCGTCAGTGCATATGTGTCTGCTTCCAAGCCGTGTGATCTGCTGCTTTCCTAGGTGACACAACTGTGTCTGACAGGCGGCCCGATCTGGGGTACATCACTGATCAGTGGTGGTTAGCTGCAGCAGGATGCATCATCCTTGCAGATGCATCATACTTTGCACATGCCTGCATTAGTACGGCTATTCCGGACCAAAAAGAAAAGAATAAACGAATTGAAAAAAGAAAAGCCACCTACGATCAAGCCCGAACGGAAATTCATCAGGAGATACTTCAATGTTAACAGTGCATATCCTTCTTCTGGGACTTGCAAGAGCTATCCCACTATGTAAAACTGAATAGGTTTAGATGGTCAAGTACTTCTGTTAGCAGCCTGTCGAATAATCTGAATAGCAAAAAAAGTAAAAGGAAAACTCTATGTAGATATGCCAGGGCCGTTTCCAATCAACAGCGTCTATCTTGTGTGTCCCGCTAGCCCCTCCGGTCTATTATGCTGTATTACAACAAGTAGGAGGGGACAGGTAGTATATGTATGATCATGTACAATTCAAGGTAACCTCCAACGCCAGGCAAATGCAATGGTTCTTCGAGACGTACACCTTCCTCTTCAATCATGCCGAGACATTCATCGTACCACACACACCCTCTCACAGTCGGCTCTTCACCGGCGGCGGCTGGGGGGTCTTCTCGGACACGACGGCGACGACAACGCAGATGTCATCCACCTTGCCCCCGTGCCACGTATCGAGCGGGTAGAACTTCTTGACCTCCTTGGCGAAGGGGCCGTCCAGCTTGGTCGATACGCTCGCCGCCTTGGCCGCGGCCGTGATCTCGGTGGCGATGCGGCTCTGCAACGTGCCCAGCGGACGCGCCTTGTGGCCATCCGCCGCAGCAGAAGCCGCAGCCTCGGTGCTGGTCAGAGGCTCGAGGTCGGGCGCGACCCTGATGCCGGCGTCGGTGTCGCGCCAGGCGCCGGTGCGGATCATGGCGCGGCTCACGATGCGCAGGATATCCTGGTTGAAGAGATTGTCCCACAGGCCGTCCGAGGCAAATACCAAGACGTCGCCGTGGCGCACACCGTGGTGGGTGACTTCGGCGTCTTTCGGGAGGTCGCTGAGCTGCGCGCCTCCAAAGGCAGCCATGCGAGCCATGACGCTCGGGGGGATCACGCTCAGCTGAAAGGGCGTGTTGAAGGCGTGGATCTGAGGGTCGGAAAAGGCGTGGACGGCATTGAGCCGCAGCTGGATGAAGCCGCTGTCGCCCAGGTTGGCAACCTCCAGCAGGCCGTCCGGGGTGAGTATGCCAACGATCGCGGTAGACCCGCCTGCCGGAATCGATCTATCCGAGCAGACAGTCTCATATCCTTTCTGCATCAGATTTCGCGCCGTAAGCGTTTGTCCCTGGCTGCCGGGTGCCCGGCCGTGATCGTAGGCCACCGACGCCATGTAATCGCAGAAGCTGTGCGAGAAGTCTGCCGGATCGACACCCGAGTCCATCCAACCGCCCACGCCGTCCGCTACGCCCAATGCGACGGCGCCGGTATCGCCAATGCGGCTGACGAAGAAGGCATCCTGTCCGCTTTCAGGGCGCAAGTGCTTCTTCCGCGTCTGTTGTAACCGATTGTACGGGTTGAAGTGGAAGACGTGCGTCGACGGGTCGTATGGATGGTCTTTCGCGATGTATGACGCTGCGATGTCGTATGAGAATTTGCTGCTGCTACTCGTCGCCGGCGAGGGAGCCGATGTACTACTGGAGGAGAGCCATCGTCGTCCGAGCTGCTGCTTGCTCGCGCCCAGGGGCATAGGCCGTAACGTTGTGGAAAAGCCGCCGAGTCGCGCTGAGCTTACTGTCAGCAATCGCAACATAGAAGCACCAGTGCATACAACACCGGATGGCGAAGGGAGGTACGGACGTCGCAGGGAGGATCGCGCTACTGATACTGCTGGACGCGCTGCCTGCGTGGCCATATCTCTCTCCCAGATGCTGTCAGACAAGGCCGAGCGATGCTGAAAGCTGGATGTGCGACGCCCTCCGAGAGGGTTCGCCTTTGGTGGATTATACCGAAAGTGCAGAGGCCAAAGGCATTTCAAACAATTTGGAACTGTGGGAGAGGCAATTCGGTCGATAGAGAATTATGAGACCAGATGGCAAAGCCAAGACGGCCAGAAAAGTTCGTCTGGGTCTTTCTTTTATTAGTGGAGATTCGTCCAGAGGCGCAATTCAATCGAATGTGTTGTTGTTCTTGGGACGAAAGTACAGTAAGCTTCTTCCAACTCAGTTACGCAGGTCGTCAAATTTCCGCTTTGAGCAGATGCACCCCACTACTGGAGCCAAAAATGCTGTTCGTCCGAACTTGGCAGGTAGCTGGTGTTCAATGTTGCTATTTCCTCGCTCGCTCGCTCGCAGGCTATTTCCCCGATAGTGTCGGATGATAAGGGACTGCCTCAATTTCGATGAGCGTCAGCTTCTCATCACGTGCAGAGTCCCACATCTCTGCACGTGATGCGCTTACCCCAGCCGAGAAGGTCGAGCATGGCGGGTGGCTCCGATTCGTTCCTGCTCTCGGGACTCTGGCAATTGTAAACCTCGAAGCTGTGATTGGTCCAGAGGGCTAGCGCACGCATCGCATGGAACTTTCATAACCGAGGTGTCCCGAGTGCAAAGTCAATGATGCACAACACACACCGTTGCCACCAACTCTTCCGCGAGACGTGAAGCCTCTCAACACTTCCAGGCATATTTCTTTCTTACCGTCGATTAATCGGTATCGACGAACAGAATTGAATTGGAAGGTCTTCGACGACTGGGAGGCTCCCGCTTACGCGCATCGCACCCGACACAATGGCTTCTCTCCGATCCACCTCCTCACGGCTTCTTGCCGCTGCTCGCCCATCCCTGAGCCTCCGGCCCGCGATGGGCGTTCGCTCAATGGCCTCCGTCAGCGAGCCAGCCCCGACTCCCGAGGCCAACATGAAGAGCTTCCAGATCTACAGGTGGAACCCTGACAAGCCGACCGAGAAGCCCAAGATGCAGACCTACACCCTCGACTTGAACAAGACCGGTCCCATGGTTCTCGATGCCCTCATCCGCATCAAGAACGAGCTCGACCCTACTCTGACCTTCCGAAGGAGTTGCCGAGAGGGTATCTGCGGTAGCTGTGCCATGAACATCAACGGCACCAACACCCTGGCCTGCCTGTGTACGTCGCTGCCCTCCAATTCCCGAAATGTCTCGTCGCGTACGGAATTGTCGTCGAGCACTCCCGCTAACAAACCCCCACAGGCAAGATTCCTAAGGAGACCAACGCCGACATGAAGATCTACCCCCTCCCCCACACCTACGTCGTCAAGGACTTGGTCCCCGACTTGACGCACTTCTACAAGCAGTACAAGTCTATCAAGCCCTACCTGCAGAGGGACACCCCCGCTCCGGATGTATGTGTTGCAGAAATCGAGAGATATGCTCTGTGGTAGCTTTGGACATATGCTGACTATTCCATTAGGGCAAGGAATACCGACAGACCAAGGAGGACCGAAAGAAGCTCGACGGCCTCTACGAGTGCATTCTCTGCGCCTGCTGCTCGACCTCGTGCCCATCTTACTGGTGGAACTCGGAGGAGTACCTCGGCCCTGCTATCCTGCTTCAGTCCTACCGCTGGCTCGCCGACTCTCGTGACGAGAGGACTGCTGAGCGCAAGAGCGCCCTGGAGAACTCGATGAGCCTGTACCGTTGCCACACCATTCTCAACTGCACGAGGACATGCCCCAAGGGCCTGAACCCCGGTCTCGCCATTGCCGAGATCAAGAAGTCGATGGCTTTCTAGATGTGGAAGTTAGACGCGAGGTGGCTGCTGGGGCTTTGTATTGGAATCGGAGATATTGGTTAGGAGATGAACGGAGGGTGGGGAAGTGCAAGAGACAACGATGTCGAGTCTCTTCGCACCTGTAAAACTGGGCTCTATCAAGGGTTTTACGCGCATGATCGGAGTTTACTTTGTGTCACAGTAACATCAATGCGAAAGCAGTATTTTTCTTAGTCAAGCCAATTCGACTTTTTTCCTGGCTCGGAACCGACGTGTTGGAAGTGAAGGGAAGTGTGGATTTGTTCAGCTAACTGCAATATAAATACATCCGACGAAATGGTTTCGGGAACCGCCGGCTGCATAACGAACAGACTCTCCGATTTTGAGAAAAGAAGCATACTGTGGACGAATGGACGGTCCAGTCATTCGCATCCGGCATGGCCGGTGCGGATGTTAACCTCGGCACTCATTGGCTGATGGTCATGGCACCCTCGTATACCAGGTCGATGGGCATGTAGTTCTGGGTCGTGATGCTGGAGCCTGGATAGTTTGGCGAATGTCAGTCGATTGTGTCTGGGTCCCACCAGAGTCGTGAAGGGGACGAAAAATTGGGGAGGGGAAAAGGGAACTTACCATCCAGCCAGGTGACCTTCCACTCGCCGCCCGCCTTGGCCGGGAAGACGACCCAGCGACCGCCCTTAGCGGTGTAGGACAGGCTGCCAAGGTTGGGCTCGCCCGGGTCGCCGGCGCTGTTCATGGCGAACGAGGTCCAGTCGGCGCCGGGGCTCGAGGCCGGGTTGGCGATGTCGTGCAGCTCCTTGACGCCCTCGCCGACGAGGCCCAGGGCGTGGTCGATGATGCCCGTCGGGTGCAGGTGCAGCTCGACGCAGCCCTTCTTGCTGCTCTCGCTGGCCGTGACGAAGAGCGTCTGCCGGCCGGGGAAGATGCCGACGACGTTGTCAAAGACGGAGAGGTACTTGCCGTCGAGCTGGGCGTCTTTTCTGGTCTTGGGTGTGAGCCCTATATCTCTCTCTCTCGGGGAGGGGAGGGGAGGTGGTTCTAACAACTTACGAGGATACACGCAGGGCGTAGAGGTTGTCGCTGGCTTTGGCGATGGGGCTGGCGATTGCCAGGGCAGCAGCCATGGATAGGCTGGCGATACTTGTGAGAAACTTCATTGTGACGATTTTGTGATGTGTGAGGGTTGCAAGTTCACAAGAGGATGGATCTCGGGAGCTTTGCAAGAGGTTGTTAAGTATTGAGAAAGGTCAAGCTTCGGTCAATGCCAATTGAATGGATCAGCTTATGTCGTGATCGTCAAGGTGATGATCATAAGGTAAGGGGCTCTCTTGCCGTGTCTCTGTGCGGCAGGTTGTGGCTTCCTCGTGGTCTTTAAATGTTTTTCCTGCTTTGGAGTCACGCCTTCTCGTTCCCTCCTTTACGATGGATTTGCAATTCTCGCCCCGAGCATCTGGGCTTGTGATCGATGGATCTTTTCACTCCTACTCCTTTTCCTGCATGCTGGTCCAATCTCCTTGTGTGCCCCCATCACCAGAGAGTTCTGGGGGGGGTATGATGAAATGTACGACATGGGGTGAGGGACCTGGCTGGAAACTGTGCCTCTGGCACGGATCAACAGTGTCTTTGCCTCGTCCTGTCTGCCTCGTTTTGGAAACACCTGGGAATGCATTTCTTGGGTTCTCCACCCTCGGGCAACCACTTCGACTTACAGAACCGTCGAGCAGCATCGCTGTGCAGCCAAAGTATGATTGTTGCACCCTCACGCCACGGTGGCCTGGCGCAGAAACACAAATTAAATGCAGGGCCAATATATCCAGACTACAGCCAAGCCAGCCAGCTCGATTGTATTCATCCGGACTTTGCCGCTTCTCGAACCGGCCTCCTAGACCCTGTGGATATGGTCCGTCGTCTGATTGTTTGTCCTCATCTCTCTTGGAATCCTCTTGAGACAAGGTTGTACAATATGCCGCCGATCGCTCATCTCAGTTAAGCTGACATGCAACAAGCAGGCCTCGACCCCCGTCGCAGCCCCCGCAAGATATGCAACCGTATGTACAATACAACGGCTGTTCTTTCCACCAGCTAAATTTAGCAGTCCACCAAGGAAAAGCAATAAACCTTCTTTCTGGTCCTGGCAGACGGAAGATAGACATTACTGGAAAATCCGACCAACCTAATATAAAAAGGCGAAAACTCTGATGGTTGCAAACCCGAATCAAACCCCAGGTTTCAAAAGAGAAGAGGCATTACTACCGCTTGGCAGGCAAGCCTCCCACGCATGGGTCGATAGAAAACGGTCACCAACGGCTCGAGACGGCATAGCTTCCCACCACGCCATACCAGGGACATCATGTCGATATGCGTACGATATCTGCAGCCCGACGGGCCATGCGAAAGTCAGAATAGTCTACGGAAGTTCGTTAGGAGCTACCTCCTTGTTAACAATGTAGGTACTTGCTCTGGGACTTAGAAGGGCTTTCCTACTACCTAAAATCGATGGGTTTGATGGATAGCCAAGTACTTCTCTTCGGAGCCTGTCAACTTATCTGATCATCACTTGCGGGCGACGTCGCGAAATCCCGTTCGTGATCGGGAAATATCTATTTTCGAACAGCAGCCACGCGGGAACTAAGCAAGGGACCCGGCAGGGCCAGAAGATGCAAGTGATTTATCCAAACTTTAACCTCCTTCGAGAATGTGACTTCGGTGAGGAAAGAGGGCAGCTACTAACATCATATCTTTCCTCCTTCGAGATGGAGAGCCTGCACACAAGTGTAAGAAAAAAGCAAATCGTCTCGTCGGCATCAGCCCCCAGACGATACACACACTGCATTGTCCCGCCTGGTGTCGTTCTCGGTCGTATGTTGTATGATTCCAAATGTCTCGGTTGACGTAGTGCAGGCCTCGTGGGATCTCTACCTTTACCGCTCTCGTTGAAGGGACTTACTATGGGAGACTTGAGATACAAGAGATGCTATGTCGAGGCTCGCTGGCTTACTTGCCGGTCTGCCGGACCATTTGGCCCCCAAGCTTCCAGCTTGACTGCAGCCAACTGCAAGGAACGGAGACCAGGAATTCCCCGGCTGCATGCTTTGGTTCTCGGCGCCCTCTTCCGTCCCTAGCCCAGTGCCCCCGCCAGAACTGCCTTCGCGACTTGCATCTTAATCCGGATATGTCGGGCAGCTCTCGCTGACGTTGTCAGTTATGGCACTAGGTAGTTCTGGGTCGAGCAGCTGCTGATCCCCTTGAGTTTATTTCACAATTCCCGAATCATAGCCCTATGGTGAGCCTGGATGACCCCATCCGCCCCATCGAGCATGTCCGCGGAATGGGAGGCGGGTGCCAAGGCTCTGCTCGCGGGGCACCTCTGGGAAATGATCTACCATTTACCCTCCTGCTTCTCGTTAACACCCGTCTTGGCTGCCATCATCCTGAACCACAGCTCAGGTCAGCTTGCGGAGGAATACGAGGTTTGCGGGAGGCATCTGCGCAAAGTGCTGGAAATTTGGTAAAAAGAAACATCAGGGATGCGCCCTAGATTGCCTAGTCGAGGCGTTTGCGCATTCGTTGCCAGGGCTGCACCGTGCGTTGCAGGCCCAAGCTGGCCCATTGTATTACAGTGGCTTCTCGGCAGCTCGCTTGCTGAGTGGCTGGCAGAGCGAGAGGCCATGGGACAGACACGAGGGACTGATCGTCAGTTGTCTCTTCCTTCCAGGTGAGCTAGATTGCCCGCAGAAGTGGCTTGCCGGTCATACTCGAGCGGTCTGCCAGCTTACCCGAATATCGTGTCACGGCACTAGCCCTTGCAAACAAGTGGAGGAGGAAGAGGAGGAGGAGGAGGAGGAGGGAACGGCTCGCAATCTCTGGAAGCGAGTTTGTATATATAAATGCTCATGATGTCCTTCATCTCCCAAGTACCGGGAAAGGACCAGCCTGCTAGTGTTGCCGCGCTCGTTTATTCAAACACAAAGACCCACTGTGTTGATTCCATGTTTCCAGGCAAGATGGTCATTGTAAATTCGAAAGTTATTTTGCCCCTTGCGGGACTCCTTGCCGTTGCCGCTGCGGAGCCGCAGTATGGCTGCAAACCGCAGACTATCTGTGTTGATGCCATCAACAAATGCGGCGTCAAGTACGGAGGGTACGTGGGCTTGCATTGTGTTCTCACTTAGGGGAATGGCCTTGGCGTATAGTTCTTAACTGACACAAAAACATTGTTAGATGTTACAATGTCTGTGACAATGCTGCCAAACCGAAGCCGCCGCCATGCTCGTCGGATGACTGCCAGAGCCGTACCGTTTGCGCCGATATGACCAACTCTTGCGGACAGCTCTGGGGAACGTAAGTCCTCTGTGTTTTCTCCAGTCACGAGGCTCTTGTTCGACCACTACGTTTCAAGCAAACACTCGCTCGCTGTGCGCAGACTGACAAGTCCAAAAGATGCTTCGCCGACTGCAAACCGTGGCCGTCAATGACTCCACCGCCGTGCGAACCCTCGGTCACTGACAAGCCGCCCATCACGACCGTGTCGACTATCACGTTCTCCACGGTCTCGCCCGGCAGTGCGTCTAGCGATGACTGCTCCACTAGGACTGTCTGCGCAGACTACATCAACGACTGCGGCCAGATGTACGGGGGGTAAGTCTCTTTCTTTTCCCAGGCTTTTTGGGCAGATCGTGTATGTTGACACAAGGACGATAGGTGCTTCCCTGACTGCAAGCCATGGCCCACGTTCACGCCACCGCCTTGCACTTCCACGTCGACAGCGACCCCGAGCACGCCGACTCCGGTGACCGACGATTGCTCGACCAGAACGGTCTGCGCTGACTACGTCAACGAGTGTGGCCAGATGTATGGAGGGTAAGTCTTGCCTGCCGTCAGGCCAGTCTTGGGGTCAAGCGGAAGCTAACAAAAGGCCCAGATGCTTCCCTGACTGCAAGCCATGGCCCACGTTTACGCCGCCGCCGTGCACGAAGACCAGCAAGACCAAGAAGAGCAGGACCAAGAAGCCAAAGACCACGCCAAGCCCGACGACGACGGATGACTGCTCGACCAGGACAGTCTGTGCCGACTATGTCAACGAGTGCGGCCAGTGGTACGGAGGGTAAGGGCCTGCCGCTCAAGTCCCATTGGGTTGACCGAGAAGAAAAAGAAAAAGCTAATGCAGCAACTGCAGATGTTTCCCTGACTGCAAGCCGTGGCCGACCTTCACACCGCCGCCATGTACTCTCACAACGACCACGACGCCGCCAGTAGTCACCCCACCGCCGGAGACGACGAGCTGCACGGCGACCGACACGGTCTGCGTTGACAGCATCAATGCATGCGGCCAGACCTATGGAGGGTAAGTCTGAGAACACGAGATTTCGCGTCTATTTTCTTTTGATTTGATTCTCCACCGACGATGCAACTTCGAATGAGGAGCCGCAATCTGCTGCAGTCTGAATGACCGGGCAGAGCCGGAGCGGAATGTGGCCAGTCACGGCCCAAGACGACGCCGAGAGGTCGGAAGCGGCTGAAACGTCTTGCGTACCACAGGGCTGAGCACAGCATATGAAAGACCGGACCACTCTCGCTGCGGGGGAAGGTTGCATGAGACATGCAGGTCACCAGTGTAGCTGAGCTCGCCCGTGTACCTACTGATGCGAACGGGGCCGTTTTGAATGTGCCGCTGGTGAGCTGATCCATGGCTGACACTTGTCGACACAACAGATGCTTCCCGAACTGCAAGCCGTGGCCGACCTTTACACCGCCGCCTTGCCCCAAGGAGACCTATGCCTAGATAGCTCCTCTTACTTCTGGTCATGCTTTTTGGGAAAACCTTTTCTTTTTGGGACGCATTGCTGAGGGGTCCGGGGGTTCAGGTTGGATAGGGATGCGAAGAGGGAGAAATTGAGGTTGATTTTGACAATGGACAGGCGTACCTAGCCACACACCCAAAAGCGGAAGGCGGCCAAGATTTGTAGCCAATCATACCCTCATAAAATACCTTAAAGGTCGACGGAGACCCACCTAGATCGATAAGACTCACAAGTGAGATCCCAAGGTTGAATTTCACACACAGACTCGTGTTGAGAGTCCATGTTGAAGCATCTCATACATGATGGTCCCGATACCATAACCAAAAGAACTAGAGTTCAGGAAGGGGTCATTGTACGCCATGGATTTCCAAACCGTTCAGTATGTTCATCCAAAACCTGGCAGTCCTCGCAGAGATTCCCCGCCAAGTCTTCGACAATCTCTTTCATATCTCAGGACGAAGTGTCGGAAAAAAGACTTCTTAAAGATGGGTTATTTTGTCTGACCGGTTATTTAGTCCCCTAAAGATCTTCGATCTGGCAAAGAAGCAGGGCAAGTTTGTCTATGCCTCGGCACCCATGGTTCGGTATAGCAAGGTATATCGCCCATTTCTTTCTTACAATTTCATTGTACATGGGACTGACTTTCTTGTGCCACTTGGCCTCCCTCAGCTTGCTTTTCGTCAAACGGCCTACGAGTATGGGACCGACCTCTGCTGGACTCCGATGATTCTCGCCAAGGAGTTCAACCGGAACCAATTCGCCCGCGACAGTGGTAAGCATGCATACGAGCCGCCCGTCCCCGCAGTCCAGACCCATACAAAAGCCACACGAGGCAAGGAGGCCCAAGTATCGCTGACCATGTGAATGTCGTGATACCGAAAAACAGATCTCACCCTGTCGACCTCGGGACCCCAGCCGCCTACCATTGTGCAGTTTGGCGCCAACCGGCCGCTCGAGTTCGCCCGGGCGTCCTCGCTGGCCGCGCCCTTCGTGAGCGGCGTCGACCTGAACTGCGGCTGCCCCCAGGGGTGGGCGTGCGCGGAGACGCTGGGAGCGGCGCTCATGGAGCAGCGGGAGCTGGTGCGAGACATGGTCGTCGAGGCGAGGCGGCGCCTGCGCGAAGACGGGTGGGACGTGGGAATGGAGGCCGACATGCACAGCGACAAGGGCAGGAGCGTCAGTGTCAAGATACGGGTGCACAAAGACCTCAGGTGAGTAGGCCGTCTTTTTCTGAGCCCTGTTTGTCTGGCTCGAAGTGAGTGCTTATTTACTCTCTCGTATAGGAAAACGATAGACTTTATCGATACCGTGCTAGGGCATGACCAACAACGGCAAATCGATTTTCTCACGATTCACCCTCGTACGAGGTACACGCCTTCGCGAGAAGCCATCAGCGTTGAGGCGCTGGAGCTGCTAACCTCCAAGTATGGAGACCGGGTGCCGATTCTCGTGTCCGGCGATGTGTTTACGCTGAACACACTGCCCTACACATCGCCGCTTTTGAACCGCAGCAAGGACGGGTCAGCAGGACTCGTCAGAGCGTGGGAACCGCCGACCAATGGCCATGCTACACCGAAACTTGAAGAGCTTCCAGACGAGCCCATCCCCTGGAAGCATCAGACACCGCCGCCAGCAACAACCCCTCCGGTCCTCCCGCACCTCCCCAAGCTAGCAGGCCTGATGTCTGCACGCGCCATCCTAGCCAACCCGGCCCTGTATGCCGGCCACGACACATGCCCCTGGGAAGCCGTCGAGCTGTTCATGAACAAGGCGGCCAGGGCGCCGCTGCACCTGAAGCTGGTGCTGCACCACCTGACGGAGATGTGCGGCCCGGGCATGGGCTCCGACAAGCGCTCGCTGCTCAGCAAGAAGGAGAGGATCGACATGCTCGAGTGCCGGAATATGTGTGACCTGATCGATTTCCTAGACGACAAGATGAGCATACAAATGCCAGACCGGAAGGAAGGCATGCGGAGGATAGGGAACAGGCCCGAGGACACGGAGAAGGGCTGATAAGAGATCGCATGACACAAAACCGAAGAATAATGCAAAAACTCTCATAAAAGTCAATACTAATTTGTCTTGAGGGCGAGTGACCCTCGGGTATGTATGTATGCATTCGCCCCTGACAATGCGCTGTGTAGGATAATCGTACACATGTGACTCGCTGATGAGGTAGGGTCTCGCCCAAACCTCTCTCAATCACGACCTTGAAACAGGCTCTCGTCCTGTGAGAATCTACTGTGACCTGATAGGTCTATTCCTCCCACCGTGATTCCATCATATGAACTGAGCCAAAGCTCTTTGAACTGATCCTACTGCAAAAGGGGAAAGGGTAATCGGAACCGTCCCCATATTGATGCTCTCTGTGAACCATCATGTCCGCAGTTAAAACTCCAACTCCTCAAATACACCGACATCCTTGACATCTTGAAAGCGACGGCGGCCGCGACCAAGAGACTTTAATAACGAGAAAACGCCTGGAACATACTTTCCCACTAGTCGTCGTCCCTCACTTCTCCCTCGTCAGACTCGGACTGCCGGCGGCTGCGCTTCTGGTGCCTTTCGGCGTCGTCAGAGTCTGGCTCGACGCTCTTGCGCTTAACGCCGGGCGACAGCATGGCGGCCTTACCGTTGGGCCTGCCCCGGTGGTGATCCAGATCGTTGGCGGCGACCTTAAGCGCCACGTCCGAGTCCCCCTGGCTCTGCTGCAGCATGTCCGGGTCGAACTGGGAGGCCGGAGCGTCGGAGTCCTTATCGCCGTCTCTCGGCCTCCTCCCGGACTCCACCGGGCTGGCGGTGCCCCTGTCGTTGCTGGGTAGAGGCGTGCCGTTGTTACTCGAGCCCGCGTCCGTCTGGCTCACGTCGCCGCGTCTCCTGGTGTCCTCCAGGCTGAACTTGGGCGACCCTTGGTAGCTCGTGTTCTGTTTCTTAAGCGGGTTCTCGATGTAGAATGCCTCCATCACGTCGATCGCGCGGGCGACCTTATCCTCGTCGGCGCGGAGGAACTTCCACCATGGCTCGTCGCCCGAGTCGGCGATCTTTTCGCCGGTCAGCGTGCTGGCGAAGAATATGGAGGCGATGGCGATGTCCCGGGCGTCCATGAGGAGCGGCAGTACGGTCAGGGCCGCATCGTTGCAGAAAGTCCACCCGGCGGCCCTGATGCGCTTGGAGTTCAGCAGGTTCAGCCTATTGAGCTGATTCCACAGCTGCTCGTAGGGATTCGTGACCATGAGATCGAAGGTGAGGACCTCGAGCATCAGCTCCTCGTACATGAGGATGCTGTCACGCCATCGCCAATACTCTTTGCTCTGCTCGTCGATGATCAACTTCGGGTTCTTCTGCGCTACCTTTGCGACAGCGATGATGATGTTTTTCGTCTTGAAGCAGTTCTCCTCGGTCTTGTTTGCGAGAAACAGGGCGGTGGCAGCAATATTCTGGATTTGATCACAGGGTCAGCGCATGATACTCGCGAACTTATTGGCAAGGAGGCGCAGTCCTTACGTAGTGATGTATGCCCCCCTTCTCCTCCACCATACTGTAGCGCATGTAGAACCGGTGGAAGAAGACGCTAGCAACGAAGAGGGTGACAGAAGGGAGGGCATGCGGCTCGATGATGATGCCGGCTTGGTAGATGAAGTTAACACCCTTTGCCCTTCTGATCTTCTCCTCTGCCGGCGAGAGCCCATCGATGATGCTCGGGGAGCTGAGCACCTCGTCTGGAGTGTAGAGCCATTGACTGGCCGGTGTCCGCGCGGGTGTCCGCGGCGCAGATGGCGCCGGTGAGGGAGGATTCCTTCTCGACTGCGGTCTCGGTGGCGATGTTCTTGAGCTGAGGGAAGGAGGGGAGGGGACTGCCGGGGGCACGTCGCGCCGCCGTGACGGCGATCTGGACTGGCGGTCATCGCGCTGCGGGGGTCTGGAAGGTATTGATGGAGGCTGATAGCCTTCCCGGGCCGGGCGATACTTGTCGATGCTCGCCATCTCTGCAGACCATCCAGGGTTCGGTGAAAGCGACAGAAGGGGCCGGAGGGAGTAACGATAGTATAGTCTCGCCAAATATCTGTCAGGGTGACAAAGAATATGTGATGCGCATTTGATGGGCTCTGAGCGGTAGCGCCGCCTTTGAGAAACACGGCCGGGCTGAGCGCAGGGGTGGGCAAATCTGGGGTGAATTTATTCCTTGGTCGTTATCGATTCTATCAGCCATGGAGTGAGCAAACGGAATGCGTGGGGCCATCTGGAACGCCCTTTGGCCCTTTGTGCATCTCCCTCTTGTCCTGATTGGCTTGGTGCGGTCATAAGTTTTCTCTCTTTTCCGAGTATTCTCGTGTCGCTAGACCGGGGGTTTTCGAGGGAGAAATCTGAGCCAGTACTTGGAGGCGCTAGGCCATTTATATCCTCATCTTCGACTGCCTCAAACAAAAAAGCTTAGGTCGCATAAAGCTCTAGATTGTATGCGACAACATATATCTTCACTAACGACAGCCAGCTTACAATCCTTTCGCATCTTCTTCGTAAGCTCTGCCAGAAGTCCCGGCCATCATATCAGGCTTTTCTGCCATAAATCGCCAAGATGATGCACCCGTCGCGTCAGGCGTACGTGGAGGAGGCTGAATCCGAGGTAAGGCTTCCTCCCCAACATCACCTCCCCGAGGCTTCAGGGCAGCTCAAAAGGACAGCTTCTAACCTAGCACCTCCTTCTATTCTACAGGACAGGGGTATCGATCTAGCAGATCTTCGTAAGTTCAGAGCACCCCGTCTTTTGCAGCAGATCACTGATGAGAGCCCCTAGCCACCGACCGTGACTATGACATCCCTTCTACGGCCACAGGCGTTGCTCCGGAAAAGGCGTCGGCGATACTCGCGCAGTTCGAACGCAAGCGCTTGGCAGCTTCTATCATTGTTCCAACAGACGATGGCAAAGTTCGCGCCAAGCTACGAGAACTCGGGGAGCCGATCACGCTGTTTGGCGAAGATGTCGCAGACCGACGCTCTCGATTGCGCGAGCTGCTTACGGTCCAGGCAGAGCAAGGCACCCTCGAGAAGCCAGACGTTGACATGGAGGATGCAGGAGAGGCGGAGGAACAGGAGGAGCAGGAGGAGGAATTCTACACAACCGGCGGCCAGCAACTGCTTGAGGCACGGATAGACATCGCGAAATACTCCCTGCCGCGGGCGAAGCAAAGGGTCTCGTTCCAAAAGGCCGAGTCGAAGATTCCCTTGCGAACACACGTCAAATTCCGGAAACACATCAAGGAACGACTACAGGGGTTCGAGCTGCAGGCCAGTCAGCCGATAGGCGAACGCAACATCAGTATGACGAGGATCTCGCCCAATGGCGAGATGGTGGCGGTAGGGAACTTTGGAGGCACCTTGTCCCTGGTCGGGGTACCCAACCTGGAGACGATCAAGACGTTCCGCGGCCACACCCAAAAGATCAGTGGCATCTCCTGGTTTCCAGGGTCAACCTTGCCAGACTCCAATGTCTCCTCCGAGGCTGTAAACCTGGCCTCTGGAGGTGCGGAGGGCAATATTCATCTATGGTCTCTCACCCAGGAAACCCCGCTATCAACTCTTTCGGGCCACAGCCAGCGAGTTTGCCGGGTGGAATTCCACCCCTCTGGCAAATACCTTGCCTCGGCCTCCGATGACACGTCGTGGAGGCTTTGGGACGTGGAGACAACCTCTGAGCTCTTGTTGCAAGAGGGCCATTCCCGCGGTGTTTACGCTGTCAGCTTCAATACGGACGGCGCGTTGCTTGCTAGCGCCGGGACGGACAGCATCGGGCGGATCTGGGATCTACGCACAGGGCGGACTGTCATGATCCTTGACGGGCACATGGACGGACACATCAAACCGATTTACGCCTTGGATTGGGGCTCTGATGGGCACCGAGTTCTGAGTGGGTCGGCAGATGGTTGGGTCAAGTGCTGGGATGTCCGGAAGGTCCAGCGCGGCGGTGGTGTTGGTGCACATAGCAGCACCGTATCAGACCTGAGATGGTACAAGGGGCTCGACGACCCTCTCCTGGGCACGGCGCCCGGCGTGGACGACAAGGGAGTACAGCAACCGAAAAAGGCGTCGACATTCTTCGTGTCGAGTGGGTTTGACCAGAAGGTCAACATTTACTCGGCGGATGACTGGTCGCTGGTCCAGTCTCTGAGTGGCCACACCGCCCCAGTCAGCAGTGTCGATGTGAGTCGTGACGGCAGGTGGATTGTCAGCGGTGGTCACGACAAGACTGTCAAGCTCTGGGGCCGTGATGACGGTGAGCCGTTCTAAGGATTGTGCTACGAGTAGTGTATAGTATGAGGAATAGACCTGATGATACCCTTCAACTTTGCAACCCCGGCTAGCGATTTACGGTTTGATCTTCCATACTTAGTATCGTGAAATGGCGTCCAATACTAACCAGGATGCCAAACATGAGAAGAAAAGAAAAGGTATAAGAAGGATTTCTAATTATCGTCAATCTGCTCAGGAATGAGAGACGGACGGGACACAGATGAATTTGCACATGGTAATTAAGCGTGAACCATGCGGGCAGCGTGGTATTTTGCGGGTTCGCGAATCACAGAGCCGTACATTTCCCCCGCATTGTCCCGATCCAGACTTACCCGACTCAGTTCAGCGGATGCATGATCGACGCTTAGCAACCACTAACGGGGGGCCTGAGGGCGCTGACGCTTTCGGACAGGGGACCAATCTCAGCGCTCGAGGTTACCACAGGCTCGCTAAACTTTTCTTTCCAGGGCGCGCGCCCAGGGCTAGTGACAGGCTGTGGGCTGATGATGAAAGTGGTGTGGAGGTGCCCGAGAAAAAAAGTACGGAGGTGGGCGCCAAGGCAGTCAAGGCCCAATGAGAAAGGTTTTTTACTTTTTTAAGCCTGCACCGCCCAGCCAGCCAAGTTTCCTTCGTGAGAGCATTTCCCTCCTCCTTTCTCCCTTTCTCACGTAAAGGTTGAACCTTTTCTCAGATCACCGCTAAACGCACGACGACTGCGCACTCCGTTGATATACCGAAACCTACCAACATCCTCATCCTGGCACAAATGCATATGAACCCAATCGACCTCGTCTCCCACTCGTTCTTCAAGTACCAGATGCGTGTATCCGGCCCCAAGCGACACCTACGAGATTCCCTGTCTGAGATCCGCTGTGACGCTCAGCGACGACGCGGCGAGCCTTGAACGACTCGCTTCGTCGTGCGGCGAGAGGCTCGGTCCTCCGCCAGATTGAGAAAAGAAGCCATCCAAGCCGTTGAACGCAGCCTCCGTTCGCGCATCTTACCACACATGAAGTCGTAATTTAATACCGACATAATCACTCAACACCCACACCATGATAAACGCAGCGATCACCGCACGCACCACCGTGCGCGGGTTCCAGGGGACTCCCGTCACTTCCGGCGACGAGGATAGCGACCACGGCGTTCCCGCTACACCTTCACCCCATCACCAGAGCGCCCGTCGAGGCCGCAAGAAGCGACCTACTATTCTTGACGACGTCGTGAGCGCCAATTGCAGCCCGGTCCTCAAAGCCGCCCCGTCCCCCGCCGGCGTGAGTGGCATTGCCAAGCTACGTCTGCAGCTGGACCCTCTCAGTCTGGACACTGCCTCTTCCTCCAGGGCCAGTTCCATGACCCGTGTCGATAGTCGCCAGTCGGTTGCATCGCATTCGGGCCAGGTTCCCAACGACAGCCGCGCGAGCACCATCACCAGCAATGCGGCCAGCAGCCGGGGTCGGGCGGCCAGCAGCAACACTAGTGGTGATGACACTAGTTCTGAGGCTACAACTCACTACGAGATCAACCTGGAGAACGATTTCGTGAGTGAGAGTGTCCGAGACCGTGGCTTGGGTGTGGGTGGGACTCTGCTAGCCGATGCAGTCGAGGGCGGACTCGTTCGCCAGTCACGCAAGATGACAGCCGACGATTTTGAGCCCCTCCGATGCCTGGGCAAGGGCACGTATGGCACTGTGCTCCTGGTCAAGCAGCACCGAACGGGCAGGCTCTACGCGCAGAAGCAGTTTAAGAAGGCTTCGCTCGTGGTGCAAAAGAAGCTCGTCGAGCAGACCAAGACGGAACGTCAAATTCTCGAGTCGGTGAATAGGCATCCCTTCGTGGTCAAGCTATTCTACGCTTTCCAGGACCAGGAGAAGCTGTACCTCATCCTGGAATACGGCCAGGGCGGCGAGCTATTCACTCACCTCAGCACGGAGAAGATGTTTTCCGAGCCTACGGCTGCCTTCTACATGGCCGAGATGATTCTCGCCTTGTCTCACCTGCACGATACCCTCGGTGTGGTCTACCGTGATCTCAAGCCTGAGAATTGCCTGCTTGATGCGGAGGGCCATCTGCTGCTCACCGACTTTGGCCTCTCCAAGGTTGCCATCGACTCTTCCGACTCGTGCAACTCGATGCTTGGGACCGTCGAGTACATGGCTCCCGAGGTCATCCAGGGACAGAAGTACGGCAAGGCGGTCGACTGGTGGTCGCTCGGGGCCCTGGGCTACGACCTGATGACGGGGAACCCGCCTTTCCGGGGCGGCAACCGCGCCAAGATCCAGGAGAACATCCTGAAGCAGAAGCTGGTGATGCCGTACTTCCTCGGCCCCGACGCCAAGGACCTCCTGACGCGCCTGCTGAAGAAGGACCCCAAGAAGCGCCTCGGGGCCAACATGCCGAGGGACCTGGAGATCATCAAGAAGCACCGCTTCTTCCGCAAGGTCGACTGGAAGAAGATGGCGGCCCGGGAGGTCGAGCCGCCGATCCAGCCCATGATCACCGACCCGGAGCTGGCCGAGAACTTCGCGCCCGAGTTCACCGAGCTGTCGCTCAGCCCCGTGGTGACCTCGGCGAGGGACGACCTGTGGAGCGGCGTTTCTGCCATGGACAGCGGCGCTAAGGACGAGCTGTTTGGCGGGTTCAGCTTCGTCGCCTCCAACAGCCTTCTCGAGAGCGATGGCTTCCGCTTTGCTACGGCGGTCTAGGGTTCGAGTCGTGGCAATGCAGTGCGGGTGTGAGGGCTGGAAGGATGGGCATTTGGAGATGCATGGGAGTCGCGAGCTGTTGAAATTCCTTATGACCTTCAATTCCGGTTCAAGCTGTCGGGCAAGTGCCTTCAGCACCCACGCTAGACCTACTCGTCATCACGTCCTATTGATCGTATCATGGGTACGGAGCGTTATCTGCTTTTGGCAGCATAGGGGGGGGCCACAGACTCTAGAGCGCAAAAGCTTAGCATTCCTGATGTACAAGTAACACACGGGCTCATACGTCGTAGAAAGACATAGACGGATAAATTATGCCAACAGGTATCTTTATGGGATGGATCATGAACTGTCGACTTTGACGCGTGCGGCTCAATTGTTGCGCCGAACCGGGCAGATGTCGTTGGCAAAAGTGACGCTATAAAGCAAGCTATCGCGGCTCCAGTCAGCCACTATAAAGAGACCCAGTCGAGCCGGTTCAGTGCCACGTGGGGTGCTGATGTCAAGGGATTGAGGCTGTGTTTACAAGTACTTGTAGTAAAGCAAGTAGGATCGCGAAACGGGGTGCCTCAATCAGACTGCTTTCCAACTGTCTCCGACGGATGAGTTGTTGGGGCTTTTGCCTCGGGTCCCTCTTTGTGTCGGGTAACGTACCTAATGTCCAGGTTCTGGAATCCCGTGGGTCATGGCAACTTCCGCAGAACATTGCTCTGATCCCTGCTCTGCCTTCTAGGTACTGTCTCGAGTTAAATCTTAACCTGACAGTCGGGCTACAGTTTGTTTGTTTGCGGGCAGGCAGGCGGTGGATCCAGTTCGGTATTGCGTCGCTCCTTGAGCTGCCCGAGGCGGGCAGTCCGGTATTGAAGTCGGCAGTCAGTCCCCCTGTATGTACGACGGGGCCCAACCATCGTCATCAGATTTATCTTCTTTCTCGCCAAGACATGCCCGCAGGGGCAAATGAGACAGCGCGGAACGCGTGTCAGCTGCAATAGTTGCTGCGAAATACATAGGCCGAGATTGGCAGAGAGAGACAAAAAGAGAAACAGGCCCAGGTAACTGATCGTCGGTCCGGCTTGTCTTTGTCTCGGGGTTGAGGAGGAGAGATGGAAAGGCTCGGCGCACCGTTACGGGGGTTGGGAAGTGACAGGGCATGCTCTGTCAACACTGACTAACGCGGGCACTCACTCGAACTCGAACGGCTTGGCTGCTGCCTGGCGCAGAGAGCTTCTCTTTTCCCTTGCCCTACCGGTACTAACGAAACTAACTAAAACTCGATTCCCGGAGGAATGTACCAGGTAGTTAGGTAGGTAGTTCATAGTTAGTTAGTTGGTATCTTCCGTTCTGCGAGCCGCGGGCAAAGCATCTGCATACCCGTCCTGGGCACGGGCTGTGTCGATACGTCCCTGGGAAAGGCAAAGATAACAAAGTGATTGCGTGTACACGTCTTGGCTCTTGGCCATTTGCATCCCCATTCCTTGCTTCTACTTGTAATATCACACGAAAAAAAAAAGATGAGGGCATTGTGATGTAGCGCTGGCACTGCATTGATGTCTGGGCAGCCTTGGCGAGCTTTGAGGATGCTTCATCGTTCACCGCCCAGGGCTGGCCCCATCTCCCCCCCAGACAGACCACGAAACTTGCGTAAGGTAACTCGGTATTGATCGCCGGCAGGACACATGTCGTACATTTCATTCGAGCCACATGGGGGGGTTAGAACGGGAATTGGGGAAAGACAGCCAAGACAGCAGCAGCAAAAAACGCTACCCATATCGATCTCGTACCGGGCGTGGTGATCGGCACTGACGGAGGTTCCCTGGGGTAAAAGAACAGTACCTACCTGAACTACTACGGCTCTGGAGCTGCTCCGGCGCTGTCTCCTCCTTTAAGCTTCTCCAGATTAGCGCCCAGCTAACCTCTGAGATAGCGCGTCCAACTACCGGAGTTGGGGGAGGAGGTCCCCAGAAAAAACAGACGCCAAAGTTCGAGATCTCAGATTCCACGTACCCAATTCGGCAGTCTGTACAATAGTTTGATGACAACATGGGCGCCCATTCCATGTCCCGTGTTGCAATGGCCACTTTATCATCGGCCGTTGGGGTTCGTCATCACATCGAAGAGATAGATCACCGCCCGTCTGACCAACAGCAAACGTTCGGGGCTGCTATTTTCAGGGAAGTCCTTACTAAGTATAAGTCGCACACATGAAACGGGGCATTACAACCCAATTCCAAGCTGGTGGTTGCCCGCGCCGCATGCAGGGGAGGAGCCAAAAAACGACATACCCTTGGGAATCTACAAGTACAAGTGGACTAACTAACCAGGGCCGTATTCCGTAAGTGCCGGGGAAGAGGAGAGATCAATCCAATTGATTGCTTGCAGAAAGGCACCCATGGCGCGGCACCAGGACACACACGGATGCACCGCCTGTCGTATGCCAAGCGCCCTGGGATCGTCGATAACACAACAACGGCCGGTTGGCAAGGAGGGGGGGGGCTGTGCAGAGATGGTTGTTCTTTGTCTTTTTCTTCTCTTTCTTTCTGAAACCGCTTGTTCTGATGTCGACGAAATCTCGTTAGTCGCGCTTGTCATCTTGCCCGTTTGGGACGACGCCGTCGATCGCCCCCACGACGACCGTCGAGACGAGCCAGAACGGGTCTCTGGATGGAGGAATCAATTGCTCCGAGGCGGCCTCTTTCTCTCTCTCTCTCTCTCTCTCTCTCTCTCTTGGCGCCATTCTGCCACCACACGCCGTGTACTCCGTACCATGTCAGACTTGTCACTGAACACGACACATGGGGGAATGGTGCTTGTCCTCACCCCCCCAAACCCGAGTTTAATCTCACTAGAGGGGGCCGCACGACGTAATCCTGCGCTGCCCACTGCAGAACATGCAGGGCGATTATACTTCTGTGCCAAGCCGAACCATGTCTTGGATGAGACCGCCTCGGGCCTCTTAGATCGCACTTATTTGGCATCCTGACAACGGACGGGCTGGCAGGGCTGTACAGGAGGGATCGAGGTACACACATCCCATCGCATCGGGGACTGACACCCCCCGGACCCCAATTGCTATGTTCTCTTATCGAGGGTACGCAATTACATGCCAGCCGGAAGGGTGAGCGTTTGAGTGAGCCTTGCACAACGAAAGTATTAAATCTGACGTCTCCCACACACACCCCCCCTTCTCAGATCCCGTAGAATGGCCAGATCTGACCTACGAGGTAGTAGGCCTTTGCCTTTGTTGACACACTCCGTTCAAAAGTGCTGCATGATCCCCAGTCCGGCCAGCCACTTACCAGGAATAGTCTCTCAGCCTCTTTTCTTCCCCAAACATTGTCCGAAGGGCTCCCAACCAGGCATTTAGTGCGTTGGCCCTTTTGTTGTCTTGTTGATCTTGTGATAGATTCAACAATTCATTATATTGTTGGAGCACCACTTCCCCCCGGGTTCCCCTTCTTACCACGAATTGCTCAACCCAGGAAGGGAGTTCCGAGAGAGTCACAGAAGAAACATGGGTCTCGTTGCCAGGAAAACGGCTCTTGCCGCCGCCCTGCTAGGTAAGAACCCATTGCTCACTTGCGGCCTTTGTAGGAGAGGAACCCGGGCAAGCTGACAAAAGGAACCGCCAGCAACCGCCACGGGCGTCACGGCAGACACCACCAAGCACTGCGCCGGCGACGCGCAGGACGTCTGCTACACCGTCGGCGTGCCGGGCTCGACCTCGTCCAGCGGCTCGGGCAACATCTACTTCCAGATCAGCGCGCCCGCGAGCTACGAGTGGGTCGCGCTGGGCACGGGCTCGCGCATGGCCGGCTCCAACATGTTCGTCATGTACCAGGACGGCCGGGGCAACGTGACCGTGTCGCCGCGCGCCGGCGCCAACCACGTCATGCCCCGCGTGGACGCGAGCGCGACGGGCGCCAAGCTGACGCTGCTCGCCGGCAGCGGCGTGGTGGCGGGCGGCGGCAGTGGCGGCAGCGGCAGCAGCATGATGGTCGCCAACGTCGCGTGCGCCAACTGCCAGGCCTGGTCCGGCGGCGGGTCCATGTCGCCGTCGAGCACGAGCTCCGGCTGGATCGGGGCCTGGAAGAAGGGCGGCTCGCTCGCCAGCGCCGACGCGGGCGCCGCCATCTCGGTCCACGACGACACGACGGTCTTCAAGCTCGACCTGACCAAGGCTGTCATCGGCGCGGACGCCAACCCGTTCGTCGCCGGCGGGAGCACCTCGGGCGGCGGTGGATCAGGCTCTGGGACCGGCACCGGCTCCGGTTCTGGCACTGGCACTGGATCGCCTGATTCGGGCAACTCCGGGGGTGGCGGTGTCACCGTCGTCGGAAGCAAGCCTAGCCAGGCCGTGCTGACCGCGCACGGCGTCATCATGGCCCTTGTCATGGTCGTTCTCTACCCGCTCGGCTCGCTGCTCATGCCGCTGATGGGCAACTGGGCCGTCCATGCCGCCTGGCAGTTCATCTCCTTTCTCCTCATGTGGGCCGGCTTCGGTCTCGGTGTGGTCTGTGCCAAGCAGAGAAGCATGGTAAGTGTCTTGTTTTCCAGACCCCACGATTTGACAGTTGGATGTTGCAAGTACTGACGGACCGCAAAAAACAGCTCTTCGACCAGAACCACACGATCCTCGGCACGGTGGTTGTCTGCCTGATGGCCATCCAGCCGTTCATGGGTTTCTGGCACCACCGCCACTACGTCAAGCACCAGGCCCGGGGCCTGGTCAGCCACTTCCACATCTGGTGGGGACGCAGTCTCTTGATCATCGGGGTCGTCAACGGTGGTCTGGGTCTGCAGCTGGCGTCGGCTTCGAACAACCTCATCATCGCCTACTCGGTAGTTGCAGGAGTCATCTTCCTCATCTACGCCGGAGGCAAGTCGTTCGCCTCGATCCGCAAGAGGAAGGCCCCCGCCCAGAACAAGGAGCTGAGGAATTCATCCTCGCGGGACAGCGCAGCAACCCATACCCCGAGGCGGCCCTACCCGTAATGTTGTGAAAAAGGTATTCTGAACAATGGAGCTCAACGGTCTTTTGGTATGTTCGGCAGTGGCGCCGATAGAGTGGACGATCAAAGGAGAGCTGATAATGAACATAGAGGAAACAGGAAAATAGGATATGTCTCTCGCTGTATAGAGAGGATGATCCGATCACGGACTTCATGTCCTGATCAGCACAACTGAAAGATAGAATGCGGCGTTTTGGGGGAGAGGTGTGATTTCTCGCATGATGTATATTCCCAATTGATATAGGAAAGTCCACCATCAATAGGTCTTTGTTTTGAGAAGAGATACCCTTGAGTGGAAGAACAGTAAAAGGAGTGAATCCACGGGCTTATTACATTAGATGACAGCCCTCGTGATAATGAGCTCCGAGCCAAGCCGGTCAAAACTTGCTTCTCACATTAAAGAACAGCAGTAACAGGGGAAAAGGAACTCGAGATAGATTGCGCCATCAATGGAAACCCCTTCGCTTTCATTGCGATGTTCTTCCATCATAAGTGACGTGTCAGGCCTCCTAGGCAATTGGTACTTACAAAGCTGGAGTGCTTAACCTTCGTCTTTCCCACCACAAGTAGGGCATCTGATGCCCTTCACACTTCCCCTACCACCACAAGTCTCGCATTGTCCCATTTTTTCGCAAAAGAGACAAGAGTTGCAGGTTGGAAGATCTCAGTGCGTAGTGAAAGCACAGATCCGGGGTTGGTTCTGGGTGTGCAGCTGAGCAGAGGAGGAGAGGCACTTGGCGGTCTTGGTTAGAGCGGCCAGTTGCGATAAAGTGATAAAACGTGCACGTGATTTGGGCTGGAGGCTCCAGACACGAAAAACGCACGGGGCAGGTCGCGGCTAACAAGTCAAAGCTCTGGTCTGGTGGGTGTGGTGGTGTCTGCTGGTGCGTGCGATGATGCACTGACCGATCTAGCCGACCCGGCTCGAAAAACCTCTCAAGCCAGAATCATTCAAACCCTTCCCCCCAAAAAAGAACCATCTCCTCCACTCCAACCCCCCCGACGACCGACGACCAAATCTCCTCCCCCCCTTGGTGATTCCCAATTGAGACACCATCACATCTCGTCAAAAATGCTCTTCTCCGTATCTCGAGCTGCGGTACGTTTTGTCCCTGTCGATTGAGCCGGAGTGTTTTTTCTCAGTGCTGTCGCCCCAGACTCACCCGAGCCGCCGCTTTTGCGGACGGGTGGAGCGAGGGCCGAACGGCCAACTCTCGAAATATCCTGACTGACAATTCTTCGCGACATGCAGAGCACTCGCAAGGCCGTCTCGGCCGTCGCCCGCCTGGCGCGCCCTTCTACCGTTCAGATGAGAGGCTTCATTGCCCCGACCGTCTCCCGCAGAGGTACGCATGATCGCTTATTTCCCTTTTCAGTTGCTCGGAGATTTGTAGTACGATGGATCCGCGGTCGGCCGGAGGAAGGAAGATGGACTCGAAGCATCGATCAATCGGCGCAACAACAACCTGCACGACGAATACGACCAAGAGGATATCATCATGGAGGGAAGCAAGACTTGTGTCGGCTACATCTTCAATTGATACGGGGCTATCGCAATCGATGAATCCGATCTGACGCCAAAACCCGGTCAACATCATCACCACCAGCACCCGCCTACGACTTCCAACACCTCGCCATCACTTCTCGGCTTTATTCACATTGATCATCTCCGAGCAACTGCCATGTCTTCAAGCTAGGAGTACTCCACGTGCAGTTCAAACCGCTAACATCATCTCTCTCCCCACCCCCACAGCCGACTTCGTCCAGGAGCTCTACCTCAAGGAGCTCAAGGCCTACAAGACCCCCGCCGTCAAGGAGTCCGACGCCCAGGGCCACGTCTCCACCTTCAGCCTGCCCAAGACCCCCAAGTCCCCCGAGGAGGCCGACCTCGCCAGCAGCCTCAAGGAGTACGAGAGCATGGCCGTCGAGGTCGAGGGCCAGGAGGCCGGTGCCGCCGGCGCCCAGTCCGCCGCCGTCGTCGAGGACTGGCTCGTCGAGGAGGAGGAGGAGGAGGCCCACCACTAGATACCTTCTCTCCTTCCCTTCCCTTCCTATCTTATCAAACGAAAACGAACCGGGCGAAGCGAGAGTTGGGGATTCAAGAGACAATGCAACTCTTTGAAGGGTTGTGCATAGGTGTTGCGTGATGTCGAAAAGCAGTTTTTCCCCTAGCTGGTTGACAGGGGATGACGGAATCGAGCGCAAGGGGAGTGCGGGTGTGTGTGTGTGTATGTGCATTGTGTGAAAAGTCTTCACAACGCGGTGAGCAGGGGGGTCTTTTAGTCGATCAGGCTCGGGTTTTTTTTCCTCTTTTGCCGATCCTCCGTATTGTTGTCTGGGACCTTTTGTGGCTCAATACGGACTGGAGACGCAAGAGGGCACGACGCTGAGACCTGTCCGTGTACATTTGTTAATCAAAACCAGCCCTGATACGGTCACGAATTTGATACATACTCCTTACATGTTTTTTGCCCACGTGAACCAGCTGGATAAAGGCCAGACAAACATGCCAGACCTCCATTGACGAATGATGTGCATCGCCATACCAATCCCGATATCGAATGGCTGTACTGTGAACAAACACTTCCATACTGCAGCACAGTGGTATGGCTGTCTCATGCTATTAATGGATTAGAAACCAGCAACTTGTCGATTGTCAATACACTTGCAGAGAGAGATCCCAAGCAAAAGATCGACTTTCTCTTGAGCAGACTCAAGGCCAGCTATATACCAAGTTATATTGCACCACGCACAAGCATGTCAAGCTGCTCAGAACCGATTGCTTCTGAACATCACACAGTCCACATAGATGGGCATGAAAAGTGAACCACAGGAGTTTGCAAGAGTTGTTTTGTTTATTTTCTTCCCTTTTGCACGCTCACTCACTCACTCAACAAGGAAGCCAGAGGGATAAGATACACGTGTGCTAGCACAAGAAGAAGCCACGAGATGCACCTCAGACGACTCTTCCTCTTCCTCTTCCCCTTGCCCGCACAAAACAACCCTATGTCCGCCATCAAGACCGCCAGCTAGGGACTCGCAAGAAGACAGTGGCCAGAGCCGCAGGTCGATCCTAGCCCCATTCCCCATACCTCAATTAACGGGATGTGGTCCATGAGAAAGCACTACTCATAGCAAAAAAGAACCATGGAAATTCTTGTGTGTGTGTGCGACTCGCAGGCAGGTGCTGATGCATTTGCAAAAAGAATAGTAGTAATGACAAAAAAAAAAAACACTCGCGGCGAATGTAGCTGCTGCTGTGCACGACTCTTTGTCTCTGTTGTGGTTGTTGATCACCAGAACGCCGTCCTCGCCCAACCCAGCCATTCCAATTACCAAATGCAGTTATGTGAGCCGCCCGTATGCTACTTATGCCGTTACTGTCGTGCGCGTGAACCCTCCATGTACCATGAAGGCAAGAAGCAAGGCAGATGTGTCACTGCCTGCAGTATACCCACTGTCCAGGGTATTGCGGGTGTCGACGTGAAATGGGCCAAAGCCCTTTCACATGTCAATTGAGCCACCGAACATGTGCTCGTCATTAGTCGTGGTTCGCTCGATGCCGCTCATGCGGTTTGCCTTGCGAGGATCCACATCTTCGAGATCATCCCAGTCGTCGTCTTCCTTGGTTCGCACGTCATTCATCTCCTCGTCCTCATACCGGTAGCGATCCTTCATGTGATCGTCTAGGGCGCTCTCGTCGACAAAGGTGAAGCCTTGGAAGTTGGCTTGCACTGACGGGGAGAGAGGAGTTGAGGTGGCAAAGCCGCGAGCCAGGGCAGCAGCCCGTTCGTTGAGTGATCCATTTGTGTTGAGGGCATTGGTGAATTCCGGGTCGAAATACGAGACATCCGTCTCGGACTTCAACTTTGGTTTGAACGGAGGGGTGATCAGCTTGTTGGAAAGCGCGTTCCAATCAATGTCCTTGAAGAAGGGGTGCTGCTTCAGTTCTTCGGCATCGCTGATGGCGCCCAATCGGTGCTTGGGGTTCCTGTTAAGAAGCCCCTTGACAAAGTTGCGACCGTCAACCGAGAGGGTGTCCTTGGGGAACCTAACCTTGCCAAAAGCAATGTTCTTGTACATCTGCTGTGTGTCCTCCGCATAGAAGGGACTCCATCCACAGCACATCTCGAACACTAGGACTCCAAGAGACCAGAAGTCAACCATTTTTGTGTAGCCGGCCTCGTCCAGGAGAACCTCTGGAGCGAGGTACTCGGTGGTGCCACAAAATGTGTTGGTGGTATCGTTCTTGGTCAGGTTGGCCTTGGATAAGCCAAAATCGCAGAGCGCGATGTGCCCATTGGCGTCAAGGAGGATATTCTCGGGTTTCAGGTCGCGATAGACGATGTCGTTGTTATGAAGGTGCTGAATGGCGAGGATCAGCTCGGCGATGTAGAACTTGGCTCTGTTTTCGTCAAACCGGCCCTCCTTCTGCAAGTGCCAAAACAGTTCGCCACCAGACATGTAGTCCGTTACCAAATAAAGATCTGACGGCGTTTGGAACGAGAACTTCAGGCCGACGATAAAAGGCGAGTCCGAGGTGGCCGTCCGCACCAGAATGTTACGCTCACCAACAGTGTGCGCCACCTCCTTCTTTTGGACAATGACCTTCTTGGATAGCACCTTCATAGCGTAGATCCGCTTCGTGTCCTTCTTTCGAACCTGATAGACCTGGCCGAACGTGCCCTTGCCGATGAGTCTCAGGATCTGAAAGTCATCCGGGCCATAGTGCTTCCGGTCGGTCCTCTGATAGAAAGACTCAACGTATATTTCGCCTGTCGGAGCGTTCTCCGCCATGGTGTCGGCGTGTCCCGTCAAGGGGTACCAACCTCGGACAGGTCCTTCGCTCTCCGACAGTTTGGCATGGAAATCAACGTGGCCAAGGAAATCTTCTCCATTGGCTCCATGGTCGTAGATGGATATGTCGACATGATAGTCCGAATCAACGACATCACTACGACCAAAGTCAGTAAGCTGGTCCAACACACAGGGGACGAGCCCGTCACTTACAAGACCGCCTCGGCGTCCCACTTTGGGTTTGTGAAGGAACGACGAGAGCTTCGAGACCGGAAGGTGTTGTAGTCTGTGATGCTCGTGTTGCTGCTCTGCCGGCTTCGCATGGGGATGGCCATAGGCCGACCAGTGTCACTTCCCTGGCGTTGGATGGGGACGCCTCCCATAGCCACATTCGCGATCGCGCTCTCCTCCACATCCTCCGACGAGCGAGGTCCACCAGAAATAAGTTCAGACCTTTGGAATACAGCAACAATGTATGGATCGCGTGCCTTCCGAAGTCCCCTGGCTTCACCAATCTTAATAGTGAGTTTTCCCCGGGGCGCAGGGGCGGTCATCCCAGCCGGTGTCGGTGTCTGGGTAGCGGTGCGATCCCCGGAACCGCGTCCGTTGCTACTGTCCTCGTTCGAGTCGCCTCGGGTTGGTTGGGCGGTCGAAAGCGACCGTGGAGTGGACTGGCCGCTCTTTATCCCCGCCATGTCTGTTAGCTTCTTCAGTTGTTCAATGGAAGTAGACTCAGTAGGTATATCTTGTTCCTTCACCGGGAGGAATTGTGAACTTGTTGGAGAGCTTGGGGTAGTATGTGCATTGCGAGTTGTGGGGTTAGAGATGTGGTTTGCAAGCACAGTAGACTGAGTGATCGCACTCGTTAGAGGAGCAAGAAGTGAAGATCTGCGGCCCCGTGGGCCGGTCAGATCCGGATTGCTCCTCCTGTGCAGGCTCAGTGCAAGTGCAGGGTGCATAGTTCCCAATGTCTCGCCCTCGCCACTCGAGCCACTTGTCTTGGCCTCTCGTAGCGAAGGGCACTGCGACGCCGGGGGTGTTGGATATGGATGGAGCCGGCTGGTTCCGGGCGGTTGCTTCTCAGGCGCCGGTTCCAACCTCTCGTGCGGGAGAAGAGGAGGACCGTCGTCGAGGGAAACACCGCGGGAGGCCGGCTCAACGGGTGTGACTGGAACTTGTGACGGAGATGCACTCTGGGGTGACTCGTCCCTCCGAGGTGTGCTGTCGGAAGGCGGAGCCTCTGCTTGTGCGCTTGACATAAAGGTGCCTGACAAGATACGCCTAAAAGACGGTGCACGAACCTGATTGAAGTAGCTCATGATGCCCGGTAGCCGCTTGTCGTGAAGATCCGGTTGCGGCGTGGCCACGCCAGAGCGAGGAGTCTCAAACCCGATCTGGTCGTTGCCATCTTCTTCGGTGGCGGCAGACCTGCTGCTGCGCTCGTTAATACTCTCGATATTCGACATTGCGTTCAGGGCGAGGCTTCCCCGGTGAGGAAGGAAATAGACATGGGCCGGAAGCTTCGCTTGAAGGGCAAGTAGGGGAAAGAAGGGACAAGAATGAGTTCAGCGGGGTGAAAATCGGGGGAAGGGTATTTGAGCTGTCTAGCTCGTGATGGCCATTGAGCCTAGTGTAAGTTGGTAGTGGGCTGGCTTGGTGGGCTAGCCTGGGCTAGCCTGAGGGGAGGGGGTGCGTTTAACTCTATGACGACCGACGACACGACGACGAAGAAACTTGGAATGACAGGCCACCGAGATCTGGGGCGAAGACGAATGGACAGGTACAGGAAACATATAGCAGGGGTGGTGCACAGCCCGTCAAGCCTTTCTCAGACGAGAACGGGAGCGAGGCCAGAGCCATGTAAGTGAGAGATAAAAAGGAAAGAAAAAATTATCCCTCTTCTCCCGGGCATTGCCATCCGCACCCTTGATAGCTGCCATGTGGTTGAAGGGTATGTAGTCGCATCCGGAATACCAAGGTACAAGCCAGTCGGGCCTAGTTTGGTTGGGGAACAAGGGAAGAGTGTAGGGGTGTGGTAGAAAAAGAGCCGGAGAGCTAGGTATCTGGTACTTGCAACGGCATAGTGCGCTCTCTCCTCTCAGCCAGCGAGTCACGGCGCCGAGCTTGGTAAGCCTCTTTTTTCGGCAACGCAGCCGCCGCCGCACACCTCCCTTGCCGGAGCTCTTTGACTTGCTGGGGGTGTTTGCATGTGCAAGCCAATTATTGCTGCGATATAAACGCAAAGACGCTGCACTCGCTACAGGTCTCAGCCTGTCCTGGATGGTATTCACCATCACCAACAGGCATTGGCCCTCCACAGACCGCACCGTGCGGGCACTAGAAGAGGGCATTGGTGCGCCCGGGGTACTACAGAGGTGTTTGACGGCACTAGCCTGACTCGAAAACCACCTGCAAGGAAACACCCACGAGATCTGCGAGCGACTCAAGAGAACGGGTGAATAAGCAACATCATGGCCACCGAGAGGCATATGTCGCCACGGTCTCGGGAATAGCCAAACCGGGAGGGAGCCTAAAGCGCCAAATACATGTGCCCAGGATTTCCTCTGTCCTTTGCCCGGGATGCAATGTGATATTCGCCGGGGAGAAGTGCCATAGGGGAAAGATGGGAACGGAGGCTAAAGTGATGCAGACATTCTGGAAGCGTCAAGAAGCCGCTTATATTCCAGGGTAAAGTGGGCGACGCGGTTGACAAGGAGCAAAGTAAAAAGAAGTGCGTCCACCCAAGGGTAGCATCGGGAAACGACGACTTGCCGTTCGACGGGGACGCAGCCAGTTGTTGGAGGAGGAGAGGGATAATTTTCCCTCCTTTGCTTCTTGGTGGTGGTGGTGGTGGTGGTGGAGTGGTGATGAGGGGAAGTAAAAAGAATGAATCAAAGTCGCGTACCTTGACATCATCGCCTGAGTGGCTCTCTTCAACAAGTCAAAACCACCGCTTGCGCCAGGCCCCTGCGGATGCTCAGTTGTGCCTGACATGTTGCTCTTGCAGTTCACCACAAGACCCAGTGAAAGGCAAATGCCAGGCTCGCGGCGCTCAGGTGAGTTGAGCCAGTTGCTAGTTTCGTCGACGGGAAGTGGCCGATGGTTGGGAATATCTCATGCGTGGGATTTGTGCGGAGTAGGTAGGCAGAGGTGTGGATTGAAATAGTTAGGTGATAGATGGGTGGATGGATGGATGGGTGGGTGGAAGGGTGGATGGGAGGAACTGGATATGGATGGGTATTGGTGGGTGGAGGGGTCAGCGCTGGATTACTTGTAGCTGGCCACAGGCGGCTGTTGGCAGCAGCGTGCGGCGGCGAGGAGAGAAAGATTTATAAGAGAGCAGGTAAGATGCGCAGCAACCACACACACACGCATATCCATGGATGCATGCACAGTGCCTGGGGCGTTGCTGTTTCCCGCCTGAACGTAACGTAAGGTAGACCGGACGGGTACTTTCGAGGCTGAGGTAAGGATTGCAGCAAGCCAGGTCGGAAAAGTACTGTACTTCGTTTGCGGTTACGGCAGCGCTGGTCGGTGAGGCTATTGTGATAAGCTGAGTGCGTCAAAGGCAGCACTGAACTTGTCAAAAGTGAGGTTGACAAGCGGGCGGGGGCGCAAGAAGTTTTTCTAGCCTTGAATTAGATGAGGTGATGTCGATGAAGTGGAGTTTGTCACATTCAATCGTCGTTTTGGGTTGATCTGATGTGCTCGCCAGGCTTAAGTATCGGGCTTGGGCCGGCGGCGGCTGCGGGCGTGGGTAGATGAGAAACTTCTGCTCCGTACTTGTGTAGATCTGGATAAGCGTGTGTGTGGTAACAACCTGTGTGTATGTGTGTGTGTGTGTGCGGTGCCGGCGATGCCCGTAGATTCCGGCAGTCAAGATTCAAGGGTTGAAAGGGCGGAGAGAGAGACCCAGCCAGCCAACACGCTAACATCACAAAATGGAGCAAATAGAGGGTACACCATCCCTACAGACGGAACCGAGACGAATTCATGGACACGTACTCCGTACACACGGAGTCGGAGTCGCCTTTGATTCCATCTGAAAGTTCTGCGCAATGGTGATCTAAAAAGGTACCAGCATCTCCGACATGCGTCATCCGCCCTCTTTTACCTCTTGGGGCGACTGAGAAGAGAAGAGAAGGGAAGAGAGACAGGGGCTCCCACTCGGCCGCGTTCTTTTTCGGTCTTTATCCCTCTCAAACTCACCGCAACCCAACCCGCGTCACTAATACGGCTTGGCCGCTGATATGAGAGGCGCCTGATGCCGTAATATTGGGCGTGTTCGGTCAGCTCGATACGGTGCCTCGAAACGAAGACTCCCAACGTGTATGTACGAAGTACTTCAAGCTGCAAAGGGCGACGGTTGGATGCAACGTGCTTCACACCGGGTGTTGTTGGGTGGGGTTTGGCACTGAGCAGACCGCTACCGGACTTTTATCGTGATAGGACCCTGGCCAATGGTTCGTCGCTGATATTGCCAGAATGCCATGTGCCAGAGTACCATGGGATTGTTGGGTCATGTCTGTGTGTTCTCCAGCAGACTCCCAGTCCCAGTCCATACGTAAATAGTCAAGCAACCCCACGCGAGCCGACCCTCTGAGTTATTGTACGGAGTACGCCTTTCGCCCGTCAGCATATGAAGTCAGCATGAACCCAAGTCTTTGCGCTCCAGATCCTGGACGCCAGTCATCGCATCGTCCCAAAGAGGGAGTCATATGTTATCCCGCCATCCAACTGGCAACGCATCACTCAAACACTCGACTGAAACTACTACCAAAAAGCCCGCCCGATATACAGGTAGGATAGTAGCCACCAGATCTACCGAGATTCAAACGAACCCAAGTTCACAAGGCTGCTTGGCAATGGTAGCTTGTCAGAATGATGAGAACCCTGTCTGTACATGCTCCCGTCCTTTTCGGGCCGGCGCTATGAACAGCCTGGTTTCGTATGAGGCAAGAAGGTGTGCATACCCAACCGCATTCAGGAACTCCAGACTATATCGGGAACCACCGAAGTCTCAGTTTAGGAACATTCATCATGATCTCGAAAAAATGGCGGTCATGTTCCCTTGGTCCCGCTGAGCTCGAGTGCTCCTTTCCGGTCGCTAGAGAGCGTCGGAGTCGCACACGGGTCGGCTCATACAGATCTGGCTCTTGAAGCTGCATACTGCTGCAGCTTCTTGACCCTTTTTGTGCGACCCCTTGCTGGTATTTCCAGGTAGAGAAAAAAGCAATATCACAAACGCGGTTGAAGTCACATTGGGGTTTTACTCAATATTTGCCTGTCAAGATTGGCAGATTGGTGGACAAATGAGGTGTCTTCAGCAAGGTATCACGTACTTCAAACATGCCTCCTCCCCTCCTGTCAGTGTCCAAGACCTCCCTCCACCCAGATGAGGAAACCCTGGTAACATGTTTCAGGAGCATTTCTCTCTAGCGGCGTCATCAAGTGAAACATTCTTCGTTGTAGCCGACACACTGTCGATTTGCAAGTGGAGTCGCCGAGTCGAGTCAGTACCAACTTACTTACCCTGTCTTGCCTGTTACCCTTCGGACCAGATCTCTCGCCTCTGCCGTCGCCAGAATCCAGTTCCTTGGTTGGGTTCTTAGTATGCGGGCCGAGTTCACGGCCAGGGAAGCAGCCCCGAGTGCAATGTGCCCCTGTACTTCCAAGATTTATTTGCGACACCTGGTCATGCTCTTGAAGCTGAGATGTCAGAGGTCCAAAATTGGACACGAGTACTTGGAGTTCTGGAACCCACCCCCCTGTGCTTCAGGTACACTACAGGGACTGCTCAATCTGTTAGTGGCTGGCTTCAGCCTCAAATCACCACTACGGGCGCCACCCGGCGGCCCCATTGTTACTGGAATGGAGCCCAGGATCTGGACATCCCAAATCAGCTGGACAAGCGGGAACCCTGATGCCTGTAGCTCCCGTCCAAGCCGCAGCGAGGTGATGCAAGATCGCCTCTCATTCGTTTCCCTTTGCTGGACCTGCAGGCGAATGACGAGGCGAAGAAAAAAAGGAAACGAAAGCACAGTGTTCTAGGGCGCAGGGAGACACGGAAGGCCGAATCCAAGACGTGGCTTGTTCCTTTTTGTGTGACTCGCCCCATGCATTTCCTGTGGTCTCGATGCGTGCTGTGCTGCTGTGCTACGGGCCATTGTCTCCTTTTGGCAAGCCCTCAACCTTCAAAGGCCTTTTTTTCCATCCCAAGGGGTGTAGACTTATCCGAGCCGCCAACGTCACTCAAGTCTGGCCGGCGGAATGGAACCATTACTGACTCTTTCTTTTTTTGTCATGTCCGGTCGTTTCTTCTACTTAGTTGACTGTCCTTCCCGTTCTCACGGTTCCGCGTTCTCGCCCCCTTTCTTCCCCGTGCTACCGAATGGAAGCAGGCTCAGAGTATGGCTTGCGAGTCATGCTCGCACACCCTCGCCGGCCTGTCCTTGTCGTCGCACACTCTACGTACATGGCGCTCGTAAATGCCGGCTCTCGCATGCGTCGTCCTACTGCACGGCTGGTCTGGTGCACAAGCGGCCAGTGCACTGGTAACGAGTCATCTCGTAGGGGGGCAATTGGAAAAAGGGGGCGTCGTCCCCCTTTCTCTACCCTGGGTATTGATTGTATTAGTGACCTGGCTGTAGATGGACGACATACTGCTCCTCACTAGATATCCGAAACCCCTTTTTCGCATCTCCTGCCCCGAGACCTCCGATCGTTGGGAAGGGGTCATGAAATGGCCTCAGCAAATTCATCATCGGCAAGTCCAGCAGCCCAGCTTCTCAACTTCTGTCAAAGGTCTGTGGTTGATGGCAGCTCGCCCATCAGCTTGTATTCGAATACTGTATCTTGTCTTTCCAAGTCGTACCCTCATTCATCCCAGCCTTATGTGAGACTATCCTACAATGGCCAGTGATTTGCGAAGATAGTGCAACAACATTCCCAGTATATCCGCAAATAGCTGCTTTCATCTGTAACGAGTTTTTGCCCATTTATTGAATCTCTTACAAAAAGTATGAACTAGAACCCAAGCTCCTGGTTCCAGAACTTGAACTCGAGAGATGATGATCGATACGTTCGAAGCTATATAACGTGCATGATGGAACCGAAGTTGATCGGACACAGCAGACACGCCCCAGGATTCACAGCTTTACCTTATTCCACGGCAATGCTCTGGCGTAAGAGAACCATTCAAGTTCAATTTAATACGGTGAGGCGTTTAGATACTACTTAAGGATAGTGCTATGTCGGTCTACGAACAAGCTCGTGTGGTAGACCAAGGGTGTAGTCGTGATGATGAGCGCAGTCTCGGTGGAACTGCAACAGACTCTGTAGGGTGCTAGCAATCCCAATGAATGTCTTCCCCAAACTCTGTCGTTAAAGGGGGATACCGCAATGCATCTAGCAGTGCATCCAGGTCGCTATGCATCTGGTAATGCATTCGACCCAATCGAACAAGCAAAACAAAACAGGGAGCGCTCGCTGAGTTTATGGCTCCTATCCAGCAATGTATTTCCTTCCCTTGCAAAGGAGCGATGCCAAAGGGAGACATTCACCGGCTGATCTCCGTGTTGTCATCCGTGTCCATATCCTCTTCTCTGTCCATGTCCACATCTTCTTCTTCTTCATGCTCGGCGGGGACGTTGCTAACATCGACCATGATCGTGTCCTTGATGGGGGCTGTGTCGCCGAAGCCCACGTCCATGGCGTTGGCGGCGTCGGCCTCTGCAGCCGCGGCCGCTCGCTTCTCCCTCATCTGCCTGCACTTCTTCTTCCGGTCCAGGACCTTGGACCATGCGCAGATCTTCCGCCAGGCATCCTTTGGGATGACGGACTGCTTGAGCCATTTGCGCCAGAAGGGGTTCTTCAGCTCGAGCGCGTAGTAGCCGGCATAGTGGCGCTCAAAGCACTGATCAATGTTGGGGTTGTAGTGAGCCGGATCGCGCGAGTGCCAGGCGTGAAGGAGCTGCCTCTTGACGTTACTTTGGGCGATCTTGACCGTCTCTGCATTCCGCAGATATCGCTCACGGTTGGCACCGACAATGATGATGTTTGGGAGCGGTTTGACGGGTGTGCCATCACAGGTCCTGAGCACCTGGGATGCGGCTCCGATGCCAGTTTCGGTGGCGTCGTCGGTCATTCTTGCATCCATCTTACCAGAAGACAAAGAGTACGACTTGACCAAGCGAATGCGTGTTGTATTGCTCTTCTGGGGCGCGTCTGACAAGGACGGATGGCATGAAAGGCTCTCGTTGAATCCCGTGGATTGGTTTGGCGCGACCATGTCGAGAATGCTTTGGGCGTTTTCGAAGTTGGGTGCTCTGAAGCCAAGATTATAGAGGCAGAGGATATCAGAATTGAGACCAAGAGTAGAGCATGTTCGGCAAAGCCGACAAATGTGAGTAATGGTTGAAAGATGTGGTCAGGGTATCGTCGATGCCTCGAGGGGAACAGAGGAGAACGAAGGGGAGTAGAGAGAGCAGACGGTATCCTGATTTCTCTACACAACGTTCATCTCTTTATTCGGGAGCAAGCCAGAGAATGAGCTCGGTGAGTACCTTGGGAGTGTATTCGACGGATTACAGAAACCGCGCATTCATCGCCTCACCTGAACCTCACCTACTTCGGTACCGAGGCCGACTCAGTTCTACATTGAACCCATCCGAGGATGACAAGTAAATCACTTGCTAGTCGGGGGCAGTACCGTTCCACTGGGAAGGCAGAGGTCACGAAGCAAAGTTTTAACAAAGTCAAAAGAAGGGATCTGGACTATTGAGTTGAGAAAGTTGGGATATCATTATGAAATAACATTGGTTCTTCTACTCTCGATATGGTTGACCCATCGTTTTCTAGCCAGAGCCGGTAGTCCGAAAGGGCTTAATAAACAGAGCAGCGAAGAGAGTGCAGGTAAAGTGCTCTGATGACTGATCTAATCCCATACACCAGGGTCGCGATCCATGGTTGGCAGCGACGTTTGCGGCAATATTGTTCTCGCAGTGGAGGCCATCACTTGGCATCTTCGCCCGCCTTTGCTATGATAGCCCTCAGCTGATCCTCGGCACCTGATGGAAAGGTTCTCGACCACAGTCCATTGCCCTTTCTGGGAAGTAGGGGATCTGCATAGTCGGCTGCTCGTCACAGACTGGTCAATAACAAGGTCTCTGTTGCATGTGTCACGAGATAGGAATACACACCCGGGTTGAACTTTTGATCAGTCAACCTTGCCCTTGCGACGTTGTATTCCTCCTGGTGCTTCTGGTCGAAGGCAGCAGCAGCAGCAGCGGCTGCGGAAGCTTTCTCGGAGTCACCGGCGGGCAGACTAGGAGCGGATGCCGCCGGGCGGACCGGTGAGCTCTGGTCCGACATCACTTGGTCGATATTCATGATGAGCCGACCTGCCCAGACTTTTCGAGTCGCCGGAATGGAAATTGATGTCCTTGTTTGAGTGGACAGTACTCTGTTCTGTCTTCCGAGGTCAGCCAATTTCCTTGAAGGTGCTCATGTTGGGGCGTACCGTGGTTTCCCAAGTGGTTCCTCTCAAACTCGGGTAACCCTTTTTGGAAGCCAAAAAGCGCAGGTCTGAGTCACTTGGGTCTGATGTCTTCAAATATTATTTGATATTTGGCGTTTGTGAAGTCCGAAGTCAAGTCATGGATCAACTTTAGCGCAGATGCCTACCAAAGCAGGCACTGAGAAGCAACGACGTTGAATGTAATTAATGCACCTTACTGTATGCGCTGGGAAGGTGGAGGATGATGTAGTGAGCGGGTATCGGCCTGGCCCGTGCATCATTTAGCTCAATCCTTCTCGACTGTGAAGGCGGGGAGCCATTTCAGCCCACCATCGATCATCACCCTTCTTCATCAATCTGACATTTGCACGTCTATCTGAGAGGATCTGGTCTCCACGCAGCGCATTGCAACGGCGCGAAAAGCATACCAAACGAGGCGCGCAAGTTTTCTATAGCAATCTTGGAAATCGCATCGGGCTACGGCCTTCCATTCCGCATTCACTACACAAGTCAGGAATACATGGCAGAAATCTACAACAATGGCCAAGAAAAATGTTCCGGACGCCTGGGATGACGATTGGGAGGCACAAGCCGATAGAGCCTTGAAAGAGGAGCCCCCGGTCCCCAAAGAAGACCCAATCGTCCTGAGCCGGGCGGAAAGACTTGCTCAACACAAGGAATCAAACCGTAAACTCTGGCAATCCGCGTACGTGTGGGCATTCTGACCGCCACAGAACCCTCTCCCAGATCCCCAATCTAACACCCCAAATCTAGGGAGGCACCCGAAGAATTCCACTTCCTTGCAGCCAACAATGACCCACCACTCGCCACGGCCTTCAAGCCAGCCATGAAGGTCCTCAGTAGACGACCGGCGCCAAAGATGATCGCGAAGAAAGATCCGATCACAGGACTTGAAAAGCTGACGCTGCTAGACGACGGAGAGGAGGATGACGAGGCAAGCAAAAGACAGCAGCCGACCGTCGAGGAGATTCGCAAACGCCAGCAGAGGGAATTGGAGGAGAAGCAGCGCCGCTATGACGAGGCTCGGGCCAAGATCTTTGGAGAACCCAAGTCGACCCCTTCCTCAGGTCATTCTACGCCGGGTACCGTTACACCTCCCCAAATGTCTGAGGGACGACAGAATCAAAACCAGAGAGGGAAAGGCAGAGGCCGAGGCGGCTATCGTGGGGATCATGCCCGCCACGACAACCAGAACCGCCGGCAAGCCAATGCTGCTGGAGCTCGAGAGCTTTACGATCCCAATTTCTCCCCCAAACCTAGCTACAGCGGCCAAAAGAGGGGCGGCAGCGCGGCCTCACCACAGTCGACCCGGTCAACTACTCCGCGCGAGGAAGATCAGGTCATCAGGGCACCGAAAGGTCCAGACGGAAGTGGGCGAGGAGGTTTTGGATTCGCCCGACGAGGCGCCAAAGAAAGTTGATCTACATTCAACGCTAGCAATGCTATCTACCATCCACCGCCGACCTTGCCGGCCAGCTGGACGACGCGCTCAGAGTCGCTTGGCTTGGCCTTGCCGACATCACTGATGACTTCCCGATACGTCGTAAACACCAATCTCTCCAGATTGATGCCGGTAAGGCGCGACCAATGCGCCAGGGTATCTCGAATATGCGCCGGGCTAATGCCGGCCACTTGGTCAGGCCTCTGATCTCCGTTCAGGTCGGATCCAGGAGCCGCATGCTCTTCACCTGATGAAAAGTACGCCTCGTCCACTTCCGCCAGCAGCGCTTTCTGTTCGTCTGGACCTGGCTTTGTGCCGAGATTCCTCCGTTCAAGAATGACTTGATCGTCGACCTTGACTTGGCCCCCTCCGTTGGTGCACCCTCCAGGGCACGCCATGACCTCAACATAGGCGTGCTCAAGGCCGGCGGCCTTACCCGTTGGCCTTCGTGCACTCCCGAAAGGTTTGCCCCCGGGCATCCTTGACGCCTTCGCAGGCTTCAGTCTGCGGACTAGGTTCTGGATATTGCGGAAACCGTAGTATCTCGCTGCCTTGAAGATAGGCTCGCCAGATGCCGAGTTAATGATGTACTCCATCACGTCGACATTCCTCCCTCGGGTGGTTTGCAGGTGGGAGCCGGGATTCCGGGCCAGAACATCCTGCAGGATATAATAAAGGTTCCCTCCAGAGCTGCCAGCCTCTTGGGGCTGTGATCCCTTCCTCCGTTTGGGAAAGAGGAAGTCTTGGAGTATGGGGTCAGGAAAGACAGGAGTGTTCTCCAAGGGAGACGTTTTCGATAGACTGAAGAAGTCAATGTTCCTCGACTCTGTGAGCATAAAGATCTCCTTGCTCGTGATGACACAGTCAACATCGCGGACGCCCCTGGCTGGTTTTCCATCTCCTCCCCACACAGCATCTGTCAGCTCTTCCCGGCTAGCCTCGAGCTTTTTGTCGAAGCATGGCATGATTGCCAGATGCCATATCCTGTCAGGCGGAATCCCCAGCGTCCGACTGAGGGTAGTCTTCAAGAGAGTACCCATCAAGGCCTGGGGTGATTTGACTTTCGAGAGGTGTGGGAGAACATATGGATGTGTCTTCTCGGCATAGCACACCCATCCGGGGCAGGATGAGGTGAGGATGGGTTTGGAAGGAGAAGATGAGGTCTGATTCAGTACCTCGTCTGAGCCGAGGACAAGGCATGTCTCGCGCGCAGTGTTTGTATCGGTGATCCATGTGAATCCGTTACCAAACTTTCCACCAGCCTTGAGGCCCTCCGGACCCATGAGCAATCTCTCCAGCATGTGTCCGGCTTGTCGTTCCGTCACGCCACCGCCGCATGCGGCTGCCAAACTCGCCCTCGTCTGGGGCGACACGCTAGCCACATATAAATTCCTCGACTCGTCTTCCAAGCCTTCGACCGAGAACTTTCCCTGGGCGTCTGGGCCGAGGACGCGAAGAGCCGGGCCCGAGTCCAAGGAGTTCAGAACTTCAGAGTGACTCTGGAGGCTGACTAGGACAGCTTCGGCCGAGGTCACGCAGCCGGAACATGCAAGGCAGTCGGTAAGAGAGATCTCTGCCGGCGGCGCGTTCGTTGAGGGTTGCTGGCCGTCGAGGATGACTTCGTGCTCGAGCGAGGCATCTTGAGGAGGGGCAGTCGGCAGGGTCTCGATGGGTTTGATGCAGGCGACGCCGGGACTGATGAAGTCGTTGAGGTCGTCGGCTGAAAGAATGGCGCTCATGTCGGCGACTACTCTTGTGCGCGCGCTGGCTCAAGGGGGGGTTGTAGTCTTGGCTGCCGACACGGCTTTGCGACGAGATCCTGACTTGGAGAGTATGAAGCAGGATCCAAGATGTCTGAAGCCGATGTAGACTCTGATTGAATAGAAAGTCTTTGGCGTGTCAAACACTAGAAATACAAGCGTGATTTTCCTTGAGAAGAACTAGATCGCTTGTTGTCAAAGGGAGCACATGCATGTAGTGTGACTCTTGTGTGGATATGCGAGACTTCGAGATTGCTTTGAAATTCGAGGTTGCGAAATCGGCTTCCGATGGGTGGCGGATCTTTTACGCACTGGCGGGGGAGAGATTTCAGCGGGACACACCCCCACTGTCACCGGGTTCTAGGGGTCCCCAGTACCTGGAACAGCCCGGCCAATCACGGTGTCCCAATTAGCGTCGGCCCAATGACGTCGTTGTACACTCATCGGAAAGCTGGGACGATCACTTTAATGCAGGGCGGGTAGCTCTCCCAGAGCTGTCCCGATGATTGTCTCCAGGTAGTACTTAAGCCAGCTTTCCCAGCCTCATACCGTCTTTATAACAACGAGTAGCAGTTCTCAGCTTAACTTGGATCAAGTCGATTCATCTCAACGTTGCCAAACTGGTCCCCGACTACCTTAAGCAACCGGTAATCATGGATGTAGGTTGCCCAATGCCTGACGACATGGAGCAGTACCTACATGTCTGTCTCGCGATATTCTAACAAGGGTGCCTTCACCAGTCTGTTTCTGCGTACAGCTTTGCGAGCTGCGGATGGCTCAGCCTGCAGGCATTGCCTCTCGTGATCTGGCCTTCCTTTGTCACCTCCCTCCTCACGCCGGAGCACCAGCATGCTGATGGTAAGTTGTGCCCTTGCAGCTCGCGGAAGTAAAACCACTCACCTCCGGCCTGCCTGAGACTGACCAAAGGGGGACAAACAGCTCTCCAAGAATACCTCGCCCGCTCTTTGGGTCTGTCCCAGCTGGGCTTGGGGCTCCTGATTGTCGTCTTGTCAGGAGCCCTTCCGCTGACCTCAGTGGTGGAGAGTAAGTCGTTCTGCTTAATACCCAATTATTGTTCAATGTCCAATAACTCACGCGCTTCCCGCCCCTACCATCAATAGGCCCCCAGGACTCCATCTCACCCTACGCCAATGCGGTCGTGCTCGTATCGAGCCTGTACCACTTCGGGATCGCCTTCTACGGCTACGTCAAGTACAACGAGACCGACCTGACGGGCTTCATACTCGGTGCTATCGGAAGCGGCGTCCTCGCTGCGTTTGGCGTCTGGTGCATGCTCTTTGGCGACAGCCGCAAGATCAGCAAGCGCACCGGGGCCGACAAGCGGACGAGCGGGTTCCCGTTCAAGAACTCTGAAGCTGACAAGCGCAAAGACTTGTAAAGGATGCCAAGGCCTTGGTATCCTTTGTTAGAGACCGTGCTAGAAATGGATATGGCTCAGGATAGACAAGGATGGAACGGAGTTCAGAGCGTCAGAAGGGCTGGGTAGACATGGATGAGAGTCAGTGTAAGATAGGCAAAGATCCAAGCATTACGAGATGTCTTGGACAGACCCTCTAGTTTGATCTCAATGCTCTGGGTAACATTAAAAATAGCGTACCGGGTGTGCGAAAGCAGTATAAAAAGAACCATCATCGGGAAAGTGTAGCCAATTTGACCTCGACCCACACATTTATGGATAGATTATCCCTTGATTTGAGTCATGGATGGCTGAACTGAAGACAACAGGGCCTAAGAAAGAACAGCACTAAATCCCTTTCATGGATTGGAGAAAGGTTTAATAAATCTGCTAGATATCTGCAGACAATGATCTACACCCGCAGACTCCAGGCATTGTCTTGCAGAGTGAAAATATAGTACAGTGTATATAAGACCCCCCTCCGCGGTGAAAGAAACGCCAGACTCCTCACAGACTCTTCCCGCTCCCAATGTGTTCACCTACTCAGATGCACTATCCTTAGTAGCTGCCGCTGTTTGCGAGGTATCCTTCTCTTCCTCAACACTCTTAGAACCGGGACCGTTGATGATTACCTCGGGTGTGATCTGAACATCGGCGACACCGGCCAGAACTTGCTTCCTCCGCTCATGCCAGTCGAGCTCGCTCTTAATGACTTGATCGAGCAGCACTTGCTTCTCTAGCCACTCCTTCTTGTACAGGTCCTCCCACTTCTTGCATTCCTTCTTCAAGTCGTCACCCTCTGCCTCTGCCCACTGCACCTGACAGCGGCAGAGAGCATGCAGGCGCTCGAAGGGCATGGCTAGCTCCTTCTCGGTGAAGCCCTGCTCTGCGGTCATCTGTGTGAAGTAGTCCGAGACATCATCGCCGTTGCTGTTCTCATCTACGGCGTCATCTTGACCGGTAGCATGCGACTGCGGCGTCTTGATGATTATTTTGAGCTTGGAGGATGACTTTGTCGGGCCGGATTGCATGCTCTTAGGTACAGGGTCCGAGGGCCGCAGTGCCTCGGTCTCATGAACTGTACGCATATGCTTGGCTAGGGCGTCGGAACGGGTGAAGGCGCGATCGCATTCTGAGTCGGTGATCAGCGATTTGTCATGTTACAACATACCGGAGTAAAGTGGTGGACAATTGCAATGAACTTACCAGGTAAGTAGCAGTAGAATGGCTTCTCCCTCGTGTGGCTGCGCATGTGCGCTTTGAGGGCGTAGCCACTGGCATGCGGCATGCTCTTTCTGCCACAGCCAACCCATTCGCAAGTGTACTTCTTCTGCTTTCCTTCAATGTGGTCGTTGTGTATGTGCTCTACGAGCTTATCCATGTTGCGGAGATCGCCTGCGTCGCAGCCCTCCCAGGCGCAGGTGGTCACTTGTTCTTGGAAATCATCCTCCTCGGGTCGCGCATTGGCAGGCGAGCTGGGGATGTCGCCATCGGTATCGGACGACACGGGGGACATGCCTTCGAGCGGATCGGGCGAGGGTCTCTCCGGGTGGCCGGCGACGGCGGACGAGGCTGTCGAGGCGTCTCCCACCTTTTGACGCTTCGGCGGCGGGAGATCATCCGTCATGGCGTCGTCTTGGAATTCGTCTTCAGAGCCCATTGATGACAAGGGCGAGTCTACTGGCGACTCGTGCCGACCCATGCTTGGGATGTGTGTTCAATGGGAGGGTTGTGGATGCGACAAAGAGGCAGGGGCGGAAAATTTGCCTTCACTCGAAGGCGCGCAAGTAAGCTGTCCTCTCTTCGCTGTGGTGTTCTGGTTCGGGTGGCGGGTGGCAGCGCGGGAAAACCTGCTGCGTGCTTTTAGGTTGGTCTTGATCGAAAGTGGTAAGACGTGTGTGTGGTTTGAGCGTTGAAATTGACGATAGCGTTGGTGGCCGATAAGTGTGGTGTGAATTGAAATAATCCTCTCGAAAGTTAATTGTGGTGGATTGGAAGCTTCAATTGCGCATGGCCAGAGTGAACATGAACCAAGGGAATACAATACGCCTACGCGACAAGTCCCTGTCGTGATAACAGTGATAACACGATAAAGCCCGAATGCGGCTGGGCTCCACTTGGGATGGCTCCAGTTCCAGTTGGTCACAGCTGTCAGCGCCTGAACTCACTGCCTGGTTGCGCCAGTGGCGTCCTTGTTGCCCCCTGGTTATGCTGCCCGATCCTTTTGTTTAACAAAATAATTGATCCCCCACACCCCACCAATCCTGCGCGCATCAATCTGTCTCTGCATTCTGCAACCACCCGCCATTTTTTACCACTGCATCTTTACTCAGTACATCTGTGTCACCATTTGCTCATAGCGAGATATCAGACAACATGGCGTCTTCGACAAAGATCTTTTCCCTCGAGGGGAAGAGTCTCAAGCTCGACACTGCCGAGGACCTCGAACCCCACGTTGCAGACCTCAAGGCCATGGAGGATGTCGAGGAGGTTAGGATGCTGGGCAACACCTTGGGTGTCGGCGCTTGCAAGCGCCTGGGCGAGATCCTAGCGACCAAGAAGAGCCTACAGGTAAGCTTTGATTATTCTCCAACAGCACAAGGAAGACTCTCGTTGACTGTTTGCGCTCAGGTTGCCAACCTTGCCGACATCTTCACCGGTCGTCTACTAAACGAGATCCCCGAGGCTCTCTCGTCCCTCCTCACCTCTATTCTCAACCTCCCCAAGCTCAATACCATCAACCTGAATGACAACGCTTTCGGTCTCAACACCCAGGCGCCGCTTGTTGCCTTCCTCGCCGCACACGTCCCCCTGCAGCATCTTTACCTCAACAACAACGGCTTGGGCCCTCATGCCGGCATCCTGATCGCTGACTCCTTGTCCGAGCTTCACAAGAAGAAGGAGGAGGCGCGCAAGAATGGACAGACTGTTCCAGATCTTGAGACCGTTATCTGCGGCCGAAACAGACTGGAGAATGGCAGCATGACGGCTTGGGCAAAGACCTTCAGCCTGCACAACAAGATCAAGGTGATCAAGATGGTTCAGAATGGCATTCGCCAGGAGGGTATCAGCCATCTGTTGAGCGAGGGCTTGAAACACACTTCGGAGCTCCAGGTGCTGGATCTGCAGGATAATACATTCACTCTTCTCGGCGCCCGTGCCTTGGCCAAGGTTGCGCCTACCTGGGCCAATATTCAGGAACTGGGTGTGGGTGACTCTCTGCTTGGTGCCAAGGGCGGTATCGTGCTATCACAGGCGCTTGCTCAGGGAAAAAACAATAAGCTGGAGATTCTGCGGCTCCAGTACAACGAGATCACGGCTGCAGGACTGAAGGGCTTCGCCGAGGCCGCAAAGGAGGGCCTTCCGGCTCTGAAGAGGCTCGAGGTCAACGGCAACAAGTTCTCCGAGGATGACGAGGCAGTTTTGCTCCTCCAGGAGCTCTTCGAAGAGCGGAAGGAGAAGCTGGCTGGTGATGTTGTCATCGAGGATGACTGGGGCCTGGACAGCCTGAGCGATCTTGAGGAGGAAGACTCTGACGAGGAGGAAGAAGAAGAAGAGGAGGACGAGGAAGAGGACATCAAGCCCGAGGATAGGGCTGAGAAGCTCATCAAGGAGGCAGAAGAGGCTCAGGAGGAACCCACGGTTCAGCTCAAGGACAAGGATGTCGATGCGCTTGCCAGCAAGCTGGAGAAGACATCCATTTGAAGGACTGGGTCTTCGATCACCAAGCCCACTTCTCTTCAAATCTTCCCCTCTATTCACTTTCATTGATCATGTAGACGATACCCCCCGCATACACAATTCCCTGATTTAGATAGCGATGGTCGGCGGAACGGAATACGGATAATAGAGGATTCGGGTCCGGCCGGATCAGTCAAGATAGCATCCAAATCAACAGCATCATAAGTCACCATCTGGGTACACGCGACATGCGACATGCGGCACGCCAATGGCCTGAGTGGAAAAGTCAATTTAGGTAATACAAATGGCCTGCCTACAGGTGATGGCTAGACTCCGGGGTTACAGTCTGGGGTTGGCTGCTTGGCGGGTGGCCCAACCATCACACCACTGCCGGGAGAGTTTGCTGCTTACAGCACCCGCAAGCCGAATCTCCCCACCAAGCTTCTGACGAAAGGAGGTCAGCGGATCTGAGTCGAGATCTTCGATGACAATAAAAGAGGTTCATAAATCCCATAGATACCGCGTTGTCCGTGGCTGTTACCAACAGTATGAACTATTTTTCAAGAAATCTACCACCAACTGGTTTTCAACAACTTACACCACTTTGAACACCACACATATTACACCCAACCACTCCAAACTACAAACTCAACACCAAGAATGCAAAACATGGTACTCTTCGAGACAACCGAGTCCGTGATAGAAGTGCTCTGGGACGTCGCGTTGGCCTTCTTCGTTACCCGCCTCGCCCTCGTCTACTTCGCCGTCGTCTTCGTCCCGACCTGCCTCATATCCTACCTCGCCACCTGCAACGACGGGTCTCTCCTGCACCGGGCCAACATCGCCGGCGTGGTCGCCGCACAGCTGCTCGTGACGGCGCTGGCGGCCCGGGGCGTCGTCGTCCACTTTCAGCTCCCTCATCTGAAGAGTCTGCGGCTGGCCATCGGCGGTGTGGCGCTGGGCTTCATGCTTGGTGCGCGGGCGCTCGTGGCGGCGGCGGGGTGGAGCCTGTTTGTCGGGGGCGGCCGGAGCACGGCACTACTACTAGCCGTGTTCGCGGCCATGCCGGCCTTGATGATGGCGCTGGAGCGGAACCCTGCTAAGCACCTGGAGGAGGGCGACTATCATCACGAGACGGGGCTCAAGGGCTCACTTAGTGATCGTATGTGAGTCGCTAGTCAAGAAAGTAACTTGGGTCGGCCTGCTGACAAACATGATTTTACAGACCGATCGGAAACCCGATCAGGAGCCCAAACAAGAAAGGGACTACGGTCCACTGGGACAGTGGGTGTTAAAGAGCACTCCTCGTGAATGTACTTGTATCACTTGATTTAGGTACTATACATAGTGGGACAGCCTTTCTATTTGAAAAAGGAGCAGATTTGTTTGCTGCTCATGAATGTACTTGTATCACTAGGCTTAGGGTGTGGGATAGCGTTTTCGTTCCAAAAAGAAGCAGATTTGTGTACTGATCTCAACCTCTTAGGCTTGGAATCTCTGTATTTATAAAAATGAATTCTATGCTCCCTTCTTTGCGGTGTATTCGGAAGACAAACAGTGCCTCGGTCAAGTCCCGTAGAGACCTTGACCACTCAGAGCCGACGGGTGTAAAAGCCAGGCCGGACGCAAGGACGGATGGGCGGCATGCATATTCGACTTATTCCATCCTTGACTTGCCAGATCTGGCAATTGGGTTGATTAACACCACGTTGTCCAGTAACAGGCGAGGAGCCCCTGGCCCCCATGGCTTGCCCCTGGCCCCCACCGTGAGCTGCAGGCACTTTATCTGCATGCCAGATGAAGGATTGGCGAGCCTCCCTTCTGAAGAATGACAAACCTAGGTACAACGTCTCTCGCCGACCTTGTGACCAACTTACTCAATTGTGTCACTTCAAGGTTGACGATCTAGTTGGTGCCCGTGTTCAAGAGGTTGTTGTTTGTGGGTGTTGGTAGTTGGTAGTTGGTAGTTGGTAGATGGGCAGTAGACTGTTGGAGATAACGATGTAATCTGAGGTGCAAGTTGGCATTGCAGCTCAGTATGTGCCGAGATATTCGTTTCGGTTTGCTACCCAACTCATTAGTAGAGATGGCATTCCTTGCATTACTGCAGGTCCTCGAGGTCCAGACGAGATCTGCGCCCCGTGCCGCATCAACTCGGTGCCTGTGCCCCTGACTGACAGCAGTACAGGGTGTAATGTGCGTGTGATAGCTGGAGCACGCTCGGCGCGCTAGACACTCCTTATTTTATCTTTTCTTTCCCAGTGCAACCCCCACCGCGCCGGCGTACTCCTACCCTGCCACTTGCAGCCGATGATGCTTAAAATATCCAACATAACACAAAAACTTACGCGATATCTGCAGCTCCTGGTCACGATGCCTTCCCCCAAGAGCCATGCCCAGCCATGCATCAGGGCTTGTGAGGATTGCCACCCACTTTGTCGCGCAAGATCCCTTCACGTGTTGCCGGTCATGGCACCGGCATTGCGGCGCAGGTGCGCCAAAGTCCTGAGGATCGTCCCTAGCTATGGAATTACGGTCGATTAACCTCTGGCCTAATGCAACCGATCTCAGAGATCTTGACGCTTTCCAGTTGACCCCCTTTGGCAGGTGGAGAAATCAATCAATGTCGCTCTATCGCGGACCTTGGGCGTAAGCTACCAGGGACGCTTGCTTGAGACGCGATATTGGTTCCCGCATAGCCGGATTCTTCCCTGTGGCCAGGAATATCTCCCGAACGCCTATACTTCCATGACTGCTATAGGCCGATCCTTTGAGATCGAAACGAAACGGGCGACCCACGTTTCTATGTGCCTCTGTGTGCCTCTCCTGCGTCTTTGACAAAGGTTGACAAGGCCAGTGGGTAGGTGATCCTCTCTGTTATACCGCATTCCAATGGCCTCAGAAGATGGCCTCTTCCTCTTCGGTGTCCAACCAACCAACGCGGGCCGACGAGCCCTCAGCCAGTGGCTAAACGGGTGGCCGATAAATTGTCGACTACAAGGCCCCCATTTCTGATTTTCTTGGTCATGCTGCCATCATGGGAGCTGGGAAGCATTGTCTCGGCGAGTGTCGTTCATATTTTAAGCAGGCAAGGTCGCCCCCAAGTGGGTGCGCCGCCATGGCCAGGGGGCTAGTCGACCTTACATTCCAACTGATCACGACCCTTCACTCGAGGCTGGCGAGCTGGGACCGCCACGAACCTGCATTCCTTCCGCTGGCTACCGCACCTGGGTGTGGGGACCATTGAAACTGCGTGTAAGCCAGAGGGCGATATATCGTATATATGACCATCCCTCCTACCTCGACTATTGCCAACGGAGCCCCTTACGTTCTCTCCCTTCTGCAGTCCTTGCATTGAGTCGATTATTGGTTTCTCCCTTTTTTGTTAGAGCATTCAGTTGAAGATGTTGAGAAAGATCCTTGCCATAGCCCCTTTCCTGCTGGCCGCTCCTGTGGCAGCTGCACCCAAGTTCATTGAGAGGGAAGTCGTCTGTGCAACTATCGACCCCGTCACCGAGACAGTTTACCACACCAAGACTGTCTTTGCCAATGGGCCGGCTGCAACAACAACAGGAACATTGAGTGCCGGGAAAGAGCATTACAGTGCTGTAGACTCCGGGAGTTTCAACTCATCTGCAACTTCTACTGCTGCTGCCCCTTCCTCAAGCGGATCACAGACTTCCAGTCCAGATGTCTCCGGCAATGTAGACCACAGCCGTAGCTATGAGAGTTCACTTTACTTCACAAACTGGTGAGTGATCAGCCTGCCGGATGGATGACCGGGGATATCTGCTGACCTTCTCCAGGGGCATCTATGGTGCCAACTTCCAACCTCAGCAGATCCCAGCTAGCAAGGTCACTCGGATATTATACGCATTTGCAGACATTGCCAGTGATGGCGAAGTGTAAGTCCGCATCTGCACCAATAATCCTCGGTCACTAGTCTCGCTAACCACGCACACAGCAAATCCTCTGATACCTATGCTGATCTAGAGAAGCATTACCCCACGGACTCGTGGAACGACCAGGGCAAGAATGCCTATGGTTGCATCAAGCAGATATTCCTGCTGAAGAAGCAGAACAGGAACATGAAGGTGCTCCTCTCTATCGGTGGATGGACCTACTCTCCCAAGTTTCCTCCCGTTGCCGCCTCTGAGGCTGGCCGCACAAAGTTCGCGCAGAGTGCGGTCAAGCTGGTCGCCGACTGGGGCTTCGACGGCATTGACATCGACTGGGAGTACCCCGCCAACGCCAACGAAGCCCAGGACTTTATCAAGCTGCTCCAGGCCTGCAGGCAGGAACTGGACAACTACGCGCAGAAGAACGCCCCGGGCTACCACTTCCTCATCACCGTGGCCAGCCCCGCGGGACCCACCAACTACAACAACATGGACATGAAGGGCATGGACCCCTACGTCGACGCCTGGAACCTGATGGCCTACGACTACGCCGGCTCGTGGGACTCGACCTCGGGCCACCAGGCCAACATCTACATGAACTCGGAGAACGCGGCGGCGACCAAGTTCAGCACCGAGAAGGCCATCCAGGACTACCTGGCCAAGGGCATCTCGGGCAAGAAGATCATGATGGGCCTGCCGCTCTACGGCCGCTCCTTCGAGTCGACCAACGGCATCGGGCAGGCGTACAACGGCGTCGGCTCCGGGTCCATCCAGTCCGGCGTGTGGCTGTACAAGGACCTGCCGCGGTCGGGGGCGCAGGAGGTCTACGACAACGTGGCCAAGGCGAGCTACAGCTACGACCAGGGCAGCAAGGAGCTCATCAGCTACGACAACGTCAAGTCGGCCGTCGAGAAGGCGTCGTACCTGTCGGGCAAGGGCCTCGGCGGCGCCGTCTTCTGGGAGGCCAGCGGCGACCGCTCCGACGACCAGAGCCTCGTCGGCACGGTGGCCAAGCAGTTTGGCAAGCTGGGAAGCCAACAAAACCTGCTCAGCTACCCGGCCAGCCAGTACGACAACATCCGGGCTGGCATGCCCTGATGGTGTGATGCCTTGTCTCCCTTTTCCTCGCGCTTGCGTGCGATCTTTGGTTTCGCTTCTCCTGGGCCTTCGTATATATACAGGGCTCGCCTTTAGGGACTTGGGTTTCTTTGGGTTTTTCGTACATATCTGGGATCTGTGCTTTTCTTATATTTCTGCTCACAAATCGGCGTTCTATTTGGGTATCCTCGGGCGGTTGCGAATTCTGATTTTCTCTCGATATCATTTCGCATTTACTACGAAAGGCATGCAATCACGATAGACATGTTTTCTTATACCAAAGCAAAGCAAAAGAGGTAGCGATTTCTACGAATATACGAGTTTTGATATGGAATAGTTGACATCCCCCGCGTGACCAAGTGTAGAGACTACATTCATTCACTGGTTTTGAGTCGAAGCTGATAAGAGGTCTTGAGACTAGCAGCGGGTACCTGAATGTCGAGTGATCCCCACTATCAATATCGTGCCCACCAACTTGACGCAGTTGTACCTTTGTTACATATCCCGGTTTTTTCCATCCCATTCAAAACATCACCTCATCCACATCCCAAAATATCATTCAAGAACTCAACAATTAAACCTCTCTCATTTCGATTCTCAGACAGAATCTCTAAAGAAAAAGGAATACTCATCCATATCAAGGAAGAACCACAAAACACCCCTCGCCTCTCCCGTCAGACGCCATGATCTCCCGGATACACCGGTGGTTCCTCCCGCCGACCTACCGCAACACAGGCTCCGTCGCCCGCGACCACCTGGCCTCGGAGCGCACCTTCCTGGCGTGGATGCGCACGGGCCTCGGCTTCGTGGCCTTTGGCATCGCCGTCGAGCGCTTCCAGTCGCTCGACCTCGAGGGCATGTTCGAGCGCTTCATAGACGCCAGCAGGAGACCCTCGCCGCTGCCGCGGGACGGTGCCGACGAGGCCGAGCAGCAGCAGCAGCGCGACAGCGGCAGGAGGCGCGACCAGGAGGAGCAGCAGCAGAGCCGCGTGCTCGTCATGTCGCTGCTGGCCATGGGCGCCGGGTCCATCATGTACGGCGGCGGGCGGTACTTTGCCAACCTGCGCCGGCTCGAGGGCGGGACCTTCCGCCCCGCGTACAACGGGGCCGCGGTGCTGGCGGCCGCGGTGGCCGGGATGGCGGGCGGCGTGGGCGGGAGCACGGTGCGCAGGGGGTGGGAGAGGCAGCGGAGGAGGGAGTGGGAGTGGGAGCAGGAGAGGAGGGAGCGCAAGGAGTGAGAGAAGAGGGCCCATGCGGCGTGAGGGAGGTCACGATGGTTCCCTTGGTTGTGGAGGCTTGGGGGACGACGATGACGGATGGGCGGATTGAGGCTTACTACGTATTACGACGGCTTATGGCTGGGGGTGAGGTGGGACGTTGGATAGGGGGTTCCCAACCTGGCGTGAAGTCATGCGGCCATGGCGGAGTGGAAGGCTTCTCGTTGTGTCATATGGTCGAGATGTCTGAACTGAGTGATACGAGAGAGGAAGCGCTGTACACCACAATGTACATTAGTTTACGAGGCTCGTGCGTCTCATGATACAAAATCCCACTGTACATATATACTGCTTGGATCTTGCCAAAGCCAGGTGATCTAGTTGAAACCCCCAAGAGTGAGCAGGAGGTTGGAAAGACATGGTATGCGTGAGAAGCATTCCGTCATGTGGTTGTTCAATGGAGGGCATGCATGGGGCGGGAGTTTTAGGGTGATTTCCTCACTAAGAGCGCCCCCAGAGTTACAAATTGGGGGCTTGTTACAGGTGCCTCTCCAGTGACTCAACGACTGAGACGGTGGCCAATAATTGTGGGGCCGACCAACTAACGGCCGCCGATAAGGTTGGCGATGCCGAAAAGGGAATTCAAATTTTGATGCTTGATGAGAAAAAGCGCTGATTAACAAGAATCCCAGTCATTTTTTCGGTGACCCGGACTGCAGATATCACGAAACCGACCGTTCTGAACGGCCTGTGAGAGCTTGGACACCAGGCGTGCAGTTTCAGCTCACTCGTGGTCACTCAGCCGCGCACATACCAGACAATGGCTAGAAAACCGGTCATCGGCCTGCTGGGCGGAGGCCAGCTCGGCCGCATGCTCTGCGAGGCTGCCGGCCCGCTGGGCATCGACATCGCCGTCCTGGACGAGGAGAAGGCCCCCGCCAAGCACGCCGCCAACCTGCACGGCCTGCACGCCACCGGCTCCTTCAAGGACCCGGCTCGCATCCGCGAGCTCGCCTCGCGCAGTGACGTCCTCACGGTCGAGATTGAGCACGTCGACACCGATGTGCTCGAGGACATCGCCACCAACGGTGTCGTCCCCGCCGGGGCCGCCCCCGGCTCTGCCAAGAGGAAGATCCCCGTGCACCCCTCGTGGAAGACGCTGCGGCTCATCCAGGACAAGTTCCTCCAGAAGGAGCACTTCCGCGAGCGCGGGCTGCCCATCGCCGAGCAGATGGCCATTGGGTCTGGAGACTCGATGCTGGCGTCTCTCAAGGGTGCAGGTCAGAAGTTTGGATACCCTTTCATGCTGAAGGTTTGTCGACTCCTTGAGCCTGGTGAACATTGCAGTGGGACTAAGTTATTTGTTTGATTTTTTAGGCTCGCAAGGGTTCGTATGACGGCAGGGGCAACTTCAAGGTCAGCAGCGAGGCAGACTTTGAGCAGGCCATCAAGGAGCTGGGCAAGCTCCCTCTGTATGCCGAAAAGTGGTGCGAGTTTGTCAAGGAGCTGGCCGTGATGGTCGTGAGGACCGAGGATGACGGGGGCAACCTGAAGGCGCTCTCGCCCTACTCGGCTGTGGAGACGGTGCACCAGGACAGCATCTGCACAAAGACCTTCATGCCTCCTAGGAATGTCCCCGATGACATTAGCGAGCGGGCTAGGAAAGTGGCCGCGCAGGTCATCGGCTCTGTCTGGGGCCGCGGCGTCTTTGCCGTCGAGATGTTCCTGCTCAAGGATGGTAAGCCCACTCACCCAGCACACCCAGCACATCTCTCAACGACGGCTTCCAAGCTGACAATGTACAGGCTCAATACTAGTCAACGAGGTCGCCCCTCGGCCGCACAACTCGGGCCACTACACCATCGAGGCGGTGCCCTACATGTCACAGTACAAGGCACAGCTCTACGCCATCCTGGACCTGCCGATGCCCAAGGTCATCAGGCCCCGTGTCTCCTCGGCCATCATGCTCAACATCCTCGGCGGCGCTGCTAGGGACTCCCACGACAAGCTCGTCGACCTGGCCGAGCGGACGACCGACGAGGACATGGACGTCTATGTCCACCTCTACGGCAAGGAGTCCAAGCCGTCGCGCAAGATTGGCCACATCACCCTGACCGGCTTCTCCAGCATCCACGACCTAGAGAAGTCCTCGGAGCGCCTCACCAACCTCGTTGACGAGATCAGGCTCGAGCGCGTCCAGGCCGCCAGCCAATCCCTCCGGCCCCAGGAGGCCCCCAAAGCGCCGGCGGCGCAGAAGTCTGCTGCCTCCACTGGCAAGGCCATGGTCCTCGTGACCATGGGCTCCGACTCGGACCTGCCCGTCCTCAAGGCCGGCCTCGACATCCTCGAGGAGTTCGGCGTCGACTACGAGATCAACATCACCTCGGCCCACCGCACGCCCTCGTACATGGGCGAGGTCGCCGCCGCGGCCGCCGAGCGCGGCCTCAAGGTCATCATCGCGGCCGCCGGCGGCGCGGCCCACCTGCCGGGCATGATGGCCTCGCACACGCCGCTCCCCGTCATCGGCGTGCCCGTCAAGGCCACGCACCTCGACGGACAGGACAGCCTGCTCAGCATCGTGCAGATGCCGGTAAGTTCTTGAAGATGTGTCAAAGAAGCCGAGGGGAGAAAGTATGATAGCTGACGTCATGCAAATTGCTTGAACAGAGGGGGGTTCCCGTCGCCACGGTGGGCATCAACAACTCGACCAACGCCGCGCTGCTGGCCATCCGCATCCTGGGGTCGCACTACCCGGAGTTCCTGGACAAGATGAGGCAGTACCAGCTGACCATGGAGGAGGGCGTCTACGCCAAGGCGGAGAAGCTCCGGGGCATTGGCTACAAGGCGTACCTGGAGAGCATGGGCAAGAAATGAAGAGAGCGCTGGCCGGGATTTTGTGAGACTTCCAGAGGCTGGTAGACGGGAGCGGATATATGTACAGCCAACAACATGCTTTATAAAGGTCGTAATAGTCTTGATTGGCAAGTGCTGGCAATAACTTCTGCTACACAGTGATTTTCGTTCATTGGCGACCATTCTTGGATGTATATGGCAAGGGATCTCTTAAATGAGCCGAGTCACAATATCTGAACCGTCAACTCAGTGTGGCACGATGTTCTGAGGGAACAAGTAACCTAGGTTCATGAGTTCGTAAACGTTTTTATACATTTTAAAATAAAAGTAGTAAAAGCACCAGCAAAGAACGCCTGTGTGTCTGTCTGTAGATGTATGTTAAATATAAATATATATCGCCTCATCTACTAAAACGAGCGTAGAGGAAGTCATCATGCCACCTTATCCTCCGCCTCCTTTCCAAAAACCCGCAAACAAAAAGACTCTACATATCTTCTTCCTCTTCCCCTCGACACACACATACATACCATCGCACAAAACTCAACAATCTTACAACAAACCAACGAAAGCAACCGCACCAGCCAACAAGACACTGCCCACCGCCGACCCGCCCCGAGCGGCGCCCCAGCCGGACCCGGCGTTGGTCACGCCCGACGCGGCCGCCGCACCGGCGCCGGTACCGGTACCACCGGCGCCCGTCTGCGCCGCCGCCTGGCCCGGGTTCCGCACCCCGGTGTTGAGGCCGCCCGCGGGCATCGAGGCCGTCATCAGCGTCGTGGGCGTGCCCTGCTCGTTGCTGCCGTTGCTGCCGCCGTTGGCGCCGGCGGCGCCCGCCGACTCGCTGGGCAGGGACTCGAGCGGGGCTGTGGCCGAGGCCTCGATGCTGCCGGGGAGGGGCTTGAGCGCCTCCTCGCCGGTGCTGCTGCCCGACTCGCCGGTAGTGGTCTCGCCGGTGGTCTGGCCGCCAGAGGCAGCACCAGCTGCTCCCGCGGCGCCAGCTGCGCCGGCCGCTGCGCCGGCTCCCGCGCCGACGAGAGCTCCCGTGTTGATGGCGCCGCCGGCGGAGGCGACGCCCGTCCCGCCGAGGGGCCGGAGGGTGTTGGAGCCGCTGCCGCCCGCTACGGCGCCGGCGGAAGCTACGGTGCCGTTACCCAGCGGGAAAGCAGGCGTGTTCGCAGCCGAGACACCAGCCGTGGCGACGCCGCGGTTGCCGGTCGCAGAAGCCACGCCGGCGATGGGGACCAGGGAGCCCACGGCGCCGGCGGCCGCAGAAGTCGAGACGGCACCGACCGCGACGGACACGGAAGCAGAGGACACGCCGGCCGAGACCTTCTGGAAGCCCTGGATCGTGCCCGCGGCGGCGCTGCTCGCCACGACGGCGGCCGCAGCCGAGGTCGTCACGGCGCCGGCGACTGCAGAGGTGGCCGCGACGGCACCGCTGCCGAGCGGCTTGAGGGAACCGGCAGCAGCGCCGGCAGCGCTCGAGCCCAGGCCGGGGAGCGGAGCCAGGCTCTGGGCGGCGCCGGCGGCCGCCGTGGAAGCGGCGGGCGCGAGGGGAGCGAGGCTAGCGGCCCCGGTCGAAGCAGCCACGGCAGCGCCGCCAGCCACCACGCCGGCGGCGGCGGTAGTCTGGGCGACGGCCGTGGCCAGGAGGCTCGAGGAGACGGCGTCGATCTGGCTCTGGATGGCGGGCGGGGCGCTGCCGATGGCGACGGCGCCGTTGGCGATGCTGGGGAGCGGCTTGAGGCCGCCCTCGGTCTGAGCCTGGAACCCGGGGAACTGTCGAAGGCCGCTGGCGGCACCCGCGCCTCCGGCACCGGCACCGAGGGACGCCAGTGCTGTGTTGGCGCCCGCTGAGCTCAGTCTGACATTCCCGGCGCTGTTGCTGTTGACCGCACTGTTCCTCTGGTTTCCACCCTGCTGCTGCTGCTGCTGCTGCTGCTGCTGCTGTTGCTGCTGATTGTTGTTGTTGTTGTTGTTACCACCCCGGTTCCCGCCGTTCCCACCATTGTTGCCGCCGTTCATGTTGTTTCCTCCATTGTTATTGTTGTTGCCGTTGTTATTGTCGTCGTCCCGAGCATCGACAAGGGTGGCAGCCAGGAGTAGAGTGACGATCTTGCCCGCTGAGAAACGCATCTTGGCTACTGAGATGGGGAGTTTTGCGTTCTGAGACAGAAAAGATCAAAAAAGCTGGATGTAGATGTGTATACGGTGGTCTCTCCAAGTGTCGATTAGGAAGTTGATAGAAGAATAGAGGCCGAGCAAACTAGGCTGGCGAGAGAAGTCGAGAAGCGAAATACCGTCAAGGCGTAAGGTAGCAAGTAAGGAGTGATATCAAACAATCCTGCCCAGCAGTTGACGAAGTGAAGAAAGAAAAAAAAAAAGAAGACGAAACAAAAAGAAAGGAAAGTGGAAGGAAGAGCGTGACAGGTGCAAGAGAGCGAACACCAGCGATACTAGTTGGATACTAAGAGAAGAGAAGGAAGAGAGGAGGGAGGGAGGAGGAGGGGAGAGCAAACCCGGCTTGGTGACCGGATATATTGCACGCGGGACAGCCATCGCGTGGATGTGCTACAGCCGTAGTCTGAGGCGACTTCATGCTGGGTGACTGTTCGTCATCCTCTGTTTGGGACCGAGATCCCAAGAGCCAGGCCACGGCGAACCATCCCCCATGTCCACCAGCCCGGGGTTATAGGAACCCGCAAGGCTTCTGCAACAGAAGCGGTGGAAAGAGGGCCCAGGGATGTACCCATAAGTGGTCCTGTTTGCGTAGGCCAGAAGGCTTGCATGGTTGGTCTCAAGTGCACCGTCAACGAAGGGCCTTGCTCCGTTCACCCCAGTCCAGGAGGTCCTGGGAAACGAGATCTAGACTCGTGTACCAATGGCAGGCTGACATGGCCAACATCGAAACATTACCTTTCATCTCTCTAGGTACTCCGTCCGGAGTCGACCTGACCGAGCCGATGCTTGTAGTCAGGACCTGGAGCTGCCTCACAACAGGGCCATTGTGTGCAGGCGAGATTCGACGAGGAGACGCAGGCCCTGGTCATTCTCTCTCGCGCCGCACTATTCCAGTCCAGGAGTCTTGGCTCTGAGACCAGACGAGACGACAGGGGGTGACGTTAAAGTTCAAGATTGGGTTGAGCCTTGGGTGTGCAGTTGACAGGTCCCAACTGGGGGGTGGGCACTCCCTCTTTTTGCATGGTGTTACAGCGAGTAGATCTCAGCTTTACCCGTTCATGCTCCGGCTTGGAAATGCAAGATGTCGCGGGGTTTCCTGCTGTCGCAGCCCTGCGAGGCGGTGTGTTGTTGAGTTGAAAAGTGGTCCAAGCTGGAGGCTCTGAGACGGGCCCCTGCTGCTGGTGAAACTCGCCTGCATCGACACCTGCGCCAAGACATCCGAGGCTCGATCTGATGAAAATCACGACGGGGTTTGTTTGGTTCACAGGATTGAATCCATCTATTACCTAAAAGATTCCAGTCTTTTATTATTAGACGACCTTGAGCACGAGGTGAATGATGCACGCACGACGTGCCGGTGATCTGATGATCCATCCGTCTCGCAATGATCCAAAGGCAAGCCCGAATGACGAAGATTACGTGGCCTACTAGATTACTAGAATGTTCAACGTCACGAGAAAGCCACACAAACATACCATGAACTCAATATTAGTTTCAATGTACGGAATTGCCTCTTTCAGATAGCATCTTCTTATGCCACTTCGAGCAGGGACCAGAGCCCATCACCGATACACCATACCGAAAAGACCAGTCCAAGGGAAATGATGTCGTGCAATAAACACCATCGCTGCCAGCATCGTGGAGCGAGCCCATAGATAATTATCTCGACGCCTCCTTTTCTCCTGTAGTACATATTGATATCAAAGAATAACAGCCTCGACGTGGGTTAAATAAAAAAAGAGAGAGACCTCTTGCACCACCCACCCGCCCTTGTTCGTAAAACTTAATGCATCACCCTCCTTGACCACGTAGCTCCTACTATCCCGCCGGCTATCCTTACAGACCTGACGGTGTGGCACCCGCACCGTCGTCACCCTCGCGAGACTCGTCAACGCCGTGGAATGCATCGCCGAACGCCGAGTCCTCCATGTCCATGTTGAGATCAAGATCCTCACCGCCCTCCAGGCCACTGCCGTCGTATCCGGCCAGCGCATCGCCAGCACTGTCCAGGTCGCCCAGAGAGCTGAAGTCCACACCGGGCGTCGCAGCAGCAGAGGTTGGCTTGCTCGTAGCGCCTTCGGCCGCTGGAGCGCTCGGCGTAGGGACGGTCTCGGGCTGTGGGGGCACAGCAGTTGGAGGCTGGACAACCTGTGGCTGGGCGTTGACCGCATCACCAGCAGCTTGGGGCGATGGGCCTGGAGGAGATACGCCATCTTTGGGGACAACAACCCAGTCACCGCTGTCGGTTCCTTGATCGGGAGCCGAAGTCGGTGCTGAAGTATCCTTGGGCGGCTCGGAATCACCCATAGTCACATCACCCGATGTGGGCTGTTGCGAGGGCTGTGTTGCTGGCTGTGGTGAAGGCGCGCCAACATTGGCTGGCGTGCCGGCATTCGATGGCACAGCAGATAGTTGCGGCTGTGGGGTTGGGAAGTTATTGATCGGGGTTGACGTTGTAGAAAGTCCAGTGTGCATCTGATCCAGGAGCCCCGCTGCGGTGTTGCCCATGTCAACATCTGAGTCTCCTACCAAGAGGCCGCTTCCTTGGGACGGTGCCTGCGAAGGCTGGCGAGACATCTCGTTCTCCGGCGCCGAGTTCGTCGACTCCTCCACCTTCGGTTCCACGACGCTCGGTTCAGGCTCTGGCTCTGGCTGAGGCTCCGGCTCCAGCTCCGGCTCCGGCTCGGGTTCGGGTTCGGGTTCCGGCTCCTGGTAACCGCCGTCTTGCACTCTCCGGGCTTCGTGAGAAACTTCCACCTTGCGGCCCAGGGCGGCTTCAACCTCACCAACAATCTCATCGATCGTTCGGTGCTGCTTGGAACCCCACCTGCCTGTAGCTTCGTCGTTGTCATCATGTCTTCCTTCCAGTCTCCAGATCTCAGGGCCGGTCTCCTCCACAGAGACACGCAGCTCTTGCTCGGCATGTTTCAGAAGGGAATTCGTCTTGTACTTGGCGAGGCGCTTTGCATGCTCGGCCTTCATCTCCTCGATTTCAGCATTGGTCGACTTAATCTTCTCTTCCACTCGCTTGCGGAAGTCGTCGGCCAGGCCAGCATCGAGATGTCCAACGTAGGGCTTCTTTGGGAGAGTGCTCAGCGCCTCGGAACCCTGGGCCTCGAATATGCCTTCTGTCATTGGTGACAGCTCACCCTTCAGGCCCAGGTTCAGATCGGCGTGTTCCAGTTGGGCCACGCGGTAGGGAGACAGCAAGATTTCTTCCATCCACTCGTGATTCTGTTGGTACCGCATGAGGGAGACCTCTCGAGGGGACATGTGATCGAAGAGATCGCCCCGCGACGTGTCCTCATCATCGTCATATACACTCTCGATCGGAGGGCCCTGGCCCATGACTACCGCCTGCTGGCCTTGTGGGGGAGCAGCGCCATGCCTGGGTCGCTTCGAGGGCGGTGCGCCCGGGCCGCCGGGATGTGGAGGATAGGCCATCTGCTGCGGTACGCCACGAGCATTCGGCGGCATGGAGTATCCGTGAGGGGCCCTCCCTTCGCGTGGGAGGGGGATATGGGGCCAATTCACACGGTCTGACAGCATGAATTCCTTCCGTGCAAGCTGGCCAGCCCGCTGCAGCTGCATGCGCATTGCCATCAGACTCTGAATGCGAGGGTCGAACGGAATGTGGTTAACAGGCATCCGGTCGTTGTTGTTCTCGATAGGTCCATAGTGGACGATCCATAAGCTAGGGTCGACCTGAGGCATGTTGGCAGTTGGCATCTTCGGTGGCATCAGGCGGAATCGGCGACGAGCATGTCCTGTGACCTGTTCACCTGGGCGGTAGCCTGCTCGGGCATAATACATCTCCAGGATCTATGCACTTGTGAGCATTTCGTCTCCGGTGTGTGCCACGCACAACGGAAACTGTGTACTTACGAGACCATCGCCAACAGGTTGGTGATAGTAGGTCTCCTGCCCTGCCCAGATGTAGCCATCTGTCGAAAACTCCGTTCCAAGCCTCTGTAGTGGCTGCCAGGTCAAGAAGATAGTGCCGTCCTGAGGCGTGTCGACGTAGGTCCAGAAGAACGGGGCCGTGTCCCGCGCGATCTTGGGCGCGGCCAACAGCCACTTGGTGACTTCGGCCGTATCGACCCTGGGCATCAGGGGATACCGAAAGGTATTGAGCAGATGTACATGGGGGAGCTGTGAGGCAGTTCACGTCAGTGTGCGGTCGACTGGGCCCATGCTATGTCGTGGGTCTGTCTCCTAGCTTACCAGTTGCTCATTCACGTTATGGCTCGGATCGGCCATGGCAGGCAATTGCGTCCTTCCAGAGCCCGTCAAAGTCTATTAATCTGGTCAATCGCAGGCGCTTCGTCCTAGTAGATTCGCGATACGATGCGGGTCACGAGACGGCTCGGGATACTGGGAGGTCGGGAGGCAGAGGCGCATGAAGGGAGATGCGCAGTAAGAGCCTCCTGTCGCGAAACTGAACTCGACTTTTCGATTGCGCGCGTTGGGTGGCTGGTGCGCTAGCGCAGGTGCTGGCCAGCCCCATCAGAGGCAAGCTGAATTGTGGCTTGACCTGAATCACGTGACTGTATCCGCAGGTCATCTCTCACGCCCTGGTGTCCCTTTCACGAACAGGCAAGTATTCCTCAAACGACGGGCTCTCTCGTCAAGGAGAAAGGCGTCATAAAAAAATCAGCAGTCAGAAGTGCATCACTGTCAAGTCTATTTCCTTCTTCTTGAAACTTTGTCATTCTGTACTGCTTATTATGTGTGCCCGATATGAGCTGGTATTCCTACTTTTTTGCTTGGGGAGAATCTACCTATATTCCACCCGTCCATGCCCAATTGGAGTCTAAAATCGCGCTCAGTCACACCCGATTACTAACAGACACCATTTTATGCAGAGTAAGTGCTGGCAGAGACGTTACCGCCGCGGCCGGTCCAGTTGACGTGGATGTCCTGGCCCTCGGGGTACTTCTCGTTGGCGGCCTCGGGCTTGATGCGGAAGGTGTGAGCACCGAAGTAGTCACGCTGAGCCTGCAGCAGGTTGGCGGGCAGATCCTTGGTACGGTAGCCGTCGAACCATGACAGGGCAGTCGAGAAAGCAGGGGTCGGGATACCCAGGAGGGCACACTTGGCAACGACGTCTCTCCAGCCGGGCTGAGCGTGGTGGATGGCCTTGTTGAAGAAGTCATCGAACAGAAGGTTCTCCAGGTCGGGGTTCTTGCGGTACGCAGCCGTGATGTCCTTCAGGAAGACGGAGCGGATAATGCAGCCACCGCGCCACATGAGGGCAATGGAAGGCTTGTTCAGCTTCCACTGGTACTCGCGGGCAGCCTCCTGCATGAGCATGAAGCCCTGGGCGTACGAGATGATCTTGGAAGCGTAGAGAGCCTGCTCGAGGTCCTGGAGGAACTGCTCCTTGTCGCCCTCGAAGGTGCTGGCACGGCCAACGAACTCGAGCTTGGTGGAGGCCTTGGTACGCTCATCCTTGATGCCAGAGAGGCAGCGAGCAAGGACAGCCTCGGCAATCAGGGTGACGGGCATGCCCAAGTCCAGAGCGTTGACGGCAGTCCACTTGCCGGTACCCTTCTGGCCAGCCTTGTCGAGGATCTTCTCTACCAGAGGCTTTCCGTCCTCGTCGTTGAAGTACATGATGTCGCGGGTGATCTCGATCAGGAACGAGTCTAGAACACCCTTGTTCCACTTGGTGAAGACGTCACCCATCTCCTTGTTGGACATACCCAGACCACGCTTCATGATGTCGTAGGCCTGTTTGGTTGGGAGAGTAAGAGAATGAGCAACTTGCTAACGTGTCAAAGGGCATGATATCAATCCACATACCTCGCAGATGAGCTGCATGTCACCGTACTCAATACCGTTGTGGACCATCTTGACGTAGTGACCAGCACCCTCGTCGCCAACCCACTCACAGCAGGGCTCGTTGTCGCTCTTGGCGGCAATGCTCTGGAAGATGTCCTTGATATGGGGCCAAGCGGCCTCCTGACCACCAGGCATCAGAGAGGGACCATAGCGGGCACCCTCCTCACCACCGGAGACACCAGAGCCGACAAAGTTCAGGCCCTTGGAGGCCAGGTACTTGGTCCTCCGGTTGGAGTCGGGGAAGTGAGAGTTGCCACCGTCGATGATGATGTCGCCCTTCTCAAGCAGGGGCAGGAGGGTCTCGATCCAGTCGTCGACGGCCTTGCCAGCCTGGACAAGGAGCATAACACGGCGCGGCTTCTTGAGCTTGGAGACGAACTCCTCGGTGGAGTGGGCGCCGATGATGGACTTGCCCTTGGCCTCGTTGGCGAGGAAGCGGTCGACCTTGGAGACAGTACGGTTGAAGGCGCAGATGGTGAAGCCGTGATCGGCCATGTTGAGGATCAGGTTTTGACCCCTACAGCCCGTTTGTCAGCATGCCATCCACCGGGAAACCCGGGAGAGGTAGGCGGTTGAGAGACTTACATGACGGCCAGGCCGATGAGGCCGAGATCAGCACTTCCGAGATTGTCAGCATTACTTTGACCACGTCCGGTGTGTGAAGAGTGGTTCTGTGATGTCGGGGGCGAGGGCGTGGGAGAGGTGGTGGTCGCCCCGCCGAGCCTTATGTTGGCCAGACGAGCGCTGGTACAGCACTCAGCAGGCGTGACACAGATGGGAAAGCATGGTCGCGATGAAGCGCAAGGCAATTGCAGCGTTTGGAGATGGGTGCAGAGAAGCCAAGGACCGCGAGACTGGTCGAGAGAACCGACCAAGGCATCGCGGGGAAATGCGGGAGGTGTTGTTTTCGCGCGCGGAGGACCTCTCTGGCGAAATCGCTCAGAAAGCCATGGCGGGGGAGGGGTAATGGACTTACGCAGGGCCAGACATGACGACGGATTTTCAATGGAGAGATGCGGAATTGGACTTGGTTTATGTTCAAGACAATCAAGTGCCCAGAACTCTCGAGAAAAGTGATGCAATTGAAGAGAAGTAGGTTGCTTGGGAGGGAAGGGAAGAAATAGACTACCAGAGTATTTGTATTTCTAATATGGGGGGAAGTGGGATGGAATATAATTTGGGATGCAATCGACTTCCAGCGAGATAAGAAGCTAAGGTGGACTTGGACTCGAGCGACTGAAAAATGATGAAATGGACGAGCTTGCCTGCGGGTAATTGACGACAGCAATGGCGGGGCATTCTTACTCATAGCGATCCGTCAAGACACTGCATCTCCACATGTCGCGACCTCTATTGGGCCGCCCAGTACCGAACCTAAACACTAACTCGCCTCCTAGGAAAGGATGGGGGGAGACGGCTATGCCTTAAGGTTCGTCCTGGTCTCCCTTCACTTTTTGTGACATGAAGCTGTTTGGAAATGACCGCTTGGTATCATGTACTCGACCTGGACCCGGCCAGGACAAGGACCAAGCCATTCACCCATTCCCACCACCACGGCCAAGCCGCCCAAACCTTCCATCAATTGCTGGGATTCGACCCAGTAGGGATTGGTCCTGGGCGCGCCATCATCGGCCCGGCCAAGCATCGGATGCATCAATCAATGTGTGCCAGTAGGCAGGATTGGTGATCAATGTGTTCCGGCCGGAGGTCAAGGAGTATTTTCCGGACAACCCCTACGAATCCGCATTGCGTTCAGCGCCCAACTAGTCAGACGGCTAACATGCCATTGGTTGCTGTGCTCCCAAGCAGCCCCAAGCTCCGACTCGCGGAGCCACTCTGCCAGGAGCTCCTACGCCCCAATTGTGCCAGACGAGGCCAGAGGGTGTTTCAATGAGCCCTTCAAACCCGCCATGTCAGGATGGACTCGATGTCCCTGTTTCGCAAGTGCTATGTGGCGCCATATATCCCGCGCGCGGGATTATCTCCCGAAGAATCCTTGTTGCACTGGCAGTGGCTGTGGACCGGGAAAACTGCACACCTCTGCCATATTGAATTGTAAGCAGGCTGCGTTGCAGTCTTGCAGAAGAAACCTCTTCCCTGCCAAGACCTTTGGATGGATTCCTGCTTCAACGAGGAAAAAATAAATCACGCTCAAGTAGATACCTAGTGTCCCCATCATTTACGGACAGGACGCTGCCCAGATACCAACCAAGAGGCATACCGTAATTTACCGGGTCTTGCACCTGGGAAAGACCTTGAAGCACCCCAAGTCCACGCATCTAACACCCCGTCTTATGCAGTCCTACATGGAACAGGTTGATATTCAGCAAAAGAGGTAACACCAGGCCGGACCCCCGATGTCCCCATCTCCCCGTCGTTCCGAAGTCCAGACTCCACACGGGCGGCTGAATGGCCAAGCGGCCTGGAGAATGGGCTGGCCAATTCATGGTCCACAGCTCGTCCGCCCAACAGAAAAAAAAAGCCGCAACCTGTGCAAACTTCTTCTTTCTAGTGCTCCGGAAGCGGCGATGTTTGGGGGATTATGGAATTATCCGTGGGGGTCAACCTAGGATACCTACATTATGTTGTTGATTCTAAATCAGAGGTGTCGATGGGGGGAGGGCATCCCTGAAGTACAAGGTCAGAGAATAGGGATCTTTTACAACCATGCACAACACTCCAAACCATGTCATGCAGCCCGAGGAATAATTGGGGAGAGACATAGACGAGGTTCATGCCTGTCGCACTTCTCTCCGTGCATCAAAAACGAACGCACGGAGAGATGCCGATTATCCCAGAAGCCTGTGCCTCGTGCTCGATATTGTGTCCTGGGGGTTGTTGTTACCAATGGAAGTCAACAACTCTTCCACTCCTGTAAAAAGGCTGCTAAGTCAATATGCGACCGCCTTGTACATTCGGATTAGGTAATACCAGTTCCGACTCAAAAGGGAAATGTAACGCACGGACCAACACCTCTCTACCCTGGCCAGCGTTTACCTATGCGCTACCAGCCTTGCCATCTCAACTGTGTGGCCGCCTTCTCCAAATTTCTGACCACGGCTGCCGAAAATCAACAGAAGCATCACCAATTTCACAACTGCGCCTTGTAGCAGCTGCAGCACTCCCAACACAGCGGTGAGGTGGTGATATCAAGGGCTCTTCCTGGTTCTCCTGAGAAGACTCACAGGTACGTGATTCAATCACATCACCACCCGAAACAGTCCTATCTTTTTTGGGAGGTGCATCGAAATTCATCATGTCGTATCCCGGCCCTCCAGGTGTCAACTCGTCGCACCCTTCTCTCCCGCCGCGCCCGCCGCCGGGCACCGCCGCCTCGAAGCCCAAGTTCTCGTCCACATTCTCTTCTTCTTCGGCAGCTCCCACCACCTACGGCCCAGCCGCTCCTCCTCCCGCCACATCCTCATACTCCTCCGCCTCCGCCTATTCCAGCGCCGCAGCACCCCCCACCAGCTATGGCGCCGCTCCTACTCCTCGCTACGGCGCCTCGTCGCAGCCCGCCTCGTCCTACGGCAGCTACTCGCGGCACACTCCGGTGAGTGGTAGCGGAAGCGGCTCATACTCGCAACCCACTACATCATACGGCTACGGCGCTCAAGGCTATGGAGCCCAGCAACCACAGACCTCATACGGCGCTCAAGCGACGACCTACGGCGCGCCGCCGCAGATCCGCAACCCGTTCCCTGCACCCGGAGCAGCGCCGGCAGCAGCCAGCCAGGGCGGCAACGACTACGACCCGGACATGGCCGCGCAGATCGCCCAGTGGCAGAGCGCCTACATCCCCAAAGACCAGCAAGAGGCGGCGGCGGCGGCAGCGGCGGCTGACCCGAAAGGCAACAGCCGCGCCGCAGGCGTCGCGGGATACCCGTCTGGCATAGGCGTCGGCACCGATGGGACATCCGACGCCACCACGGCCGCAGCAGCTACCGCCGCCGCCGGCCAGCAAGGCGACAAGAAGAAGACGGTCTACCGCTCCGGCGGCGGCAAGCAGTGGGCCGACGACACCCTGCTCGAGTGGGACCCGAGCCACCTGCGGCTCTTCGTGGGCAACCTCGCCGGCGAGACGACGGACGAGTCCCTGCTCAAGGCCTTCTCGCGCTGGAAGTCGGTGCAAAAGGCCAAGGTCGTGCGCGACACGCGCACCTCCAAGTCGCGCGGCTTCGGCTTCGTCAGCTTCAGCGACCCGGACGACTTCTTCCAGGCCGCCAAGGAGATGAACGGCAAGTACATCCAGAGCCACCCCGTCACCGTCTCCAAGGCCAAGACGGAGATTCGCGTCTCCAGCGTCCGGGACGACAAGAGGGGCAAGAAGAACGACCACCGGAACAAGAAGAACAAGGCCGGCGGCGGCGGCGGCCACCACCACGGCGGTAGCGGCAGCGGCAGCGGGACATCGACGCCGCTGGGCTACGAGCCGCATCTGGGCCCCTCGGGAGGCGGCGTGGTCAAGAGTGGGCAGAAGACCAAGGGCGGCCTGAAGCTGCTCGGATGAAGGAAGCTTGGGGGTCTGATTGTTCTGTTCAGGTGCAAACAAAAACATCGCGCGCGGCGTTTCAGGGGGGTCATGGTATTTGTCCTGTGGTTGGTGTCACATTGGACCAAACCCTATGCGATCATTTTGTTTTGGCACAAGTCCTTATAAGCAGTGGATAATTCTGAGATGAATCATTTTACTCCGGCACTGGCCACGCAGGCATATTGATAAATTAGAGAAAACGCAACTCTTGACGTTCATTTGGTGCTAACGTTACAGATCCGTGCCGTCCGCCCACCCACCCAGCAGCAATACGTTGTTCTTTTCTAAACCTAAAATGCTCCTATATGAGGAAGAGTTACAGACGCTCTCTATACGCTTTGCGAGAGACTTGTGAGGTATTCGAGTCTTTTATGATCAAAGGAAATTATGCCCAGACGAGGTATCTTCGTTATAGTGGAAACGGTAGTACGTAGTAGACCCAAAAGGGAAAATGGAGTGTGCGTGTATTTTCATGTCGTGATGGAATTGGCGCAATCAGTCCTCCCGGTCCGACCTGTGCTCGTGCCTCGCGTCGCCCAGCTCGGGCTTGGGAATGATGTCCCCGTCGGCCGTGACGTGGCCAGCGTCGTTATCCAGGTCGGCGCTCTTGCGCGCCAGCAGGCCCGCCTCCTCGCCGTCGGCGTCGTCGTTATCGGCGTCGCTGCCGCTGCCGCTGCCGCTGTTGCTCGAAGACGAGCCGTCGCCGGCACCGCCGCCGGAGGACACCATCTGGTGGCCCTTGTGCACGTCGAGCTGGGCCTCGGCGCGCATCTTGTTGATCTTGATGTAGTTGTAGGCGCCGATGGCGACCATGGTGATGAGCAGGCCCGAGATGTTGATGGGCGTCAGCGTGTCGTTGAAGACGAGGGCGGCCGCCGAGATGGTCACGACCTCCTTGAAGATGCCGGCGATGGACAGAGTGACGACCGAGGTGCGCTTGAGCAGGGCGAACTCGGAGGCCGTCATGAGGAAGGCGATGGTGCCCGGGAAGACGATGAGGCACGGCGTCAGCAGCGCGCCCCAGTCCTCGTGCAGGACCTTGAGGGCGACGAGCAGCTCCGAGAAGCCCTCGACGGGGATGGCGATGCAGGTGAGGGTGAGGAACATGATGGGCGCGAGGAAGAAGATGCTCGAGAAGGGGTTCGAGGTGGCCGGGTTGCGGAGCAGGAGGATCTGGGTCAGGCCCCAGCGGAATCCCGAGAAGAAGGCCGCCGAGATGACGAGGAGGAAGCCGCCGAGCTTGAACTCGACCTCGCCCGCCACCATCATGATGACGCCGATGGTCATGGTGCCGATGATGGCGACGAGCTTCCACGTCGGCGTTTCTAACCTGAAGACGAAGGCGAAGAGGAGGACGAACGCCAGCGCTGACGACTTGCACATTGCTGCGAACAGCCGTTAGCATCTATACTCTGGACCACCAGGAGTGCTGTACGACTTACTATAAAAAGTCAGAGTGATGAACTTAAGCGACGTGTTACCAAGCCCAATGTCGAGCCCAGTCGCCGCACCGCAGGGCCCGATTCTCGTCAGATAGAACATCTTGGTCATCAGGGGCCCTCGCTCTGTCTCGTGCCTGGACTGCCCCTGGTCTGAGATATGCCCGTATGTCGGGTGTTGAGGCCGAAACCTCGGGAAGAAGAACAGCACAATGCCTGCTAGACAGAATTGTACCAGCATGTGTACTGCAGTTGTAAACATAGGAAAGGGGAAGTTCAGTTTGTCGCCCCCGAACATCCATTTATTGTACTGTTGAAGCCAATGTTAGTTGCGAAGTCCGGAACACCTGCAGCAAGGATCACGGGAGATCTTACCAGTGATATTGAGAGAGAAAAGAGGTACCACAGGCCGATGAGAGAGCCATTGATCAGCAGGGTTTTGACGACGTTCTGGTCGGCTTCTCTCCTCTCCTCCTGGGTGATATTCTCGCGGATAATCCTGTTATCCAGCCGGGTATTCCTCCTCCTCTTCTTCTCTTTCCGCCGCCTGTCTTGCTCCGTCAACCCGGCCTCCTCGTCGGAGTGTAGATCTTCGTCGGAAACGCTGTCCTCCCCTCGATCTGCCTGGAACCCCCATGGGTCGTCGACCCCCTCTTCGGATATCTTGGGTTCCTCTTGCAAGCCGACCGACTGGCCCCTGGGGCGGTTGCCTCGTGCAAACCCGTTCGACGGGCTCATGAGACTGCTCCGCCGCCGGCGGTGGCCAGTGGGGACGATTGGCTCCATCTCGATGCCCTCGTTGTGCTGCAGGTTGGCGCCCGACGACTCTGCATGTGCCGAGCTGCCGGAACGGGCGGCCGGCGCGGCGAAAGCGTCGAAACGGGCGGTCGAGGAGGGAGTCGCGTGCGCAGGGGAGGCGGAAGGAGAGGCAGAGTTGACGAGGTCGACGGTGACTGATCGCGTGTCGAGGGGATGAAGGGAGGGATGGGAAGACGGGGGTGGAATGGGAGATGGCATGGTCACAAGGGCTACCTCCTCTCTTGCATTTTAGGTATTCTGCTGGAGACCAGACAAGGAGGTGTGTGTATGTGCCGGAGCCCGGGGTTGATCGGCACTTCCAATCTCTCCAGCTCTCAGTGCTGCCGTCTCCTCACTCGCTGCCCAACAAGTCTATTCCGCTGAACTTGGTAAAGTACTGACCGCAAGATAGGGCACGGATAGGTATGGATGGACCCTGGGGGATGTGGAATCGGGAACCGATCAGGGCAGGAGGAGAAGCACCATGTCAATGATCGCAGGGCCTGAATCGCTTCGGAGCAGAAAGGCCAGCATTAGCCGCGATCCAGCACGTCGATGGAGGCGCTCAGAAGATGAAATGTGGACCTCTTCGCAGTGGGTTGACCGCGTCTGACTGGTTTTCGCTTCCTTGGACTGAACCCCTCAAGTGGGCGTCTGAATAGTTGACGGAAGTTCATCAGGAGCTACCTCGATCTTAGCAATCAATATCCTTGTCACATCCTTGCCCTGGAACCCGGAAGGGCTATCCCACTACCTAAAAATCCGATGGGCTTGATGGGTAGACAAGTACTTCTGTTAGCAGTCCGTCAACTAATCTGACCCTCACTTGACCCCTGCCCCATTCTTTGCGTGCATACAGCTGCACGGCCCCACGCGACCCAGAAGAGGGGGATCTGGGATTTGGGTGCTCTGGCGGTCAAGGGGGAGATCGGCCGGCTCGGAACTCTCTCGAGAAGGGGGCTTTTGGAAAGCTTGGAAGCACAAAGGCGCACAAGGGCCTGGAACCCGGGACTCCCGCCCATTGTTATGCATCACGTGGCCCTTTTTGGTGTTTCTCTTACTTTTAGTGACCAAGCACCGCTACTTTTCAGCGGACTAGCAGGCTTGGCCATGCATCACTCGCCCAATCACGGCCTGGTCTCCTGTAGTACATTGGCTAGCATGCATCTACTAGGTAGCTACAGGTCAACAGCTCTCTCGAGTGCAGCTTTTCTACAAGTAGCCGAGAACTCAAATCATCACAGCATGGAAGCACTCGTGAATGAATGGTCAGTGCTTCGGGGATCGAGATTGCTATTCAAGGCAAGGGACCTGCATTTTCATCCCTACTGGATGTTGGTCAGCTCTCCTTTCCCATCACCCGGAGGGATCCGGCCAGTGGCTTGCACTGCACAACTCGACGACTAACCTGCGGCTGAAAACCAACACAAAATGTTCTTTTGCTGTTTCCCTAGAGCTGACCGTTTCCCCGCATCGTGGGGAAGTCTGGTACCTTTCCCACCAGTACTTTAGGTAATGTTCCAACCGTCAAGCTCATAGTGCTGTGGCTGGTCTTACCGGCTGAGTAAGTACCAAGAATGAGGAACTGCTTGCACCATTGGACAAACCAGATTCGGGGATGAAACGCTTATAAGACTGGTGTCACGATACCACCATTCTGGAAGCCTGATCACCGATGTCAACTCTGGATTTGGCCTTACACCAGCTGAGCTCGTACTAAGTGTTCTTGAATCCAAACTCTCACTGTCGAGATATATTTGGATTGCCCCGTCGTCAGGAGCTCCAGTGGAGACTGAGCTAGTGGCACTTATACGCATTCCTCCCACTGACGTAACGTTCGCGGGAGCTGACAACTGCACTGGTAGCTCAGGCCAGACAAAGCTGTAGGAACAGCCTCCGCACACTTGCCTCAGTTCGTTATTTCAATCCGAAAGGAGATCTATCTCAAGAGAGCGTAGAAAGAAGAAGCCTGCTAGAAGCAAGAGACAAGACTCACTATGGCCGCCAACTGCGCAACAGTAGGTTCCTCGGACGCCATGCGCGAGACTTCCAGTGGCTACCAGCCCATTGAAAACTATGGAATCATCGGGAATATGAGGACTTGCGCCCTGGTCGGCATGCAGGGGAGTGTCGATTTCATGTGCTGGTAAGCTTGCTGAGCCAATGGGCTGCTCCCCTTCCTGACGAGCTTGGGGCTCTTCCAGAGTCTACAACGCAGTGTGCTGAGCTCTAGCTCCTAGGCCCGAGTTCGACTCTCCCTCTGTCTTCTGTAGGCTCTTGGACAAGGACAAGGGAGGGTATTTCAGCATTGCACCCACCCCTGGGGTATCCTGCACCACCAAGCAGCAGTATCTCCCTGGCACCAACATCCTCCAGACCCGGTACATCAACGAGGATGGCGTGGTAGACGTGGTGGATTTCTTCCCACGACCCCGGAACTCCAATGTTGTTTCCAAAGGGCCCAAGCAGACGGCCTTTCGGGAGGTGACCAAGGTCCAAGAGGAGCTGAAGCGTTGGCTCGTCCGTAGGGTGGAGTGCATCCGCGGCCAGCTAGAGCTAGGTGAGGACATTGTGGCATTTGCTCGATACGAACGCTTTGCTCACGCTCATCATCAGTTGTCGAGATCTTCCCGGCGTTTGGCTACGCCAAAGATCCTCATGTGACGACTATCGTCCAGTCAATCCACCGGTCCGGTTGTCCGGAGAGCAAGACCGTGACATTCCATAGCGAGCACGTGAAGCTGCAGCTGGACGTCACAATTGACGGAGATGCAGAGACCCAGAGCTGCCCCGTCGTCATCTTCGAGAAAGTCAAGAAGCCGGGTATGATGAGTGAGGGTGTCAGTGCAAAGATCGTGGTCCGAGAAGGCCAAGCCATCTCCTTCATCCTTCGTGAGGACATCGAGAACCACGTCACCAAGCACATTACCACGGACGTGCTGGACACACAGCAGCACGACACGCAGACATTCTGGTACAACTGGATCTCGAAGAGCAAGTATCAGGGCAAGTGGCGTGAGGTAGTGGCAAGGAGCTTGATGATCCTCAAGCTTTTGACATATGAACCTACAGGCGCCATCATAGCCGCCCCTACATTCTCCATCCCGGAAGACATCGGCGGTGTCAGGTACGCTCACACAACACGGGCCAATACTTCCGTGGGCAGATATTGACTTGATCTGTAGGAATTGGGACTACCGCTATTCTTGGGTCCGCGACTCCAGTTTTACCATCTATATCCTGCTGCGTCTTGGATACATTGAGGAGGCCGATGCGTATATGGAGTTTATCTCCGAGCGGATTCTCAAGTCTCGCGCCCCTGACGGCGGCCTTCCCATTATGTTCACCATCCGGGGCGAGACCGACATCCCGGAGGTTGAACTTGAGCATCTGGAGGGATACAAGGGTAGCAGGCCCGTGAGGATTGGCAATGGCGCGGCGTTCCATCACCAATTCGACATTTATGGCGAACTCATGGACGCAATCTACCTGAACAACAAGTACGGCAAACCTGTGACCTGGGATCAATGGGTCTCCGTGCGTGAGCTTCTCGGTAAGTTTGGATGAACGCGTCCCCTTGAATGTCCAAGCTAACTCGACTGCAGACTATGTTCTCACGATAATGAACGGTGAGATCAAGTACACTTTTGGCGGCGGGAGCAACTCAATAATGCTGACAACTCAAATTAGAACCCGATATGTCAATTTGGGAGGTTCGCAATAACAAGCAGCACTTCACATACTCCCAGATCATGCTCTGGGTCGCCTTCGATCGCGGCCTTCGTCTAGCCGAGAAGAGGAACCTTCCTTGTCCTAACAGAGCCAAGTGGCTTGAGGCCAGGGATACCATTTACGAGACCATCATGGAGAAAGGTAGGTAATCCAAAGATTGAAGACTTCGGTAATACAAAATTAATTGTATGTAGGCTACAACAAGGAGATGAAGTGCTTCATCCAGAGCTACGAGAACAACACCATGCTGGACTCCTCGATACTCATCGCTCCTCTCGTGTTCTTCATCGCTCCGAGCGACCCTCGTTTCCTCAACACGATTGACCGCATTCTCTTGGCCCCCGAGAAGGGCGGCCTCACCAGCACGGGCCTCGTCTACCGCTACGATACGGAGCTCTCTCACGATGGTGTGTCAATCCCCCTTTCCGGGAACTTCCCTTCTTGTCCATCCTACGGGTTTGACTAGATCTCATAGACGCCGAAGCTAACAAACCAGGCGTCGGCGGTCGCGAGGGCGCCTTTAGCATGTGCACCTTCTGGCTCGTCGAGGCGCTCACCCGGGCCAGCGTCTACGAGCCGAAGTACCTCGTCAGGGCCGTCAATCTCTTCGAGAACATGCTCTCCTTCAGCAACCACCTGCTGATGTTCTCCGAGGAGATCGCGCGCAGCGGCGAGCAGCTCGGCAACACGCCGCAGGCGTTCAGCCACTTGGCTCTGATTAGTGCTGCTTTCAACCTCGATCGCGTCACGAGCTTCAAGCGCAACTGAGTAACGGAAAGGCGTTCGGAAGGCAAGACAGAGAAGGGAGTACGGTGATAATTGCGGATGGATGGGTAAGGGGCATTTCAACACAGGAGTCGAGAGTCGTAAAATCGAGAAAGAAGGATAGCTGCTTCATATATATCTTTACTGTCACATTTACACGGATGTTGACCACGTCTCTGCTGATTGATTCGTATTCGGGGAGAAGCATCTACCTGCCACTTCTAAAAGTGACATGCCTCTGGCCCAGTGCCGCCAGAAGCAATAGTCTCCCATGACTCTGCTGTGCAAGAAGCGAGTCTTTTCGCAACGCCGTCGCTATGCAAGTTTAACCAAGAAATACTCTATCTCTAAGAGAGGTCCATATCGTCGTCGATGCTCCTGTCACCTAGCGAGCTCAGCCCTGAGCTTTGGGGCCGCGACTCTGGTTCGGGTGACTCGGACGGTATGCGCGGTGTCTTTTCGCGCTCTCTCCTCCTCCGCTCCTCCCACATGGCTATGCTCTCGAACTGGCCCCCCTCGACGACAATCTCTCCGTGCTCGTTTCCCTTACCCAGCACGGTGCCGTTATACTTTGAGTCCTCGCTAGCCTTGCTGTGCTTCTTCTTCAGAGCTGATTATACGTAGATGGATACCGTCAGCAACCTCATTCCTCACTCTTCTATCCTCTGTCTCAAGGAAAGGGCAGGGCAGCAGACTCACCACTGAGATAATCATTGTTCTCGTCGTCCCCGTCCAGAGCCACCCTCTTGATCTCCCGGTTGCGCGGGCCCTGCGCCCACGCGACGAACTCGTCGACGCCGCGCGTGTCCTCGCGGCCCAGGAACCGCTCCTCCTCAAAGGCGGGCGCGGGCAGCACGGCGCCCAGGTCCTCGAGGGCCATGCGCACCTCGACGACGGACGGCGTCTCGCCGCCGCCGTCCTCGCCGCCGTTGCGCGCCGTGTGGTGCGCCGTCGCCTGGCACAGGGCGTAGAGGTAGCGCGCCGCCAGGTCGGTGAGGGAGTCGAGCACGGCGGTCCGCGTCGCGTGGTACCCCTGCGCGCGCAGGATCTGGAGGACGCAGGGGCGGAGGAGGGTGTGGAATATCGTCGGCGGTGGCGTCATTGCGTATATTCGTGTGCGTGTATGAGTGCTCGGGATTCGAGCCCTCCTCCAGGTGTGTGTTGCGTTGGAGGAGGAGGTTGTCCTCACTTGGAGATGGGTGCTTGTGGCCACTGGGACCTGGGCGGCATTTGGGGCCCGGACGAGCAAGTTTTGGGGCCCTGCTAGATTGGCCCTCCTTCTATCAGGTCAAGGAATCTGCCAGCACCTCAAGTGTAGCTCAGACGGCGGTGGCCGATGTGTCAGTCCGCGAACCAGGTGAGGAAGAGCGCCGTGGATACGTGATAGATAAAGGTGAAGGTCGGTCGATGTGAAAACCGACGCCGGCGCGACCCACCACTGCCGACCTGAGGCGCTAAGGAAGCACCCCAGCTGCTTTTCCGTCGAGCTTAGACTTGCGACTTGCCTATTTCAACGAGCTTTCTTTTTTTTTTTTTTAAACAAAAAACAATGGGAACTTTTTAAGATCCCAATGATAAAGTATTACTATTACACATTATAGTTAATATTCTTATTGATTCCGGCATTTTTGGTTAGACTTTTGCACCAGGCAACAGTATCCCCAGCGCAGTGAAGGGCTTCTGAAAGAGCCCTCAATACCCAAAGAAGGCCTGTCCTATTGTGGGTATTGTGGCGCTTGTGGGGGGTTGCAAGCACTATTGCTTTCTGTGCAAGCATCCATTCATCGATGGGTCCATGGATATGGATGGATTCGAATGACCTCAAACATGCTCTGTCCTCTATCCTCCTGATCCAACGCTGCCTCCTGTCGGATATCGCCTACACAGCCTACGAGAACCAGCACAGATAACCTTTGGCTACATCGCTGCATTTTGAAGCCCGGCACACCACTTGAAGAAGGCAAGTCGCAACCGACAGCGCGCTCGGCGCGCAGCTCCTCCCTTCTTCCATCGCGAAACCACCAGCCAAGGATCAAGATGTCCTCCGCGCCGGAGCCGAGCAAGCCCTCCAAACCGGTAACATTAAAGCTCAAGACCTCGACTTCGTCTGGACTGAACGGTTCCTTCTCGGCTTCGACGCCTCTTGCCACGCCCGCCACGCCCGCCGATGGAAAGCCGAAGATCGTGCTGAAGCGATCGCAACCGCCGACGCCAGCGACCGACGGAGCACCCTCGTTCATCACCGCTGTGCCTCAGGTCGCAACGCCGATCGTGTCACCTGCCGGACCTGTGACGACTCAGAAGGGACGGGTGTCCAAGCCGACCGCGAAGAAGCGGGCAAGAGACCACGAGGACAGCGACGAAGATGCGCCGCTCGCCAAGACGCAACAGCCGAAGCCGAAACGGCCAAAGCTCGTGGTCAAGGGGAAGCTGAACCGCATGGGCAGCATCGTCGTCAAGAACAAGAACGAGTTGCCGCACCGTGAGCCCGGCGAAGGGTACGACTCTGAAGCAGAGGACAAGGAGACCGACCCCGTCATCGAGGAGCAGTTTGTCCTCCGCATGATGCCGGGGGAACACTGCGACTACATCAGAAAGATGATCGATGAACGCAAGATTGGAGTGCCTGTCAAGGAAGGAGGAGCCGATGTCCAGCTGAGGTGGCTCCCGGGCGGAGAGCGGAGGGCTGCAGTCACCGTCAAGGGCCAGCCGTTTGCTGCCGTCCTGGTAGACCTCCCCACTATTACGGAAGGCATGAAGACCTGGGACAAGAAGAACTTCATGAAGAGCGCGGACATCTGCCAGATGCTCCTAGTGTTTTCAAAAGTGGCCAAGGAAGAGGATGCTAAGACCATCGAGCTTCCCAAGATGGTCGCCAAGGACTATCGCTGGCCACACGGACTGACGCCGCCAATGCACGACTGTGTGAACCGGCGCTTCCGCAAGCGCTTGTCCAAGAAGGAGATCAAGGACAAGGAGGCGGAACTCGAACGACTCCTGAACGAGGATAAGAACGCGTTAGAGTCGACCTACGAATGGGTCGATGACCGGCCTCAACAGCAGTCCGAAGAAGAGTACGAGGAAGGAAGCGAAATGGAGGAAGACGCCGAGGGCGAAGACGAAGATTACTTTGGAGACCAGAACGGCTTCCAGACGCAAGAACCCCAAGAGATGGACGAGATTGACGACGCGGCGCTCGAGGCCGAGTTCGAGGCTGCCTTCGACATGGAGGCCGAGGAGGAAACGCCGGCTACCGCGCAGGCTGCAACACCGGCTACGGGCCGGACAGGCACACCAGCCGAGGGAGCGTCCGAGGTCTCTGATGCCGACGACGATGACGACGAGGACCTGGACGAGGACGAGCAGGCGCGTGCTGACGAGGTCAAGGGGGTCAGGGAGGACATTGCCGATCTCAAGAAGCAGATCCAGGAGCTCGAGGTGAGGAGAGAGGGGATGAACAACTCCCTCTTAAGGAAGCGTCTCGAGGAGAACATCAAGAACGTCAAGGCAGAGCTGCATCTCAAGCAGGCTTCTATCGGAGAGGTGGACGAGGAGTGATGGCTGGCGGTCATTTGGAAGCCCGTCTGCAGGCGCACATGCGATATGAGGGTTAGGAATGTTTGGAGAGTTGGTCTACCTTGAGAATCTACATAGAACCTGTCCATGTATACCCAGCGTAATGAAAATTATTTCGACAGTTGAACACCATCGTCTATTCTTGTCAGTGTGATATACATGCCCATCCGGGCTAGCTTGTTGTCTTCTCCAATGCTCCTATCATACAGGCAGTGCACTCGCCTTCCTTCCAGCCAACACACACCCACAGAGCAGGCCAGGACCTCTTGCATACATTCTATAAATACAGTTTACATGGACTTGAGGTAGTTGGTCTCCTTGATCTTGCTCTTGCGCTCCTTGCGCATCGCCTTGCGCAGCTCCTCCCGCTTGTCCGCCGCGAAGACGGCGTTCTCGACGCTGTTGTTCTCGCCGCCGGGCAGGTTGATGGACTGCTGCTGCAGCGGGATCTTGGGGGCCAGGGCCTCGATGTCTCCGGACGCGAGGAGCTTGGCCTCGAGCTGGCGCTGGCGCTTGGCCGCTAGCCGTCGCTGTTTTCTTGATTTGGCTGTGGTTCGATAATGTGGTTAGCTGGGTGTCTTCATAATTCACAATTCACTATAGGCACTTCGCATGGAAGGTCCCGTCCTATACCGCAGGACGGAAAAGACAAGGGGCTGAGGAACGACGTACAGAACTCATCACCAGCGTCGGCATCGGCCTCCTCGGCGGCCTTCTTCTGCACGTCCAGGCACTGCCATAGCCACTCGGGGTACTCCTCGTCTGCGCGCGCCACGGGGTCCTGTTTGCCCTTGAAGTAGTTGAGGCCGCTGAGGACCGTGCCCTTGGGACACGACGACAGAGGCGCCTTTGCGCTGCCGCCGTCGCTCGGGGCCGTGGTCGCGGGTGCTAGGGGATCGGAGGCGGTTGCGTCTTGGGCGGCTGCAGCGGCGGGCTCACGCCACGGCGCGGACACAGAGAATGGTCGGAGGGCTAATTGGGCGGCCGGCCGGATGGCTGTCATCCGCCGCAAGCATGGTCGGCAGATCATGGCTGGTATGTGTGTGGTTTTGGATTATGTTGGGTGGATGGCTCGTGAGAGGTAGGAGTGGAAGCTTGTTAGCGATGTCAGGTAGTTCTGGAAATTTTCTAGGGCAGGCGGAGTTGGCCGGCTAGGCAATCCTGATAGAACTGCGCAACGCAGCACGCGACTGAGAGTAGACACCTCTCCCATGCACCAGAACAGGGCAATTGGTTGGCAAAAATTGAATCGTTCAAAATGTAGATTTCACATTTTTATGTACATAATACAGGACCCAGCTCAATAAAGTCCCATCCACACAACAGGTCTTCATGCGAGGTCGATTGATATCAGTTCTCTTCCCAGCTCCCAAGACCTCCCACTCCTAGTATGCCCGATCAATTCTGAGTAATCGAGTCCAGGGTCTTCGTAATTCACTCCAGTGCACCTCGTGCACTCCTGCGGTCTACTCCTTCGAGATGTAGTTTTGTTGCTCGAAGAGGTAACCCTTGACTCTGGCGTCCTTGAGAAGCTGAAGGTATCGTTCTGCAAAGCAATTGGTCAGTAACATTGTTCACAGTAGTCGACAAAGAGGCTTCAATAGAAGCCCCAAAGAACTATGATGAATGGTGCCAATGCTGCCGGGTAGGCCACTGGACAGACAACGCACCTCTCAGATGACCGCACTTCTCCAGATGGTTGACACCCTCCCGGTAGTAGCATTTGCTCATCTCCTCCCTGACTAGCCGGCCCATCATGACCTGAACCCATTGCTCCCGGATGATGGCGTCTTGGGCCTGCTTGAGCCTCTTGGTGTCATCGTAGTCGACGCCGTCAAAGGTAGGAGGGACGGTCGGCTTCTTCGCGAGGAAGGCGGCGGACTCGGGGGTAGGCATCGCGACAGTCCGAAATGTAGCCTTGCTGGAGTCGATGCTCGGAGGAGGGGCGAATTGAGTAACCTCGAGCGCTGCTGCTCCGAGGATGTTGGGTTTCGTCCGTGGGTTTTGCACTCAGCAGCTCTGTCGCTTCAATGTGACGATTGGTATCGGCTCCAAGACCATTGGTGGTTTCGACTTCCGAGAATTAGCGCCTTGCTTCTCAGGCAGCTGCTGGTATGTGGGCCAGGCTTCAACGTCAAGGACACCGCCCCATATAAATTCACACCGCCTTGCCGAAACCCCACTCAAAAGTCCCTGCAACAAAAATTTCTGCTGGCAGTTCCAACCACTTTTTTTTGCCCATGGTCCAGCCAGTGCGTCTGCCTTTTAAATCCTGCTCATCCTGCTGCAACAATTTTTCCCACCTCAACACACATCTTCCCCCCCTCAGAAATTTATCAGTCTCTGAGTGTCGCGCATTTTTCATTCTCTTCTTCACATTACTGCACATCGTATCACACTTCACACCATCACAATGGGTAAAGTCAAGGACGTCAAGACCAAGTCCAAGGCCAAGGCCACCGACGCTCTGACTACGGTCAAGAAGGGCGGTGTTACTAAGGCTTCCACCACCTCCAGCGCCAAGTCCAAGCAGCTGGCCAAGGATGTTGCCAACAAGGCCGTGAACGGCAAGGAGAAGAAGAAGTCCAAGAAGGTCGAGGTCTCCTCTTCCGAGAATGAGTCTGAGTCTGAGAGCGAGGACTCTGCCTCCCACTCTGAGGACAGCAGTGAGTCTGAGTCTGAGGAGGAGGTCAAGCCCAAGCCCAAGGCCAAGCCTGTTGCGAACGGCAAGAAGGCCCCCGCTGCCGCCAAATCTGACTCCGATTCTGATTCCGACTCTGACTCCTCCGACTCTGACTCTGAGGGCGGCGCCAAGGCCAACGGTGCCAAGGTTGAGGCCGACTCATCGGACGCTGACAGCGACGAGGACAGTGAGGATGACAGCGAGGAGGAGAGCGCTGAGGATGTCAAGACCGAGGCTGCCAAGGCTGTTAAGCCCAAGGTGAACGGCAAGGCTAAGGCTGAGAGCGTGAGTACTCTTTCGTCCCAATTTCCCCCCAGCGTCACAGTGCACTGACAAACGGCTTCAGTCTGACTCTGAGGACGATTCCGAGGCTGACTCTGAGGACGACTCCGACGATTCTGACGACTCTGAGGAATCTGATGAGGAGGAGGAGAAGGAGGAGAAGGCTGCCGCCCCCTCCAAGAAGCGCAAGGCTGAGGAGGAGGAAGAGGAGGAGGAGGCTCCTGCCAAGAAGTCCAAGACCGAGACTGCCGAGGAGGGTGCCACCACTCTCTTCGTCGGCAACCTGAGCTGGAACGTTGACGACAACATGCTGTTCGAGGAGTTCAAGTTCTGCGGCGATGTCTCCAGCGCCCGTGTCATCACCGACCGCAACACCGGCCGATCCCGCGGCTTCGGTTACGTCGACTTTGCCAACGCTGCCGCTGCCGAGAAGGCCTTCAACGAGAAGCAGGGTGCCTTCATCGACGGACGTGACATGAAGCTCGACTTCTCCACCCAGCGACAGCAGACTGATGCCTCCCCTGCCGCTCGTGCCAAGAAGTACGGTGACGTCGTTAGCCCTGAGAGTGACACCCTCTTCATCGGCAACATCCCCTTTGAGACTGAGGAGGAGACCGTTTCCGCCTTCTTCAGCGAGGTCGCCAACGTCAAGAGCATTCGCCTGCCTACTGATCAGTATGTCCTATCCCTTTGTCATTTCGTTTTCTCCATTTCAAGCATCGCTAACCAAATCACAGGGAGAGTGGTCGCCGCAAGGGCTTCGGTTATGTGACCTTCTACTCTGTCGATGATGCCAAGATGGCTTTCGAGCAGCTCAACGGACAGCCTGTGGATGGTCGCAATGTCCGCCTGGACTACTCTACCCCCAAGCCCCAGCGTGACTTCGGTGACAACCAGGGTGGCCGCGGTGGCTTTGGCGGCCGTGGCGGAGGCCGTGGTGGAGGCCGTGGCGGTTTCGGCGGCCGTGGTGGTCGTGGCGGCCCGCGCGGTGGTGGCGGTGGTCGTGGTGGTTTCGGTGGCCGTGGCGGTGGCTTCCAGGGCAAGAAGATCACTTTCTAAAGGTAGAAAGGACCATGCCGCACAGTTCCCGAGGGCTCTTGCACACATGACACTTTGGTTGGCTTTGTTGGTTGTCGGTTCTATAAACTTGCACTCCGTCCTGGAGTCGTGGGCTTTGAGAGACATATTCCTCATTGAGAGGATGCTGCGATATACCTGAGGGCTTTAGCAACTATCTGTGGGCTGTGGATTTGGTGTTGTTTCACGACGCCTGTCATCGGGTGGCTGTGCTATGCTCTACGCGCCTCTGTGCGTTGCAAGCACATGTACGATGGGTTACCATGCTCTGTGGGCTTCTGTGGGCTCTTCTGATGGAACGAAGTTGGGAAGAACCTCCTTATGTCTCTTGGGGCATCTTGGAGGGGACCAAGCTTCCTGATCATGACGGCTTGTCGGTACCACTGGGGGCTCTTAAAAGTTCTTGCTGGCATTTATTCACGGATGCGGTGCGTGTCCTGGATCGGCGTTGATGCTTCTTCTTTATTTTCCTTTATAGCTTTGTCTGGCCGGCTGGCAAAATCATCCGACAGTGTTCGAATCGACCTGGTTGATAGTTTGTTGAGCTGGTAAGTATACCCTTAAGCACTCTATTCCCCATCACTGCGACTCGTGGATCTTTGTCTCCTTGATTCAGACGATATTTCGAAGTAGTCTCCAAATACCAAGAATTGTTCCAGCTGGATGCGATCAAATTGCCTGTGTTGTGCTTCGGCCCCCACGTATATGAACGGTTGGCAGGCGTGTAAGGCGGTTGGCGCGAAATCATAGGTAGCCATGCCTCAACCAAACAGTACCTGGATACCTATTGGCCCTGGTATGCTTACATCTGTATGGGAGCTACTTGGGAGCTGAAATGCAGTCATCTGTCACGACCGAGTCATCGTGTTGTCAACAGCCCGGCTGACGAGGTACTAGTCCAGAGCGGTGGGTGCGGGGAAGATCGTCATTGGAGGCAGCTGCACTGCCCTGGTGGGCGTTGTGAAGGCGCTATCACCTAAGACAGGGCGGCGGAGGGAGAGATGACCTCTTGGGACAGTGGTCTCGCGTGATCCATTAACGTAGTGGACCAGGTAGAGTTTCTAAAACAATCAGGTCTGTTCCCCCAACTTTGTATGAGGCAGTCGACTGGTCTTGTGCCCATTTTGTTTGGCCCCTCTGACGAATAAGAGGTGACCGTTTTTAGAACGGAGATGCACCTACTTGAGTATCAATACGTAAAGTAGGCCGCATGTCATCACCGCGAAGGGCTACAGGTTGTTCCAAGCCGTGATAGCTAATACCTACAACTGGCCTCTGACCTTGTCGCACGCAAACACCATCGCTACTGGCAGAGGATCTAAATGAATGGGCTGACGACAAGCATTTTGTCGCACCATACGGCCTGCACCTCAGTCTACTTAGCATCATTCGCAACCATACCTCCGAGGCCGGAACGCGAGGTCGAGCGGTTCGACCGCTTCGTTGAGAAACCAGGGGGTATAGTTGAGGCGCGCATCGACTGTTGCAGGACACGCACCATTTGCTCAAACTTGCGCATCGTTCGGTATTCCATGCATAGGTAGTGTCACTGGGCAAGGGACTGTGGTCTGGTTTTTGTTCCGACAGTGTCGTGTCTGCCGCATCCAGGACCCGTGTAGGTACAACACGTCCTGTAAGTGCGTGCATGCCAGCGCAGGGATTGGCGTGGGAGGTTCACGTTCAGGGTGGACGCCAGCGGGTCACGCATCCACCTGGCCGCCTGTTCCGTACACCTCATTTGACCCCATCTCCAATCCATCTCCACCCTTCTTCTACTTGTACTGGCGCGAGGAAGCGGGTTCACTGGGCTGTTTCTCTCACTTGTGCAAACCAACTCCATACCCCCAACCCAGGTCAGCCAGCCCAACCTAACCAGGCGCTAAATCGGGCGTACGTTCAAAGTACAAGTACGACAAGTGGACAAAGCACGACGACCAGGACGACAAAGCCTCCACCGGTTTAGTGCGGTGAAGCAAGCACCGCACTGCGACGTAATAGGAGCGGTCTGCACTGGAGGTTGGGGTAAAAAGAGACACCCCTCATCAAGTACTTGGCTATCGCGTCCCGGCGACGGAATAAGCCTTTGGCAAGAAAGGATACTTGTTCCAGGAGATCCAAGTTTTGAGCACCCTCCGTCCGTCTCCCACCCAGTTCCACCGTTTGCGAAACCAGCCATCCTTCTTTCTGTATCCCCTCCCATAAGATTGATCCTTCTTTCTTTTCCCGCCGGTATCCCATCGTCGCGCCCGCTGGCATTCCATCTTTATCTTGTTTGACTCGTCTCCTGCCCGACAGAGAAGGGTCTGTCTTCGCACTCTCGAGCGACCCCTGGTCTTGACATCACTGATAAGCTAGCGGGGATCGCGGGGCTTGGTCGGCTCCCTGGCTCCATCTCAGTGCTGCTGGCTCCGCCCACCGCCCGCGTCGAAGCACCACAGGAGGGACCGTTATCGGTGAGAAGGGAGGAGATACCAGAAATACTGTTGTCGTTGGCTTCTTTTGGACAATAATCTTCGAGCCGACTCTATTGTTTGTTCCCTTTGTTGTTGAATCTCATCAAGCGATTTCCCATCGTCATGGCTCCCTCGGAGTTCCAAGGCCAGCATGGCAACTTGCAGTCGGGAGGCAGAACGGCAGAGCGCACCGGACGGGTAGATGCGCCCTCTCAGTCCCAACGTCGAAATGATGGTAGGTCCTTGGAAACAAACTTGTTTTGTTAGTGTTGCGACTCGGATGTGCTGACGACCACAGAATCTTGGGTTGAAATCGCTTCACAGCCGTCGTCGTCCTCACTGTCATCCATTGGAGATGAGATCGTCACCACTGGCCTCAGAGTCGGGGTCGGGCGGGCGTCTTATCCACCGCAACAACCCATACGCCGTAGAAGGCTCCTTCAACTGCAGCAGCGACAGATGCAGCAGCGGCAGCAGCAGCAGCAACATACATCCATGCCGCAGTCATACTTTGTCAGCCACGCTGCAGCCCAAGGCGGCATGAGTAGCCAGGAAGAATACGACGAGACAGAGAGCGAGGAGGACAGGGTCATGACCAGCTCAACCGAGAACGTGCCCGCTCCAACTCCAGGCCTGGCAGGCCAGCCTGCCACCATGGGGCCGGCCGCCGACTCGGACACGGACTCGGATGACGACGAGAACGCAACTGCTCTTGGCCGCCCGTCCGATAGCCCGACGTTCAGGCCCCAACCCAACGCCTTCTCGCACCCACCGAACCACCTTCAGCATAGGAGCCACTCCACCAACTCCTCAGTCCCATACCATCCGCCTTACGGCCGGCCATCGGTGGCGCAACGCTCACAGACCAGGGTCAACCGCAGCGGCCCAAGTTTCATGAGTCCCCACACCCGCGAAGACAACGACGAGGCCCTGCGCGCATCGCTGACGACACTCTTGTCCTGCGCGGCCGCCGCGAGGGGCCTGCCCAAGAAGGACGAGACGGCGACAGGTCCGTCCGGGATCCGCAGCGGTCTGAGACCAAGCACGCAGCCAACAGGCCTGCAGCTCGTCCAGGAGTCGGAGCTTATGGACGACGGCCCCGCCGCCGCCGCCACAGGCGCCGCCGCGCCGAGACTCGCCGTCCCGCCCGAGCGCAAGCTGCAGTCCCGCACGGCGTCCAACTCCAGCGCGCCCAGCGGCCCCATCTCGACGTCTTCAAGAGCAGCCGCCGACGCCGCCGCCGCCGCCGGGGAGAAGAGTAAACGCTCGGCTTCGGCCACGCAGACGACCAAGTCCTCCCGGGCGAGCAAGAAGAAGAAGACATCGGCGGCGGTCCTCGACGAGGAGCACCCTGCCTCCATCAGCCCCACCCTGCTCACCTGGGTCGTCGGCGCCGGCGTCGTGGTCCTGGTCTCCGTCGTCGGCTTCGGCGCCGGCTACGTGATCGGTCGGGAAGTGGGCCGGCAGGAGGGCGCTTCCGCCATGGGCTTCAACGGCCTCGGCGGTGGCGGCGGCGGTGCCGGTGCCGCCGTCAACGCCTCGTCGTCGTGCGGGAGCGAGCTCGTCCGGTCTGGCGGGTCTGGGACCGGCGGCACGCTGAGGAGGTTCAGGTGGGGTGGTGGGATTGGTGGGAGCGTAGCTGCCTGAAGAGCAGGGAGGACAGTGATGGGCCGAAAGCTTATGCGTATGCTGCTGATTGATGGTATCATACGCTGGTAGTTGATCGGGGAAAAGGCTGCCTGGATGAGGAAAAATACCCCCTTTTTTTGTCGAATTGACGCATTGCGATGAGATGCGGTGTGAGCGGAGCCCTGGGTTGGTCTTTTATGGAATCCGCTCTTTCTCTTTTTATTATTCTTCGTGGTCGTCCCAGGATGGGACGACGTTGACTTAGGGGCTATGTGGTCATGCCGGGAGTTTTCAGTGTTTTTGTCCCCCCTTGGATGATATGGGGACTGGCCGGGTCGTCTTTTGGAATTCGGGGTATGGCTTTTATGAGAAGGAGGCTTATTGGAACATCTTCTTTCACCCCAAGACGGTTATCGTCAGTACATGCCAGGCAGCGTGAAATAAAAACCCAATTTTTTCGAGCATCATTAATTCTGGGCTTAGACGAGACTATTCGTTGAAAACGGGGAATTTATATTCAAGGAGTCCAGGTTTGCCGACTAAATCGTTAACGCTACAGTTTCCAGCCTAATAAGCGTACACAAAAAAAAAAGAAAAGTCCGGCGACCAAACACCAGCAAACATTTCCAACCGTTTTCCCCTGTTCAAAACCACCTGTCTACAGCACGCTCAGATCCAGAGGCACACTGCTTCCCCTCCCAGCGCGGTACTTCTTCTGGCTAGGATGAAAGTCTCGCGGCTTGGGGAACTGGTCCTCGCCCCTGAACCTCCAGCGCGCGTCGTCGACGTTGTAGCGTATCCCGGACCCGACGCCGCCGCCGCCGCCGCCGCTCGAGGCCGTCCTACTGTGGCCCCCGGCCGAGCTCGTTGGCCGCTGCAGGTTGCTCGAGCTGTGCGTCGGTGAAGGGCTCTTGCCGCCGTTGGGCGTGAGCGTAAAGGCCGAAGGGTCGAGCATCGAGGCGCGCAGTGTGGACGGTGCGCGGCTGCGTGAGGTAGGTGGAGGGGGCGCCGGGCCGGGTGGCGCTGCCGAAGACGGCGGTGGTGGGGGCGCTGCTGGCGGTGCGTGAGGCGGGCTGGGCGCCGCGGCGCGGTTGACTGGAGGCGGTGGTGGGGGAGGAGGTGCGGATGTGGGTGAGCTGGCGCCTGCGGCTGCGCGGATGGCTGCTTGGACGGCGATGCTGGGTGTGCTCGGGGCGGCGGATGGAGGCGGCGGTGGTGGTGGAGCTGGTGGCGCCTGGCTTCTAGAGGGTGCTGAGGGAGGGGCTCTTGGAGCAGCCGAGGATGGCGGCGGTGGAGGAGCCGGCGGTGCAGATGGCGCGGAAGGAGCTGCTGCCGAGGGCGGTGGAGGTGCTGGAGCGCCGGGTAGAGGTGGTGGTTGAGGAGCTGGTGAGGAAGGAAGTGTGCTCGAGGGCTTTCGAGAGCCAGGTGGCGGAGGAGGTTTCTTGCCGATAGGAGGTGGAGGTCCCTTGTTGATCGATACTGAAGACGATGGCCTTGGTACATCACTGAGGCCTGTCTTTCTTAGGTGTGCAACTCCAGGGTTGATCGCGGGTGAGCTTGATGCGCCAGGAAGCGGAGGTCGCATGCCCGGAATGGGAGGTGCTGCTCCTCCAGGCGGCTTGGGTGCTGATGCCACTGGTGGTTTCGGGACGGACCTCGAGGACCGTTCTGGATCTGACAGATAGGACGCATCTTGGCTGGCTGCTCTGTAGTCAGTATCAAAGCAACCGTTGTACAGCATCGATCGAGATGAAACATACCACCTGTGTCGACACCACCGCCACGTTTCTTCAACTTGGGCATTCCACCGGCAAACAGGCCTCCTAACTGTGGTGCTGCGCTCTCCATGCTCGAAACTCCGCCATCTCTTGAGCCCTGATCACTGTTGCTGCGAGCTCTGTTTCCTGGGACGGGAGGAGCGAGGCCGCCAGGGGCCTTGGGCATTCCCGGAATCGGCGGTGCTCCTCCCAGCGGTGACGGACCCGGTCCGCCGGAGGACTTGCTTACTTGCGGTGCCGATCGGTCGTTTGTTACGGTCTTCTTGAGGGCTTTTCCCTTGCTGATATCGGAGAGGAGAGCGCCCTGAAGAGTAGCATAGGTTAGCAGGGGGGGGGCAGTCATGGATCGAGCACGAGCTTACTCGTCCAGCTCCTCCGCCGGCAGGGCGAGAAGGAGGGCCACCTGGTCCTCCAGGCGGCGGCGGAGGAGGAGGAGGCGGAGGTCCCCCTCCTCGTCCGGGCATAGGAGGCGGCGGCGGTGGTGGTGGGGGAGGCATCGTAGCTCGGACCGGATTGACGCCGGCAGCTGCCAGATAAAGAAGCTCTGTTCCAACAGGATCAGCACCGAAGTCCGCCCTTCGCGCTTTGGCAGCTGTGCAGTAGTGTAATCGATACTGGCGACACCTTTATGCGTGGGAATAAGGCGACAATCGCAAGCTAGAAGAGGATGAGAAGTAACTGATGCTTGATCTTTGTGAATGGGGGGAAGGAACGTGGAAGCATAGAACCTAAGGCGAGTGCCTAAGCCGCGTGTCGTCAGTATGTGGCGCAGCTTCGCAGAGACGTTGGCCAGCAGTTGCGACCCACTGTCTTCATCAAGCCACAGCGCTTTCCGGAAGAGTTTTAGTGGGTGAGTTTTGGCAGCAAGCCGATTGGACCCTGAGCTTTCTCATTATTCAGAGCTGCAAATCCAATGAGCGCATCGTCGCATCACATCACGTCGCTTTTCTCTATGCCTTGATCGAGTTTGTGTCGAGAACTTCAATCGGCTGCCATTGCGAATATTCCTCCGACATTTTCATCTCTAGTAGCGCGCTCAAGTGTCCAGGGAGCCTGCAAGATGTTCCACCCCCGGATGGCCCGTAGGCCAAGAACCGATCTTTGTCAAATTTGCGAGCTTCTCACTGTTCGGCAGCCCAACCTCGCGAGGCGGTCTCTTGCGACAATTGTTGCCAGTCGGCCAAGCATTTCTGTGCCAAAACGGCCCTCGAAATCCGGCCCGTCGATCTTGACTACTAGATACACGGCGTCAGCTCAGAGGAGAGCATCGACTGGCACGGAGGTGCCGGCAGGACAGGCAAAGGAGGTGCCTAACTTGGCCGAACTGGTGGCCTCTGTCGGTCGGACGAAGCAGTCCTTCCTGGGCCAAGACGGCCTTCCCGAGGAGGAAGCGGTGCTTGAGGCCTTGCGAACCTGCGCAGCAGCAGCAGAGCTGCTCATGGACTCCACCGTACAGCCAAAGTTGAGCAATCTCGAATTTCAGTCCGACACTGCTGCATCCAACCTCCTGTCGCTGGACGAGAACGGCCGAAAGATTGCCAAGAGTTCGCCATCGACGCAGCAGAGTGCTACACCTGCACGACTCAAGGATGTGATTGGCAAGGTCTCGGAGGCTGCTTATGCCATTATCACCCACCCACCCGTCTTCATTACACCGCAACTGCTGGAACTCTACGTCGACATACAGGCCCGTCTCGTTAAGCCGGGGACCTTACCTCAGGTGTTCACATTGTATGGAGAGAAGCCGCTGCCAAGAGTTTCAGGAGGCACAATCAAATACGTTGCGCAAAACCCAAACAAGGCATCGAATGCTGTACCTCCCCAGGTTGTTGAGAAGGCTCTAGACGCTGCAATCGAAGCCAAGGACCTGGATGCGGCCGTGGGCATAGTCGAGACTGGTTACGCGAGCAAGGCTTTTGTCCGCGCCAAGATCGTTAGGAAGGCGCTGGTTCCCGTCTCGGCATTCGCTGCGGCCCCGGCCGCCGCCTATGTTCTCGCCACGAACCTATCACAATTCCAAGATACCATGGATAAGAGCACGGCAACTGGCATTGCTTTTGCAGGCATCCTGGCCTACGTGGGCTTCACAGCCACCATCGGTGTGGTCGCTGTTACTACGGCTAACGACCAGATGAAGCGGGTGACGTGGGCCCAGGGAACACCTCTGAGACAGCGATGGATCCGCGAGGACGAGCGAGCTGCCCTTGATAAGATTGCATGCTCCTTTGGATTTTCAGAATCATACAAGTACGGTGAAGAGGAGGGCTCGGAGTTTCAGTCTCTACGAGAATACATCCTGAGGAAAGGCATGGTGTTGGACCAGATAGATCTCATGGAGGGCATGAGCGGCTGAACAGCAAGAGAGTAAAAGAAGAGTCATGTCGAGAACTGATCGACAATTGGTCATCTCAATTCCGCATCGCCAAGAGAGATAACGATGCCTTCCGGCCGGAAAGTCGCCGGTAAGTTCTAGGGCTGAACGACATCAAGGCTCCGCAATGAACCATACATTTCTCGATAGCCCTCCACGCGGTCGATCATTAGGCTCAGCCTCAAGACAGCTCACCTGCCAAGAGCGGTAATCACTGATATCCCGGCGCTAGCGGATGCGGAACTACCAGAGGCGATCTCAACTGCATATGTGCGACATGCTTTTTCGGCCAGCCTTTCGTGAATATCAGTGTCTTCTTGGCGTCAAAGGGAGGCCAAACAACCAAGAGATGCGAGTCTCACCTGCTGGGCCTGGAACGTGCCGCGAGATGGTCACGTCTTATCTTGGCGAATTTTGCTTTCGAGGACACCGCTCACGTCCACATCTATCCCCGTCGTTGTGGTTGCTAGCTCATGCTGCCACTGACAAAACGGGACACTTGTACGACCGCTGTCGCAGCTCTGCGCTCTTGGCTCTTATCAATGACCCGTCTGACTTTGACGGACGATTCATGAGCAGACGGCGAGCGACATCTGGCGTGGGATAGGGATGGGCATCAAGGTCCCATCTTCGCGTCACTCACTGCGGTGACGAGGGGAGGGGGGAGGCATGTATGATCGAGGGACCATCTTCACCGCCCCGTTCCCCTTTGTATGTATATATTGTATATCTCAAATACCCCCTTTCATTTTCAGACCATCAGATTTCAAAGAGAAGAAAACCCATCTCACCTGACTTGTCGATACTGTACGATCAGTGTCTTGTTCCGTTTGTTTCGAGACTCTTGCACGAATATGATCTCGGCCAGGACCACGGCACCTCGCAGAGTTCTCGACCCGGAGAAGTGTCGCCATTATGCACAATTCGCATCCCGTCTCCAAACGCACAGTTTCGATATCATCTACTGGCCTCTCTTCTCTCTCGTTGTCTTCATGCTCTTCCTCTCCTCCTGGTACTACGGCAGGTAAGCAACAAGTCCATTGCTTTGTGGTTTGCTTTGTTTTGTCTTGTCTTGTCGAGATAAGCCTCGGGGACCCATGGACGATCGATTCAGACTGACCCTCGAGACGCGCGTGTGTACTTTGGCCAACATCTTTGTTCCTTTTGTTTGCAGATCTATAGATGCCGTCGAGAAGTTCTCACCGCGGTCGCCAGAGCACCGCCGCCAGATGAAGAAGTGCATGTGCGTCTGCGCCCTGTGCACCGCCGTCTCGATCGCCTCGGTCGTCATGGAGACGTTTGCGCTCCTGGCGCTGCAGTTCTGCGACGGCGAGGACCTGCTGCAGCTGTACTGGTCCACCTTCACCATGGTGCAGATCGGCAGCGTCGTCGCCATCTTTGGCGTCATGCTCTCGGTCTGGCACTCGCTCCGGGGCCGGAAGCACCCGTGAGTCTACCCTGTCTCTCTCTCTCTTCCTCCCTTCCCCAGCCCTGTTGATGAGCATCTCATATCCCTTGTCTTCCCGGAGGAGTAGGTGTTTTTGCATGGAGTGAGACCCGTAAAGGAGGGAAGGAGCTAACCCGTTCACCCAAAAGGCCGTGGGCCCTGGCATTGGGCACGCCGGTGCTCGTCATCGCCGGACTGGGGCACTTCTTCAACGCTGCGCTGCAAAGAAAGATCAAGGAGAAGGCGCGCCGTAGAAAAGAGGCAGGCGGCAGCGCTGCCTCGATGTCGCTGAGCCAGAGGTACAGTTCCTCTGCCTTACACCTTGGAATGTCTCTTTTGATATCCCGTTCGCTCACCACATTCCCCCATCAGCCCTACGCAGCAAAACGAGGGCGAGGGACAGAATGACCAGGCCTCGACGAGCTACAATGCCAAGCTGATCGGGTATACACCGGGAGGGGGTCCTATAATCCAGTTTGATGAGAAACCCGAGCCCCTGGATGAGCGGGAAGCTACGGTCATCAGCACAGGCATCGATGGGGCTGTCACTGTTGCATTTGGCAAAGAAGTCAAGATCGTAGTCAGCAATGAGGAGACCGCAGAGGAACAGGCGACATGTGCGACACCAGGTATGGCTGAGCCGAATTCAGTGTCGTTCGCACAGGCATCACGAACGGGGTCGGTTAGTGGCCAGACCCTCGTGGCAGCTGGATGAACGGCTAGAGCTCTTTAAAACGGGTCAGATATGGCACATTGCACGGGTATTGAGAACCTGTCCTACAGTGTCAGTAAAAAGAGCATGCCCTTCCGATGGGCACCGTGAAGGACTTTTATGAGTAATGACAACTGGCGTGCATAGCACATAGGGGACAAAAAAATTGTTCAACTTCAGCATAGATGATGTATCAGCATGCCAATTTTTCTTTCATTGGTTTGGGCTGTGCTATCCAGTTAGATAGACTGCATATCAAGAACCCCCGGTTCCCAGACCCATGGCTAGCCTGCAGACTCTTGTGCTTATCAAAACCTGTCTTCTCGGTCTTCTCCGCTTCTGTATGGTGTGCACCCGTCTTTTGCTGAGAGGGTCTCACAGCATCTCTTGGCTGCTGCTTCGTCTCGGTTCTCGACCTCGCCGACACCGTCTTATACAGCGCTGATACATCATCCGCTGTCTCTGCCCCCCACGGGCATGTCTAGACCTCCAACGCCTCACTTCTCGACCTTGCCAGCCCGACCCACCTGCAAGATTTCTCCCGTAAGTCTATCATCGCTCCGCAGAACCGGCCAGCCGCTCACATCGGCCTTGGCCAGGGTGACCTCGAGTTTGGTGCCCAAGACCTTGAACGCCGACTTCTCCGGGACGATGGCTGCGAAGAGCGGCACCTCGGTCTTGTACCTCTTGGGAGGGGTCTCCGTTGTCGGCAGGTCGAGCGTTATCGTCTGGGGGCCGAAGACCACCTTGGCCTTCTCCTTGTCAATTTTCTTGAGGAAGAAGGACGCCGTGACTGTGCTTGCCGACTGATAAAAGTCCGTCCTGTGAACCCCTTGGGTCAGCAAAGAATTGTACCAATTAGACAGAAGTGGACCAGGGGTAATGGACAACGAACCGAACAGTATCAAGGAGCTCCTCGGAGGCAGCTTTGCCGCCCTTGGCATCCTTCTTGCCGCTGCCGATGAACAAATGCCTGTCCTTGGTCTCGCAGCCCTCGATCTTCATAAATTGGTCAAACTCGAGCACCCTCCGCTTGCAGCACGTGTAGCCCTTGCTGCCCTCGTGAAAGATGGGCACGCCAGGGTGGTAGACGCACTTCTCGCCGTCCCTGGAGGCGCCCTTCTTGTAGGTGGCGCCGCACGTCCTGCGGCGGCAGGCCTTGCCGTCGGGGATCTCTAGGCTCGGGTCGTCGTCCTCGGACTCTGGGGGCGGTGGCGGCGGGGTTGGCGCGTGCTGCGCTGTGGGCACGTTGATCGGAGTCCGTGGCAGGGCTGGCTGCTCGGGCACCGGCTCAACGATCTCCAGGGGCGCTTCCTTCTTCTCGATCTTGGGCGGCAGGTCGGTGGTGGAGTGCTTGCCCTCTGTGCAGGGGGGGATCTCCATAAACTCCTCGAAGGTGAGCACGCGAGGCTTGCAGCACTTCCATCCTGTTCATCGGAAGACGGAACAAATGTTAGCATTGAGTTGAGGGAGTGAAGGCGCCGGCCGAGATAAGCTCTTGCAGGAGGGATACGTCATTGCCGAAGAGATACACGCTCTCCAGGCGCACCGACGATAACATACCCTTTTGACCCTCGTGGAAGATGGGCGGGCCCGGATGGTACTTGCAGGTCTCGTCTGGGTCCGTGTACGTCTTGCCGCAACCTTGGTGGACACACTTCTGCGCCATGTTTGGTCGTGGAATTGCTGTGCGTGGGGAGGGGTAGCTCTTCTCTCGCCAGGATCAAGACGAATTGAGATGCAGGCTGCTCGTTTCTCGACAAGAGGCGGATGGGAATACCAAGGCGGTTTGGTGCGTAGGCCTGTGAGAAGAAGAGCTGTGCTTCGCGATGATGCTTCTTCCTCCTGGAGCCTCGGAATTGTCCCAGCATAGATGTACAGCAGAGTTTCGGCGTCGATTTTCTTCTGAGAGCTTCCAGAATCTTGAATCATTCCTACCCCACCCCCCACCAAAAAGCATCAACTAGGCCTAGCTCAGGCCTGAGTACACCCGGATACAGGGCGATCGACCCGCACCAGAGTTCAAAGCTCGGCGGTCAGGGTGGGCAGCTCAAGTGGCTGCAAGAAAAGTAGACGGATTTCCATCAAGGAGTACTTCATACCTAACATCTCGATCCGTGGCAATACCACTCACTGGCTTTTATGGACCCAAAGTAAACAATAGCCATTCAGTGCATGTCTATCAATACCCTGAGGGGAAATTTAGAAGATCACAGAATCATAACTGCCAGGGCCCCTAATTACTATGTTAGGATCTGATGTATTTCTGTTAGCAATCCGTCTACTTTTCTTGCAGCCACTTGGCAGCTGTAGGTGCCGCCGTGCCACACACGCGCTTGCTCCTACAGGGGTCCACGCTTTTGTCGTGTGAGTGGTTCGATGCTCCTCTTTCCTGGTCACGACATGCATTTCTCTCCTGAAGCGAAGAGTCTCACTTTTGCTTGTTAGGAGAGTCTGTGGTGGCCACTACCCAGGCAAGTGATGGTCAAATTAGCTGACGGACTGCTAACAAAAGTACTGGACTATCCATCAAAGTGCCGTATCTCGCGGTGAACTCCCGTCAATTATCCCGGCCCCGTCTTGCCAGGGCACTCAAGTCGCAATGCGTGCCACAAGTCGTCTATTGCAGCACGCCTGCAGAATCACCCTGTTCACCCGAGAGAACTGCGGGCTCTGTACGCGGGCAAAATCAGCCTTGTCTCACGTATGGGACTCCCGGCCCTTTGATTACAAGGAAGTCGATATCATCAAGCCAGAAGCAAAAGCCTGGCGAGACCTCTATGACTTTGACGTGCCCGTAGTAAGCTCCTTTCCAGTCACAGTAGATGTCAATGCCGACATCCATATCATTCATACTAAAAGGTCGTTTAGATTCACATAAGCAAGGCGCAAGCGGCCGAGGAGGACCCAACTCTATCCGGCCAAGCAGTCAAACTCATGCACAGGTTCAACCCCGAGGACATCACAGCTAAGATGGATGCTGTTGAAAAGGCATGAAAGGGCAGAGCTGACATACGGTCGACAAACGACGTCTATGATCTCGTTATTCGGTGTCAATGGCTCAGTAGGACTGGCCTTTTTGCGGCTGCGCTTTGCCGTGAGCAATCGCCAACGTCTCCGCCATGTGCTGCTGGAGACCAGTATAGTCCGCTGCTGCGCTCATCATTGAGAAACCCATTTCGGCATATTTTCTGGCCATCTCGGCGCTGGTACAGTAGATGCCGCACTTCTTGCCAGCTCGGTTTCCAGCTTCCAACACCCTCTTGATGGCGGCGTCGAGCTCCGCTTCGATCACTCCATTGATAATGGGGTGGCCAATGTTGTTGCCCAGGTCAAAGGGACCAATGAAGAGCACGTCGACGAGTAGTGCGATCTCATCGACGGCCTCGAGGGCCTCTTTGGTTTCGATTTGGACCATGACCAGCAAGGCGTCATTTGCTTGTTCAAGATACTCGGTCAGAGACGGAACCGGACTGAAGTTTTCCATTGAAAGTGGCGAGCCAAAGCCCCGGTTGCCTTCCGGCGGGAACTTGCACGATCTCACAACCGACCTTACTTCTTCTACCGTACGGATCAGTGGGACGAGAATCTGATCCTGGAGTCAGCATGTATATAGGTCAATGTGGACTCGGGAAAAGACAAACTAACTCCATGGGCTCCGCTGTCAAGAGCGCCTGAGATCTTGTTAGTGAAATTCGCCAGTCCGCGTCAGACAAGACGTTGCATACGCTTGATCATCCACGGTTGGAAGTCTGGTATTCTGACAACAGGAGTTGTCCCAGTCGCTGCTATGACGGGGACGGCCTCGTGCATGGCCGCATCTAGGAACCAATTAGAACCATATTTCCTGCAGACGCCGAACCACTCGCTGGGGAAGCTGGTACCTGTCATTTGCCCATGCTCGCAGTCCACCATGACCCAGTCGACACCCGGAGTCCGTGCCAGCACTCGGGATATGTTGACTCCCGGGAGCATTTGCCAGACGCCCATACTCGGCCGGTTCTCTGCAAAGGCCTGCCTTAACTTATTCGATTTTGCCAGCTGCGTCCTGCCGGCGAACGAGGATCCATGCCGAGGACCTCTTGTAGGATTCGCAGTGATAGCCGTAAAGGAGCAATGACGAGGTCGTGCCCTCGGCGCTCCTTTGAACAGAGCCGGTAGCACGCGAGACATTGCCAAGTGTAGACGAGCTTTTGAAGTACTTAATTGTATTGCTGGAGACAAATAATGGGAAGAGAATAGGTCTCCGGGTTTCGGGGGTACTCTCTTCTCACACTGGCAGTTTGCGGGGTCAGCATGGATGTGCTCCCCACCAGCAACTACATGCCAAACTCAAGACCTCTTCTCTAGACTAGTTGGATCTCATAAAGACATCTTGTCTTCACAGGTTTCTCAAGCTCACGAGAAAAGTCAAAAGCTATTTAGTAGTAAGCTGCACAGATCGTTTCTTACACGCTCCGAAGTTCCCTGGTCCCTAGACAGATACGAGGGTTTGGATCCTCACGAAGTGAACTGTTTCTCGTTACTGCCATCGATCCTACTACTATATCTACATACCTAACTACGAGTAAACAAGTCTCTGGAGATAAGTCGAGATTCGTATAAAGAGGTAGGTAGGTAACGTAGGTGGTGGAATCCATCAACCCAAAGGTACTTGTACATATCCAACGGTCCTAGCTTCACCCCACACCGCGTAAAATCGCCCTAGCTTCTCACTCAAAAGTCTGCCCAGCTGGATAACCTCCCCCTCATTGGCGGTACTTATTATTTTGCTGGTCCTTCACCACCTCCGTTCGCTACAAGCCGGGTCCAACTGCGTGCCTGCTCGGCAAACCAAACTCTGCAACAACGACGTTTACGTTTCACCGCCAATTCCGTGATCTCCTGCTGCGACTTGTACGCCAACTATTTGCTTGCTTCCGAGGAGCCCAGACCCACCGCCAGACTTGTCAGTCACCATGTCGTTCCTGAACGGCTACATCGATAGTAGGTTCCTCCCCCAGGAGGCACACGAGGCTTGAAACTTGATACATGAGCGTAGCGCAACTGACCTTGGACCCTGCTTTGCCTTTCGCGCAGAAAAGGTACTCGTCATAACAGCCGACTCGCGGACGATAGTCGGCGAGCTCGTCAGCGTGGACAACCAGACCAACTTGGTACGTCTTGCCCCTGCAGAAGAGATCGAGGAGAGGCCGGGTATACGTGTGCCCAGCACAGCACGCAGCAGCAGCATGCCATACTAATACCCCGTGGCGCGGGTCGCAGGTCCTCAAGTCAGCCGTCGAGCGCGTCATCAACACCCCAGACAACCCGGAGCCGTCGGTCGAGGTCCCCCTGGGGCTGTACCTGATCCGCGGCGACAATGTGTGCACGGTCGGCCTGGTGGACGAGAAGCTGGACGCGGAGATCAACTGGACCAAGGTCAAGGGCGAGGTGATTGGCGGCATCAAGCACATATAGGTAGCCGGCTCCTCGCCGGGACCATCGAGAGGTCCGCGACATGATCAGCTGAGGCCAGAAACCTTCCGACCGGCCCTGGCCATTTCATGACAGACAAGGCTGCTGGCCGCGGCGGAAGGACTACGCGAGGAGATGGGAATGAGAAGGGCACGACGGGCCGAGAAGGCAGGGACTACAACTGGAAAGGCGGGACTAGCCGCGGGCATGACTGTCACGACCAGGGACTGGACTCTTTACACAGAGTAGGGTATGCCTTGACATCTCTATCTCTTCCCGGTTCGCCATGCTAACAGACCGCCTACTGCAAGAAAAAAAAAAGTACGGGATGCTTTGGGAGGATGGACGATATAAAACGCTTATAAATGAGATACCCCCAACCAATTGAGAATGGCTGCACACAGCCACATTTTAGACTATCCGAAGACCTGTTTCATCCAGAGAGGCGCGAGCTTGTCTTCGCCCGGCGACTTGACAATCCTGTTGATCCTGTTGCCCTTGGTGTGGCTCAGCCAGCCCTGCGTGTCGCCTGGCACCTCGTCGAGCAGCAGGGAGTCATCTGGATTCTCGACGCTCTGGGTGCTCTCTTTGGCAGCGGGCTTGCTGCGATTCCGCTTGTCGACGAGGTGCATGCCGCGCGTCCACTGGCCCGAGGTCTCGATACGAATGTCCTCGAGCGTGGGCGTGCCCTGCCAGGCCGGATCGTCACGAGTCATCATGTACCAGACGGTCAGGGGGTCATGCAAAGACAGGTCCGGCTCCACCTGATCTCCCACCATGTCGGTGATCTTGTTGAACGTGCCGGCGAGGATATGGCCGATCCATCGCGCCAGCGGACTTCCTGCGTCGACGTGGGGCTTGATGCTCCGCTCGAAGAAGCTCTTGTATAGGGAGTGCGGCGTGGTGATATCCAGCGGGCAGAGCGACAGTTTGAGCTGTTTCGACAGCTTTTCCGGGTAGGGCGGGAGGGTCGCCGCGTGGCTGGGGACGGGAGGCATCGTCGAGGCCGGGGTGGGAGAAGTGAGGGCGTACACACGGGCGGCGGCAACGGCATCGGCATAGGTGTTGAATTCGCCGACGGGGGTGATGTTGCCGGGGATGTGCACGGAGCCCCCCATGACCACGAGCTCCTTGACGCGGAGGAACGTCTCTGGGTCCTCGGCGGCGGCCATGGCGATGTTGGTGAGCGGGCCGACTGCGCAGATGGAGATCGTGTTCTCGGGCTCTTCCCTCAGAATTCGAAGGATCTCCTTGTGGGCTGGGAGCTTGGCTGGCGTGAAGTACGGAGAAGGGTTGGCTGAGCTGTCGCCTTCTTTGAAGAGAGATTGCCAGGTGTCGGCCGGCGACAAGTCCGGGTGCTTACTTCAGTCAGTCCATGCATGTGGAAGGCGAAAGGGTATGTGGGTGAAAGCATCCTTACTGCTTCGTGGACGCCATGCAGACCATCAACACCATCTCCGGGTATGTTAGCAAGGGGCTGCTATCCTGGCCTCCCACGAGGACGATACTTACGGAAATAGTCTGCCATGAGGCAGTCCTCCTCCAACGGATGATCAGGGCCTACCGCCACCAGCGGCTTGAAGTGCTTCAGGGACTCGAAGCTGTTGGGCTTTGAGTTTGCCTCTCGCCAAGCAATTTCCTTCTCAATGACATGGAACAGGGCAACAACGTTGCGCAGGCAGCTGCACGCCGGTCAGTCTTATTTTCCTACAGCTATATCAGGTGTTTGGCGCGGAACCCGGACCTTTGCAGAGGGACGTTGCCGTAAGTGACAGACAGCAGGACCAGCTCGAGGTCCTCAGGCGAGGCGCTGAGGGCCAAGAGCATGGCCATGGTGTCATCGACACCTAATCGGACAAAAGATTAATTTGGATGAATAAACTGTAGCTCGTGGCCATATCGTACCTGGGTCTGTATCGAGGATGATACGGTTCTTTGGCGCCATCGTGAAGAGGCGTAGAGCGACCTTTTTCTGGAGGAGCGTTGGTGTTTCACCTGGTTGATTGAGACAGGTCAGTTTCTGGTGGTACCACAGCGAGACCTAGTGCAAATTCAAGATACACTCGATGATAATGATGACAAATATCTGTTGGGCAACGATAGATATTTGCTCGTGAGGAGTGGTGATGTGGCTTACAGCAAATCTTGTCAAACTAGTTTATATGAAAGAGTGGGATGGGCAAGACGTGGACTAGGTAATTGCTGAATGATAAGGTCAGCACACAGTTTTTTATTAGCTATGCAGGGTAACTCACAGATTAGAGTATTTGACCGAAGCAACGTCCTACATCCACACGGAAGGAAGATAGACCGTTTGCAAATTACTGAACACTGCCCTCGTGAGGCTGCTGGTGAAATGAAGCATTTGGAAGACTCATAGGATTGATTATCTGGACGGAGCTTGGCGGGGCAGGTTGGCTGAACCCCACGGAGACCATTGGCCGAATCTGAGCAGAAGCTCCGAGTTGTGGTGGAGGGTCAAATGATGCAACCAGGTAGGCTAGGTATTCAGGTTGTGTGCAGGAGTTGCACCAGCACCTACCTAGTCTTAGACCAAATCCGGTAGGTAAGGTGGTGACCTGCACAGGCCAAGAACATCTGCTTACACTAGGTGCCTACCTAGGTAGTTGATGGAAGTTCATCAGGAGCTATCTCAATGCTTTGGTAACTAAGAACATAGAATGCATGTCTTTGCTCTGCGAGTCACATAGTCGAGTCCTTCCGGAACCAGCCCAGTAACTAGCTCTTTGTCAATTTGACCATCACTTGCTCTAGTACTGACTACCTAAGGTAGTTATGCCGGATGACTAATATAGGTAGTCAACTGGAGAGCTTCTTCTTGTTGAAAGCATTGTTCTGATTTGTTCGGAAGACATCGAGGAGAAGGCCTGGAAGAACTGGAGGTCGCTCAACTGCTACAGGGATTGTTTCTGCGTGTTACAGTGGGCCCAGGGGTGGTGGAAATGTGGTGGAAATGGCGACGCGGCCCTTGCAGTGGGTGGTGGTTGCTGCACTCTGGCGATTGGTAGATCAAATCCATCAAATCAAATGCAAGTCACTTTTTGGGGGTGGGAGGGAATCATTGGCGGCAATTCAGCCCGGACCCCTGACTTTGATTTGCCCGCACCAGACCAGACTTGACGCGCCCCAGTCGCCATCCGCACCCATTCTCCGTCCCATACCGCATCCATTAAGTACTTGGCCTTCCAAGGGCTTGGCTTGACCGACCAACCTTTGACTCCGTGCTTTTCGGTGCTACTGTAGGGCAGGTGCCGTCAAAAAACGCGCTGAAGCCACCTGTTTATTTCACACCAGCTTGAACAGAGGCAAACGCCAAGACTTTCCATCAACGAACGACCTCGACTTTCATCAAATCCTCCCTCTTTGCTACACAAACCACTCTGCACTCACCCCCTTTCCTCTTTGTTTTTTCTTCACTCTATTCTATCCAAATAGGATAACCCAACTCTTTAGCGGCCAGCGGGTGAGTGAATATCCTTTCCCCTGAACCAGATCGTCACCGGGTCCAAGCCGAGCTGGTGAATCAGATTAGCTCAACATTCTCCCACATGCACATCACACATGGAATCTAACTAACGTTGCACGCAAAAGTCAGCTTCCCATCACTATCAGCCACATACCTCGCCCACGAGTCTAGGGCAATTGCAGAGCCTCCCATCACAGGCCAGAATTCCCCGCACTTCTTCTAGCTCTGGAAGAGCTGTCAAACACAACCGGGAGCTGATCTCGGAGCTGCATCGACGGTTCAAGGCGAGGTGACAAGCACCAAGCTAGACGACGGTTCTCACAATAACCTCCAACGACACATCACCCACCTTCAACGCCCCCACACGAACCTGTCAACCCCGATCCTCGACACCATGGGCGCGTCAATGTCCACCTATGTGGGCTGGGGCGTGATCTTCAGTCTCGCCGGCTTCTACATCATCAATGAGCGGAACAAGGCTCACAAGCGTGAAGCGGCCAAGACCGCTGCGCTGAAACAAAAACAGGAGGAGCGCCAGACGCAACTCGGACGTAAGGAGACCAAGCCCAAGCGACAGCGCATCGAGCCCACACAGAGGGACTCGTACGCTTCCAAGCTCAAGCAGGAGGCGCAGCCTCAGACTTACCCCGCGAGCTATAGCTCCGATGAGGAGGTTGACAACCGGGAGTTTGCTCGACAGCTGTCCAATGCCAAGCAGGGCACCAACTTCACCTCCAAGTCCAAGGAGGAGACGCGGCAAAAGTCTGTCAAGCAGTCCCGCGCCAAGGAGATGCCCGCACCCGTCGAGAAGAAGGGATCCGCGCCCTCGTCTACCACTGGTGCTGATGCAGACGATGACCAGTCGTCGGTGGCTTCTCCCTCCATCAACGCCACCAAGGCGGGCGATGTTTCCGACATGCTCGAGCCAGCTGGTTCGGGCCCTTCTGTCCTGCGCCTGACTGGCACGGAGGAGAAGAAGGCCAAGGAGAAGAAGACCAAGGCGCCGCAGCCCACCGAGACCAAGAAGCAACGCCAGAACCGGAGAAAGGCCGAGGCCGCCAAGGCTGATCGCGAGGAGGCCGAGAAGGCAAGGAAGGTTCTCGAGGAGCAGCAACGCCGAACCGCAAGAATAGCAGAGGGCCGGGCTGCTAAGGATGGCTCCGCCTTTATGGCTTCGCAGGCTGCTAGCAACGCCTGGACCAACAATGGCGTCAACGGCAGCTCCAAGGCCGCCGAGAGCAACTTCATCCCTGTTCAACCCCTGGACACATTCGACTCCAAGCCTGCTCCCGTTCCCAATCCCCCCAAGGCCGCCGCCACTTCTGGTGACAGCTGGGTTTCCTCACTCCCGTCCGAGGAGGAGCAGATGGAGGCCGCTCTCAAGGATGACGATGCCTGGAGCACCGTGAAGACCAAGCCACGCAAGGGAAAGAAGAAGGATGAGACCACCGAGAGCGTCACCACCACGGCACCGGCCTCCCAACCTGCCGTTGCCGTTGCCGCTCCCGCTGTCAAGTCTCAGCCTGCCAACGGACGGCCAGCGAAGCCGTTCCACCAGACGTCCTCTTTTGCTGCCCTGAGCACTGACGATCCTGCCGAGGACGAGGACGACGAGGAGGAGTGGGATGTCTAGGAGGGGCACAGGGCACAGGGCTAGACTGCCCGAATGGTGGCGCTGGCTTGGTTAAGTGTTTTTTCACCATGTCAGACAGGACTCATGCTGGCTTCTTTTCTTTTGCAGCCATCCCGGTGCCTCTCCCATGGCACACTACTATATCGACATGTTTGTACATTACCTGGGACTATCAAAAAAAGGGGGAACATTTACTGTTGTCTCGTGTACGACCTGTCCCGCAGGATTGAGTTCTTTTTTGTTCTTTACTTTGTATTTCTTCCAGGCGAGGGCTATTCTGAACGAGTCATTAGTATTGGCACAATTCTTGCCGCTTTGCAGGCGGAACATTATGGAGGCGGTCGTGGAGATGGCACCAGATGGCGGCCTAGCGAAGGGGGAAAAAATGGTTGTCGAAGCGTTGTAACTGAATGGTTGACCACAGATAGTATGTATGGTATCGCCCCGATGCAGAGCAAATGAGAATCTCAATAAAGCGCACATTGATGATGCATCCATCACAGGGACACACAGACATGCATGCCACTTGGAGATTTGTTAGCTTGACAGCGCTGCTGTATGTAGATGCTGCATGTGAAGAATCTGTGTCATCCGGTATGGATCGCGTCAGGTGCATCCATCCAGGTCACAACGTGGTGAAACCATGGTTCAAGATAGGGTGCATATCGTCGACGTCCTCTCCCACCCCCTTATGACTAGGTGCATGTCTGAACCACATCTTTGATCTTGAACTCCAGGAGCATTGAGCCATTCGCTAGCCCATTACTTGATTGGTGAGCCACACAGCAAGCGCGGTCTATTGAACAATGATCTCCTCGAGTAGAGTATGCATGTGCCAGTTCAGGACATCCCATCGGAACTCCTACATTCGTCTTGGTCCGATTCCCTATCTTCAAGCCTAAGGTAGGTAAGTATGTCTAGGTTTGTACAAACGTGCAGTGAATAAATGTCCCTTCCTTGTCAGCCAACCACGCTGGCTGGAGAAACATTACAACCGGTTCAGAGTACTGTGTACTTGTAGTATGTTCAATGTTATATTATGTCGTATCTGCAGTCTCTTGGCCCTACTTGAATGCAGGACCCAGTGCCAAAGGTGGCCCTGGGACTCTTACATCCGCCTGCCTTTTTTGGGGGTTTTACTTGGGGGGGGGGGGGGGGGGGGGGGGGGGGGGGAG